TATACAAGCTAGGAAGACAGTCCTTCTCCCCGTCGAAGCTTGTACACTGAAAGGCCGTCGAATACCCGAGAAGGAAGAGCATGATAATCTTTTTGAGGACTTGGATAGTAGCTCGGAGGACCCGTTTGCAGAACATACTTCACTGGACCTAGATCCAATGTCCTCCTCCGCATTTGGATATGGAGACTCCAGTTTACGAGGCCAGTATGCCGGATCATCTACCTCGTCGGTTTCAGGCAAGACACCGAAGCAAGCACCGCCGTGGAAGCATGAATGTTGGGTTCAAATTGATGGATTCCCGGAAGCTGTCGAAATCGGCCGCGTGGCACGGAAGACTTTAGGGTTCTTCCCCCGCGCAAGGCGAAAATCCCTAGCCCAGCTACCAATCCCGTATTCCGACTTAGAAGATACCCTACACCCCCTTTCTCAACAACAAACCTGTGACACCAGCACCACACCTCCCGCCACCCCTGCCACTTCGACCCCATTCATCGCCCGCCCCTCCTCATCATCCTCCCACACCCGTGGCCGCTCCATATCCAGCTCAAAATCCGTTTCCAACGCGCACGTGCACCGACATCGCAGCAGTTTCACCTTCCTAGGCACAGGCGGCGTAGGAACGCTAGACCGCAACGTAAAAGCCCCTGGCCCTGCCGAGGATAAGCTCAATCAATTCATAAACACGCATCTGCCTAAACTAGCTGTCCCTCCGCCACTGCCCACCCCTCAACCCCTATTATCATCATCATCAGCGAGCTACTATCCACGCGCCTCTACAGAGTCCACGTCAACCATCCTCTCGAACACGTCGTCTACGGGACTGGAGAACGTTAGCGGCGCTATTGAAGGGTGGGTTCGCAAGATAGCCCGCAGCGCCAAGGCTGGGGTTTCAGACTTGCAGCAACAGCAGGGTGGTCATTTGGGTATCAGTGGGATGGGTGATCTTATCGAATTGGCTGATACGCTGGACGGGAAGCGAAGTCCTAGCCGTGCTGGTGTTGGTGGTGTTGCGGGTATGCCCTCGTCGGCCAGAAGAGGACGTGCTGTCAATTGCAGTCCTACTCGCTTTTCATCTGGATCGGGATCTACCATCGGGCCATTGGCGTCCGGAGATGGTGGTAGCAGGAGTATAAGAGGCAGGAGGACGAAAGGCGATTGAATCGCAGTAACGTGGACATGGAGTGTATTCTGATTATAGAAATTTGCAGGTGTTTTATATGTGTGTGTGTAAGCTGTGTATCGTTTCTCTATTTAGAAAAAAACAACAGCAGACTCTTGAAAGGATTTATCGCCCCTGTTTTCCTCATGGTCATATATGCTTTTTTTTTTATTCTCCATTTATCTGTATGGCTAACAGAACTAACTAACTGCCGAGCCTTGAGCGATTTTACATACTTTTTCTCTTCTTTCTGCTTCTAAGAATCTTTTTATGGCACTTCTTGCATACGCGTATCCAGAACGTCCCACTTCTCTTCATCGTCATCCTTCTCAAATTAAATTATCTTTTGTTTTTGGTTCAACATATAGCCGTCCACCTTCTCTTCCCTTTTTTTCATCTTCAGTTTTTTTTTTTTCCTTCCACCCCCCAATATATTCGGCAGCGAACATCATTGATCTTGTTAAGTGTCTTGTTTTTATTTGCATGTTCATCATGTCAGTCTTTTCTTTCTTCCTTTTCTCTTTTTCTCAGTTGTACACACACACACACACACACATATATATACATATACCCGTCGTCCACAGCGCCCGAAATCATTGGCATCTCTTACTACCCATAGGTAGATAAATCATGCACTACCTTTTGTTACGTGAGAGGCGGTAATGTCCTAGGCATACGTCCAAATATTCTTGTTTGTTGAATTTGATTAAGTTGTTGAATGCAACTGAGGTTTTCTCTCACGAGCTTCAATCTTGTAGCCCGACTTTCCACGGGCTCCTGAATGGTGGTTGAAGTAAGGTTGCTAAATTGCCGCCAGAGCTTGCTTGCTAAGCGCTTTTTAAGCGCGATATAACTTCTCCCCCTGAACCACGTCGAGGTATCCAAGCATTTCGGATTATATACCCTTTCGGAGATGAAGAAGAGCGTTGGATTGACATCACCATCTCTCGCGTATAATGGAAACAAATCAAATGTATATTTTGATATTTTTTGTACATGTACCATGTATGTACATTAAAACTAGAATAAATGCTAAATCTTCAGCTCCGCAACAATGGCAGGGAGATGGCAGAATTGCAAAACTCGTCTTCTACATTCCCAAGCTTTTTTAAATTACACTTTACTCTCAGATCCTCTAGTTGGTTGGACAGATATAGTCAATTGCTCAGTCACGGGTGAATTCAAACAGGCGCATGCACCCAAACCTCCCTCCTCCTCGTCTACATCCTCCTCATCACTCTCCCACATCAAATTCTCCCCCGCAGCCCAATGAAACACCCACCCAGCAAACCCCGGCTGAGCCTTCGTGAATCCAAACGGCGCGCCGAAAGGTGCAGCCCCCTCACCAGAGAGATGCCATATCTACCCACGATGCTCTCCGCTAATAATAAGATACCAATTCATCCCGCACCCCTCCGTCCCCAGATCTAGACAACCGCGGCCAAAAATACCCGCCTCCCCGTCTCCATCAATGGCGGATGCTGGGAATCCCTCAGGAAGTTCCGGGTCGTCCTCCCATATCCGCCGTTTTGTCAGCGGAAACGGCAACGCGAGACGGCCTTCTGCTGGGTCATTTCTGTCGCCGCGATTACTGAGCGGCTTGAGACCGTACTCTTGAGGGCCGCCATGACATCCATTGGCGATCTCGGCTACGAAGGTCCGATATGGCTCTGGGAGGATTATGTCATGTCTGGATTCGAAGGCGTGGACGGCGGGCCAGCCGAGGGGTGGGGTTATATTTCTAGAAGCAAATATGGTGCGCAATTTTTCGACGTCGGCTTTTATGGCTTCGTTGTTAGGGGAGAGGGTGAAGCTGGAATTGGAATTGGTGTTGGTGTTGGGGGCGCTTGGTTTCACTGAATTGGAAGGCATTGCAAATTTATAAATTCAAGGACCTTCAATGATAGACTTCACTAGCGGAAGTAAGATAGAAGTGGCACATGGATGAACGTATGTTTTTGGGGATCAAACGAGGGTAAAAGGGAAACTCATAGATGTAGGCGTCATGTTGTATGTCAGGCTCAGTGCTTCATTTCAAAGGGCTTCTTGCTCCAGGCAGCAGAGTGTATGGCTTGCCTTCCAGCGGCGATCTTGCAGGTCAGTTCGTCCCTGCTTATCATTTCATAAACGAAATGACAAGCTTGGAATATAAACGTCGTGGGGTTCGTCAGAGATGTTCCCTTATTCTTCTACACATCCTTACCAGATATATTTACAAAATTGCGAATTCCGGAAACTTCCTACAGCTAAATTTTCGTGTTCCTAAAATATAGTTTTGTGTGCGATATCTTACCTGCCGTAAGACCATCATAGCAGAATACTATAGAAGCGTTTCCCAGGCGACAAAATTCAAAGAGAATGGGGCCAGAGATAACTACATCCCAAAGCACACAAAATTTTACTAGCATTAATGAATAAACTTCATCCACAACGGCATCCTCAGAAGCTCATGGTTGAAACCAGCATTTTAATTCGTTCAGGTGCTTCCAATGGAACCCAGCAACAATTATGATCAGGGCCAACAAGGTATCAATGCCAGCAGGATAACAATAATAGGGCCCTGCAGCCCCCAAACACGCACTCTGATATGGCCATAGTTTCAACCCTTCCTTGCTGCTCTCTGCCGCCGATACTCTTCAACAAGAGGCATATACGTCTGTCGCCGCGCAAGGCTCTCTTCCGGCCACTTCTGCTCGAGAACATAAAATTCCTCTAGCACAGGAACATTATCCGGAAAGGTAAGCCAGGGAGCTTTGGTGGTGGTATAGATATGTACATCCGGAGAGACCAGAGAGGCCTGGTCGAGCGTGCCTGCGCGCACAAATCGTACAATTGGCCCGGAGCCGCCGTAGGTGCTCCACACGGCGACACGGCAGCTTTTGCACCTGGAGATCTGCTGGCCGAAACCGCTCGCAGATGGCGTGTTGATGACTTCGAGATTGGACTCGCCATTATCTCCTTGTAGTAGGGTGACGCGGTCTGCTTCGATGAGGATGTTTATGACGAAGGCCGAGCCGGTTTCGCGCTGGCACCCTGGTCGATACTGGTGTTTAGCCTGGGGAATTGATGATAATTGCGGAGTTCTGGGCTAGGTTATAAATCATGGTAATTTTTGGTTCTTAAGTACTGTACATACATGTGCAATGACAGCAGTGGACAAATAGGGGTGCCGTTTGGATTTGGTATCGGACTGCTTTGCATGGGCATCCACCCTCGAGGGGATATTGCGCTGCTGATGAAAGCATGGCTCCTCCACCTATTCGCTCAAAGAGATCTGGGGATAGGAATTTGGAGAAAATCCGGTAGATCAGCAGCCTACACGGCTACTGAATGCAAGTCTGCGGCACGTCCTGATCATGACAGACGGAGCGTTATTTATTTGCATCTAAGCCAAAAGCATGAGGTCTGACCCCGCAGTTCGTATTGCGAAGGGGACATCATCAGCTCACGCCCAGTCTTGGTTTCGGGCTTCCTTGAGCCCAAGATCTTCCTAGAGTTTTGTCCATTAGTAATTTTTATTCATTTACAAGTACACAGAAAGCTTTCTCTGCTGGACAGTAAATGGGAGCATTCATTCTCAAATAGGGGATAATTAATTAGGGCTAGGAGACAAAGAAAGCAAAGGTTGGCATATAATTATATAAGTAACTTTAGAAATCTACCGAACACTGCTCCAATAGCTCAGCGGTTAGAGCGTGCGATTGCAGATCGCAATGTCCCTTGTTCGAATCAGGGTTGGAGCTGAACTTGTTACATTTTCTTTTTTGGTCCTTTTTGTTGTTTATTTTTTCTATCCTCAATCCATTTCATATTTTTTTGCCTCCGTAGATTTTAAATATATCTATCTGCTTCCCACCAGAGTCGCTGCCAAGGCCAATCGGTTCAGTCTACCCCCCTAAATACAAAAACTTTCATATCCTAACTGTTGGCCCTTACGGCCGTTGCGGTTAGCGATCCCACTAGATCACGTGACCCACCACTATAATATGTTCCTGTAGATAGATCTATCAATACAACCTTCAACTATCCTACACTAACTACATCACAAACCTTCCTCTGCCGATTTACAGTCAGCCGTAGTTGTTTGCCCTTCCACGAGCAGTCGTCGCCAGCCGAACCACGCTGCTGCTCGGGTTTGTGTTTGGGCGCGAAAACCCCTGTGCGAAGAGTTGGCGTGAAGAGTTCGTACGAGGGGTAGTCTGTATTAATGTTAATAAATAAAGCATAGTAGATATTCATGTTAGTCCCTTTTTCGGATAGATTATGTGTGGGTCTGGAAAATAGTTCAAGCTGGAAAGTCGCGGTGGGTTTGGAAACGTACAGCCATCTACAAATTTGTTAACCTGCTCGACAGTCATTCCGGCGCCCTTGGTGGAGAGTAGGTTGCGCTCTTGTTCCTGGCGCCAGTCATAGACGAAATGGGTGTCCTCGGCATCACTACTCAGCGGTTTGGATTAGCCATTATCAGCGCAAAAGGAGAGTCACCGGGGGCCTATGTGGAGATTTACTTACATATGTATGAACGCATCCAGCTGACTATAGATTTTCAGTTTCAACAAATTAACTTATGAAACGAATTATAAATGTTGCCGTAGCGAAGAAGTAGAGGACTGTGAGAGTGAGCGGGTTGAAAAACTATATTACTCACTCAGTAAAAGCATCATACTCCTTCAATGCGTCATTAATAGCTTTCACATCCTCGAACTTCACATATCCTAATCGCCCCATATAACCATCCAGGCCTCTCATCCGCAATTGCACGGCATCCTCCCAAGCCTTGCGCAATTTCTCTTCCGGTAGTGCTCGAAACCCCACACACCAGCCTTCGAATATCACCACCTTAACTCGTTTCTGACCAGCCGAAACGTCATTGACAACCTCCCATTCGCTTTCGGGTAGACGGTCGCCCTGGCCGCTATATGCTGACTTATCATATGCGGGTATCTTGGTGGGTAAGCCCTGGCGGAGGGAATCGAAGACCTGGCGGCCAAGTGGAATGTCGTGGGTGGAGGGCTGGCCGCGGTGTTGGAGGAGTGGATTCGAGGGGTGTGACAACGCCAGTTGTTGTTGGTCGGCGTGGTTGAGATAGATGTCGTCCAGAGAAAAGGTTATCGTGGTGAGATTGTACGGCGGGGAGGAGAGAGTTGAGCGGAGGAGGGTGACCTATATACATATATCAGATTCGAGCAGAGCGACCATGGCTATACAGTTACTGTGATTAGGAAAAAGTGACAGTAGTTGTAGTGACTAGTAATACTCCTTCATGATGCTTATTCTTTCAGACCCCTGAACTCCATAGGGCTCATTCTGTTCCAGGAGTATGTGATTAGACGAGGAGATAACCATTACGCTACCATACCAGCGCTGTCTTCCCCGCACCTTGGACACCGTTGAGTCCGACAAAGAAAGGCGGAGGACTCGAATCTCCTACATGTTTCTGCTCGTGTACGTTCAATTTCTCCAGAAGAAACGGAATGCAGTATTGAGACTTGTCGTCAAGTATGTGAGCCATTCTTGCGTCTGGAACTGATGCTCTGTGCAGGTTAAGATCAACTACTTTCCTTGATCGGGGAAAATCCGGGGAACGTTAGAGTTTCTAAGGTTTCGGTTAGTATTCCCAAATAGATTAGTGATTAACTTTAATTCAACTTCCAGAGACTCTTTAGCTTGGCACGGGAGCATGTGACATCATCAAATGCAAGTTTCAATGAAGGGGCTTGTGATCCTTGTGGAATATATACATTTTTTTTTCTGGATATACAACGTATTCACTGCGTGCACAGGGGATATAAATCTATGTTGTTCGTAATTTCCGAGATATACAGATTCAGCTCCAGGGAATCTTCCTCGGAGGGCTGGAGTTCAGCAAAGCCTAGGAGCAAGCAGCAGCACGAAGCTCCATGGCTTGGCTGACTTTACAAGCTAGAATTGCAGGAAAAAGAAAAGGCAAATTGACTGCGAATTTCACATGCTGAAGAATTCGAAGACGAAGCTTGCCACACGTGATGGCGGAGCTACATCCAATCATACAAATGGATATGCGCCTCACGCCCAAATCCCGGTTTGTATTTTACAAGTATCGTAAGATACAGCACATCCCTCGTCATTTGAACTGAAAATTGACGTACGGTACGGTATTGATACACCCTCCCGACCCCCGCTTCGATACCGGACCAATAAGTTGTTGCTGTCCGGCGGCCCAAGCAGCTTCCCGGATGGTATGCCGAGGTCCATTGGCACCCGAATCGAGCTTTCGTCGTCTGGGATATCTTCAACTTCCCGCATCTTCCAACTTCTCCTCCTTTCTCTCTCCTCTCCTTTTTAACTTCACCTCCTCCCTGGCTTATGAGCATTCAATTTTACTCCTATCTCCATATAATCTAGCCAGCCAAGTTACGTCCCATTTCCATTCGTTCTCCCATACCTTGTACACAACATGTCGGAACTTCGATTCGATAACCAGACAGTTGTTGTCACCGGTGCTGGTGGCGGCCTAGGAAAAGCATATGCTCTTTTCTTCGGTAAACGCGGTGCCAATGTCGTCGTCAATGATTTGGGAGGATCACACCGGGGTGAGGGCGCTTCGTCTAAGGTTCGTCTTTCGTGGGACAAAGAATTCCCATGGCTCGCTTTGGCTTGAAAAATCGTCTAATAGTGTGTTGCAGGCCGCCGATGTCGTTGTAGACGAGATTAAAGCTGCTGGCGGTAAAGCCGTAGCTAACTATGACAGTGTTGAGTTTGGAGACAGAATCATCGACACCGCCGTCAAAGCCTTCGGCCGCATTGATATCTTGATTAATAATGCTGGCATTCTACGGGATATCAGCTTTAAGAATATGAAAGATGTCGACTGGGATTTAATCAACATGGTCCACGTCTATGGTTCTTACAAGGTACGCCTCGTTCGTGAATCTCTTGTTTGACTTACGAAAAAGCTCTCTGACGGTCGGAGGAACTATAGTGCGCAAGAGCTGCCTGGCCACACTTCCGGAAACAGAAGTTCGGACGAGTGATTAACACTGCGTCATCTGCTGGTCTATTCGGAAATTTCGGACAAACCAACTACTCGGGTGTGTAACGATATAGTCGATGAGTTGTATTTGGTAAACTACGTACTGATGTGTATATTTAGCTGCCAAGCTGGCCATGGTTGGCTTTACCGAGACATTGGCGAAGGAGGGTGCGAAATATAACATTTTGGCCAACGTTATTGCGCCAATTGGTATGTGGGACCCTTTGTTTCTCCATTCTGATCTATGTAATTTCACTAACAAATAGCAGCTGCCAGCCGTATGACTGAGACAGTCATGCCTCCAGATGTGTTGGAGCACCTTAAACCCGAGTGGATTGTGCCCCTGGTCGCCGTTCTTGTCCACTCCTCCAATACCTCCGAATCTGGAAGCATTTTTGAGGCTGGCGCTGGCCACGTAGCTAAGTTGCGATGGGAGCGTGCAAAGGGTGCGTTGTTGAAGACAGATGCCTCTCTCACGCCCCAGGCTCTTCTTGCCAAGTGGAATGATATCACGGATTTCTCGGAGCCAAGCTATCCTACTGGCCCTGCGGACTTCTTAGGGCTCTTGGAACAAGCACAGAATGTACCCAGCGCCCCCGCCGGTGAGAACCTGGATTTCACTGGCAAAGTTGCTCTCATTACTGGTGCTGGAGCTGGTTTAGGTAGAGCCTATGCTCTGCTCTTTGCTAAGCTTGGAGCTTCTGTCGTTGTCAACGACGTCGCTGACCCATACACCGTTGTTGAGGAGATCAAGAAGCTCGGAGGCAAGGCTGTTGCCTCCAAGGCATCTGTTGAAGACGGAGAGGCTGTTGTAAAGCCTGCGATTGACGCCTTTGGCCGCATCGATATCCTGGTCAACAATGCTGGCATTCTCCGCGACAAAGCATTCACAAACATGGATGACAATCTGTGGAACACTATCATGAATGTCCACCTTAGAGGCACCTACAAGGTCACCAAGGCTGCATGGCCTTATTTCTTGAAACAGAAGTATGGCCGTATTGTTAACACCTCCAGCACCAGCGGTATCTATGGTAACTTTGGACAGGCTAACTATGCTGCTGCTGTAAGTTATGTTTCTTCTCCCTTTGTTGACTAGCTAAGCGGGAACCACATCATTGACAGCAACAGAAACTCGGCATCCTAGGATTCTCTCGTGCTTTGGCCCTTGAGGGTGCCAAGTACAACATCTACGTCAACACCATTGCCCCAAATGCTGGTACCGGAATGACCCGGTCCGTCCTGCCAGAAGAGCTCGTTCAGGCCTTCAAACCCGATTATGTGGCGCCAATGGTCGTTCTACTCTGCTCTGACAAGACGCCCGAGCCGACCAAGGGCTTGTACGAATGTGGAAGTGGTTGGTTTGCCAAAACCAGATGGCAACGCAGCGGTGGGCATGGATTCCCTGTCGATGTCCAACTCACCCCTGAAGCCGTTGTTTCCCAATGGAGCAGGATTATCACATTCGATGAGCGTTCCGATCATCCCGAAGACGGCCAGGCGGGCATGAAGAGCATCATGGCTAACATGAGCAATGTCAGCGGTGGGAAAAGTGAGGAATCCAAGGGCGACCGGCAGATCTTGAAGGCCATCGAGGCCGCTAAGAACACTAAGGCCCAGGGAACTCCCTTCGACTACGCTGACAAGGATGTCATCCTTTACAACATCTCTCTTGGTGCGAAGCGAACTGACCTGCCGCTCGTCTACGAAAACAGCTCGGATTTCCAGGCCCTTCCTACTTTCGGCGTGGTCCCCTGGTTCACCACTACCACCCCTTGGGACGTCGCTGATATCGTCTCCAACTACTCACCCATGATGCTCCTACACGGTGAGCAGTATCTCGAGATCCGCAAATTCCCCATTCCCACCGCCGCCAAGACCATCAACGTCCCCAGCCTTATCGATGTGGTTGACAAGGGCAACGCCGCGCTCGTCGTCACGGGCTTCACCACCAAGGATGCACGAACTGGCGAAGATCTCTTTTACAATGAGTCGACCATGTTCATCCGCGGAAGCGGCGGCTTTGGCGGATCGCCCAAGCCCACCGCCCGTCGCGCAAAGGCTGCCACGGCCGCCTACAAGCCACCGCAGCGCAAGCCCGACGCCGTCATCGAGGAGAAGACCTCCGAAGACCAAGCCGCCCTCTACCGTCTGAATGGCGACTACAACCCACTCCACATTGACCCAGACTTTTCTAAAGTCGGCGGTTTCAAGGACCCCATCCTGCACGGCCTCTGCTCCTTCGGCATCTCTGGCAAGCACGTGTTCAAGACGTTCGGTGCCTTCAAGAGCATCAAGGTCCGATTTGCCGGTGTTGTGATCCCGGGTCAGACTCTGAGGACCGAAATGTGGAAGGAGAACGGCACCGTTGTGTTCCAGACTACTGTTGTGGAGACCGGAAAGCCTGCTATTGCTGGGGCTGGTGTCGAGCTTCTCTCGACTGGCGCGAAGCTGTAAATGCGGGATGCGTGGAAAAGCGAAGATGAGTTTTTAGGCAATGAAAAGCTCTTTTATCTTTTCTTTTAGCTGCTCAAGTCCTGCAGTTTCCTTCTTTTCTATCATATAGGACTGTAGTTTTCTTATTTTCTTTTTCTATTTTGTGTATATAGGTAAGGCTTAGCTCTGGTATTCCGGTTGTCTTCGTGTTGATTTTTTTCCCATATTGTGACGTGACATGTACGGATACACATGATTTCATTCTCGGCTCGAATTCTACAATATCATACTGGCTCTTAACCAGATTAATTCCTAGATGTCCCCTGGTCCAACTTGTTAACCTCAAGAGAATCGTAAGAGATACCTTTTCTTTCCTGGACATCCCGCATTCTGAGAGTGTTCTAGACCCTTGTTGGCTTCGCCGAGCCGTAGATCCTTACGTAGATAAAAAAAAAGAAAAAAGAAACCTGCTTCACTTGTTGTAGCTTTGTTTCATCATTAATCAGCCCTGGAATTTTTAAATTCTTTTAACTACCTTTATTTCAATTTATTTAATTTTACCCCCTTGATATGCTGAAATCAGCGGGGTGTCAATATAGAGTCCCGGATCTTAGTACGAGGTAGGTGTCTGCGGTGGTTTCCTCCGGCGTTGTAATTCTCCAGCCCGGTCAGTCCAGTCCTGTGACTCCTGTCTCACTTTCCCGTCTCGCAATCACCAACGCCAACCATACCATACCATACCACAACCTCACCTAACCCACGCCTCCGATTTATGCCACGACCCCACAAACACAGCTGTTATATCGTTCAGCAATCCAAGCACCCGTCTACTGAACTCTAATTTGCACAGGCGGCATTTGCGCATTTGAAATCCCAACCCCGCGATCCCTAGGTCGGCGACAAAACCACACCCGATATATTTATCAGCCATATAGCAGAGGAAATAGGAAACCTCCGCAAATTCATTTGGAAAAAAAAAAAAAAAAAAAACTCCCTGCTCTCCACTTTTTGAGCCATGTAGCTATCCACAACCATGGTGCTCTCCCTGGCCCTCCCAAGTTTTTATTCGCGAAGACCTCCCCAGAGCAAGAGCACCGCTTCCAGATCAACCGAATCCGGCAGCATCGCATCCTCTGCAGATGAACCCCTCGCCTCTGAAAGTAACCTTTCCTCTATTTCGAAATCCATAGCTTCTCCATCAACGACGCCCCACGAAGCACCTACGCAAATAACAGCATCATCATCACCGCCTGCTGCCGCAGCAGCCGGCCCATCGACAATCGCCGAAGCCCTGCGCGGGAACCCATTCGGCATAGTTTCGCGAACAAAAGTACCCAGCGATGTCGCGGCTAGCGAAAAGATCAAAGAGGAGGAAGAGCGTGAACGAGAGCGTGATCGTCGCGAACTCAACGATGCGCTGGCGACGTTAACGCAGCTGTTTCCGGACGTAAAGATTGAGGTCTTCCGCGAATTGCTGGTTAGATTTGATGGTAAGAGTAGACTGCATGTCTGCGTGGAGCAGCTGTTGAGATATAGAGCTGAATGGGTTAAGGGGAGGTGGAATGTGCCGGAACCGGATGCCAAATCTGATAATGGTGGTGTTGTCGGGGGTCCTGGCCGTGGTGCCGTTGCCGTAGATGGGGATGGGCATGCGCAGGGAAGAAGGGGGAGATGGATACCACACGAAGAGCTGTTTCAGAGCAAGGAGTATAAGGTTGCGGTCAAATCGACGCTGTCTCTGGAATTCCGAGCTTTGAGCAGAAGTGCCATCGACGCGGTGCTGGCGGAGGTTAATTTCTCGTATACCCGTGCACGCCCGACGCTGCGGGAGTTATCCCGCAAGAGCTGGCGGGCGACATTTGGGAGTATATTTCCGTTCAAAAGGAAGAAGGATAAAGATGATCATCCACTCTTGGTTTGGCAGAAATTGCCCGATGGGGAGCTTGTGCCCCGGCTAAAAGAAACTGGGTGCTTGGAACTTGATAGGGAACTACATGATGCCTTTCTGGCTCCATTACTGGCTCGGAGAAAGGAAGAGCAGGAAGCTATGGGGCTGAAACTCGCAGAAGAGCTTAATCAATCAGAGGCAGAAGCTGCAAAGGCGCTTTACGAATGTGATTGTTGTTTGTCAGACGTTACATTCGAGCAGATATCTACTTGCTCGACCAGCTCGCATATCATCTGTTTCTACTGCATCCAGCGGACTATCCATGAAGCTCTGTTTGGCCAAGGCTGGGCCGTATCCATTGATCATGAAAGGTCCACGCTACGATGCCTAGCACCTATAGCGGAGGGCACGTGCGAGGGCTCTCTGGACCCGATGATTGTGAAACGGGCGATTCTAATCGAAAAGGCCGGGGCGGAAACATACCAAAAGTTCGAAGATCGCCTAACTTCGGAATGCCTTTTGAAATCGCAGCTAAAACTGATCCGTTGCCCGTTATGTTCGTATGCGGAAGTAGATCCCGTCTACCATCCAACAGCTAAAGGGCTTTCCTGGCGGTTCCGGCGTGGAAGGCTCCTTCCGACGATACTTACGACAATATTTGTTCTCGATTTGATACCTCTTCTCATTTTACCTGTTTTATTTTCTCTCCTATTCTACCCATCAATGATATCCAATATCCTCTCTGCCTCGCTGCGGAACGTCTGCCTCAAAACCCGCCCGCAACGGTTTACTTGCTCAAACCCTTCCTGCCGCTCTGATAGCTGTATTACGTGCCACAAGCCATGGCAAGATCCTCACCACTGTCATGAGCCTCTACTTCAATCACTCCGAACAACCGTCGAAGCGGCCCGCACAGCAGCAATCAAACGAACCTGCCCACGTTGCGGCCTCTCCTTTGTCAAGTCGTCCGGTTGCAATAAACTAACCTGTGTATGCGGGTACTCCATGTGCTATATATGCCGCAAAGCTTTGGGTCCACCACATAGAGCGGCTGGCGCCAACAATATCCTAGCTCTCCGCCAACCACAGCAACGAGCACGACCGCCAAACCGGCGACCACGCCATGATTTAAGTCAAAACAATATAGAAAACGCGCCCACGGGCGACTATGACCTAGACGGGAATTTAATAATGAATATACCAGAAGACGATGACTACTACTCAGACGATGGCACCAATAATACCTACAATAACAACAACGCCACCCCAGCGGAAGATGAGGAGCCAGAGGGCTACAAACACTTCTGTGAACATTTCCGCGCCAACCCTGGCTCCCGCTGTACCGAATGTAACAAATGCGACCTTTATCTCGCCGAGGACGAAGAAGCCGTCGCACGGCGCGCAGGCGAAAGGGCCGAGTGCCAATGGCGTATTCGGCAAGGGCTACTTAATTCCTCATCCTCGTCATCCCCCGGCGCCACGTTACCCAGTGATGCGCTTGCGAAACTTTACGATATGCCTACTGGCGGTGATAAGGGTATGCGACACTACGGTGGCTATAGAGGCCCTGCTGCTGGGCCATGGGATTGGAATTGGCAGCTTGACGGGACGGATTGGAGGAGGCGATGGAGGTTTTGGGGGCGTGAAATTTGGCGGGATGGGCGGTGGAAGGGGGAGGGACAGCGATTAGTTGATACACTGGTGGAGAAGATAGTTGTTGTTGACTTCTAGAGAGAGTGTTTTCTGTTCTTCTATTCGTCCTGTGTTTTCTTCTCCCTTTTGTTCTTCTTTACTCCTTTTTTAATGATGCCTCATATTAGCGTACGACTTTTCTGCGTCTTCTTCTCTCCATCATCTCTCTCTCTCTCTCTCTTTTGTTTTTTTTTTTTTTTTTTTTTTTTTTTTTTTTTTTTTTTTAGATTCCCCTTCTGCTCCCCACTTAATTTCCTCATTCTCATTCGTCGCAATTTGTAGTATTCGTTCCCCCTTAATCGCAACATGGATTTATCACGTGATATGTAATATGTGTACGTAATTGAGGACAACCAGCTCCCAACAAGGCAACGGCAATACTTCCGCAACGAACATCTTCACTGACATTATCAGACGCTCAGTAACTCTCGACGACCGAGTTAACTGGTTTTGAAAACGAATATTGGCAGCGGTGCGCTTTTAGGTGCTATACCAGAATACGATCAGCTGAAGAATAGCGCGAAACGGTACCCACACTCCCCGGACGTTTTGCTCGAAGTTCCAGCTCGAAGATACCTTAATTGCTTTGACGAGGCAAAGGAAAGGAGAAAGTGGCATGCTATAGAGCTATTTTGCTCTGGCGGAGTGTGTCTGAATATACGAGATGGCGATGATGGCCAGTGGAAGTGGTAGCGGTGGAGGGGGGAGAGGCGCGGGAGTCGTCGGAGGTACAAGCACAGAAAGCCCGTTCGTCATAGAGCACGACGATGATTCGGTGCTGGATAATGATTTTCTGGAAGATGAAAGTAAGTTTAGATACATAGCTCCTTTACATATTTCTTACACCGCGGCCATTCCATTCGCATTGTTGCCGGAGCTGTGGTAAATGGATGTTTATATACTACCTGATCCAACCCGTTTTCATTTCCTATCCCAATGTCGTCCTCAACTTCCACTCCTATCTACACACATGAAGCGCTTTCCCGCGGAAGAAGAAAAAAGGAACCATCCACCCTCAGCTAACCAAATCTCTTCCCACACAGCCATCGAAGCCGACGACCCCCTTCACACCAACGAACCCACCACCGACCGCACACCTCTAACAGGAAACATCGCCTCCACAACCTCCTCCTCATCACGCCCCAACATCTCCGGATCCTACCTGACCTCCTCCATCCCCGGCGAAGACCGGCGCGCCACGCAAAACACCATCGACGAGACCGTCTGGGCAACACTATCACGCGACCTGCTCGCGGTTTGGGAAAAAATGCGGCAGGTGCTGTGGCCCAAGTATCTGCTAGGCGGCATGTTGGCGCGCGGGGGAGGGATGGGAGCGGCGGAGCGTGGGGAAGCGAGCGGGTTTGGCAATGGGCTTGGCGGAGGGGTTAGGGGGTTGGTGGGGAGGTGGCCGGATGCAGATGTTGTGCTGCAGGGGGGCATGAGTGAGGGATTGAGGGATTGGGATCTTTGGTACGTTTTATTTTTGCTGGTGTGGAAAAACGCGGGTTATGAATGGAGACTGAGGATAAGCTGGGAGTTATTGTGTGGACTTGCTCGTTCTTTTGGCTGACGTTTCGTGGGCATATTGTAGGGGTCCGTTGATTTTCTGTCTACTACTCAGCATGTTCCTCTCCATGCGGGCGCAGGGTAACCAAGCCAGTCTGGTCTTCTCGGGCGTGTTTTGCATAGTATGGATTGGCGAGGCTGTTGTGACGATGCAGATCAAGCTGCTAGGCGGGAATATGTAAGTTTCCCCCACGTTTTGCTGAAAAATATGTATCACCATACTAACAGCTGCCACTCCAGATCATTCTTCCAATCAGTCTGTATAATTGGGTACACACTTTTCCCGCTTGTGATCGCATCTCTCCTCAGCGCACTCGGCCTCCCCGTTATAGCACGCATTCCTGTCTACCTCATTCTTATCGCCTGGTCGCTGGCTGCCGGCGTGAGCATTCTTGGTGGGTCCGGCGTGGTGAAGAATCGCGTGGTAATCGCGGTGTATCCGCTGCTTGTATTTTATATTGGGATTGGGTGTTTGTGCTTTATTAGCTGAATACGGGAGGAGTATATCAAGATGCTATGATTTGGAAGACCATGGTTCATGGTTGTGAGACGCGTGGTGCTATAAGACGGTGAATGGAATCGTGGACAATGATCATGTCTCTTATTTTGTTTTCTATGCTATGACTGGGAATCTCATTTTTATCTGAAATATATGCGGTCTCATTATTTTTCCCCCTTGTTTTCAGTTGCGGGCAGTTTTTTCTGTTCTTTCTTCTAAGCCTTTTCACCTTGACATGAGCCTGTTTAATTCCCCGATGCCTTTCCTGTTTAATTCTGTTGTCCTTGCCACTTTTATGGTTTTTGTATGCATGTACCATATAGATCTTCTGAGGTCCTGCAGTTTCTACCGCCTTTTGTCTTATTGATTGCCCGCTCTTCATAGCCCGAATAGAGTGTTTGGCATTCTGTATTCCTACATGTCTTCCTAATTAACCGATGCGTTTCTAAAGAGAGCAGCTTTGTGTCAAAACAACAATAGATAAAACACGATGATAGAAGAAAAAATTTCAGTTCCAGCTCATTATCCGTCTCCGAATTGTGACACACCCTAACCTAACCACTCTGGCGCCCCTTTAGATCCGCATTTTTAAAGGGGCCTCCAGGTAGCATTATGGTGGGACTGCTTATCCTCGTACAATGGGAAACCAGCTGGAGTGTATAATAAATAATAAAACCACGCCTGTCATCAAGCTAATGCTCGAATCCAGTAATACCGAACATATCGATATTCCGTCTCTGCCGCCTAGTGATCGCCATAAAATAAGACTTCATTAATCAGAAGCCACATACTGAAAAGGTACAAGCAAATGAATAGCCTCAGCCGTTGTGTCTCGTCAAAAGCATTTCAGCGATTTGGCCCCCCTTTATTCCCCCAAGAACCGCGCAGCCCGACAAAGACAGAGTACTGATATGAACAACAGCGGCATCCGTTCGGTGTGGATCAAGCAATCAAATTTCAGGTCCTGTGTTGAATAAATAGTCCTCTCGCCAGGTTCAGCTTTGACGGACGAGTGTGTTGGCGGACTGGATTTCCGTTTGTAGTGTTACGATTGAAGGCATCTGGCGGATCTTCTCAACGTCCTGAGTGATTAAATAGCCGCCCTCCCATACAAGAATTGGCTTTTCTGTCGCATTTCGCCGGATTTACCCTTGCCCTGCCCTGGTGTTGTTCTTTTTGTTGTTGTATGAGCGTTGGTCAATCTCCACGGCCACGGCCACGGCCTTGGCTATTAATATTAAATATTTTATTTAATAAATAAATAAATAGTTAGTTAACTTACCGAACGACGCAAACAACCGCCTCCAACCACTCCACCAGTCACTCCTACATAAATATAGCAACAACTCCGCGCACGATAACGGAATCCCATCTTACCTTTTTTCGATTGTATCAGCTATACGGAGTTACTTGAGCCGAGAATATATCCAAGCAACCATCCAGCGTCGACTTGTTTGGGCGAGCGACCCCGTCCGCAACTGATTGGCTTGAGGCCCCACGTATTTAAATACGCCAGCACCACAAAAACCGTGCCACACCCCCAATCCTGCCCGACTCCGGTCAACAACGGCCAGCCGACAGTCGTGACCACGCACAAGAGAACCGCGCACATCGACGCAGTATACCTTTCCTGAACTCGCTAGACTGAAGAAAGTGAAAGGAATAGGCCTGGCATGGCTTCGGAGACACACCAGGAAAATGGTGTGCTGAACGATGAGCCTGCCAGTAGGACCCCGTCTGCAGCCATTTTCCCAGAGCCTCACTCAACCGCCTTGGATACCGCAGAACACACGGACAAGGATTCTCAAGGCCCAGTATCAGGTATGCAGGAGCAGAACCCCGTCTCTCCAAGAGAAACTCAGGAAAAACGTGATCTTGCCTCCCTGCCTGAATCTGACAATCCTGAAGGCTCCAATACGGATGATGTCGGCGCCGCGCCCGGCGCACGACCTACCCCTCAACAAGGTACGCGAGAGAATACACCCCCTTCAAATTCTGGACAGGATCAAGACGGAGAAGCGAGACATATCGAACTCCAAGATGCCCAGGACCAGAAGATGGAGAAAAAAGTTGCACACAAAACTAACGTTAAAAAATCATTATCTGACGCGGATGAAGGCTCTACCCACCTAAAGCAAGAAAACCACGAACCTACTCCGGAAAATGACGTGGCGGAGCTCTCAGAAGGTACGAACGTCCAGGAACCTGAGAAAGACAAAATAAGCCATCCATCCTCTGACAAACAAAAAGATGGCGCCGGTGAACGTCCTGTCCGCCAGAAACTCAAGGAAACCTCCATCGCAGGCGTGCCTCGCCCCAATTCCCCAGAAGACCACGCCATGGCGTCACAGGTAGCCTCGGTGGCCGGAGCAGACAGTGTGAATGAAACAAGCAGCGTGGAAGCGCGGGGAAGGCTATGGAGGAAACGATCAAGGGGCGATATGAATGAGGACGAAAATCAGGACGATATCTCCGGCGTAACAAATACAGACGAGACTGGCCATCGACGAAAGCGGTCAAGGGATTCCAAAACGGATGATCAAAGCAGTGACAACCAAGGGCAGCCTAAGAGTAAGTTGACGGCGGGGGATAAACAGGACATTACAGATAGTATGGATACTAAGCCGCTTGCCGATGAAGGTGGAATACGTACGCCAACAGAAGAGCTCAAAAGCACAGAGCGTGATGCTGCCAATCGCATTCTCAGCCCCAAGAAGAAGCGTAGCAGGGACCAATTCGATAAGGACCATCTGAAGTCTGACGCTCTGGACGAAAAGTGCCAGGAAGGGGCGGCATCAGCTAAAACTGGGGAGTCCTTTGATAGACCCAAGGCCGTGTCTGCTAATCGTACGGTAGAGGGCGAACCGGAGAAGAAGAGACATCGTGATGATTCCCAGGATAGGAGCTCTCAAGGAGATTCCGATCTGGTTTCCAAAAAGGTCTGCAAAATACCCCTTTGATTCCGGTACTTATTGTTATCTTCGTACTATTTGATTTTGCCTTTTTGGATATTATATTTACATCTGTCAATGTGCAACCCCCTAGGCTTCCGCACCGAATCCGTTCTCCAATACCCTAGGCGTATCCCCTTTCGCATCTATGTCATCTAAACCTACCCAACTAACATCAAAGGGCACAACGGAAAAGAAGGAACAGCCCATGACTTCGGCATCTGCCTTCGCCTCATCGAAATTGGCATCCTTTGCCAGCTCAGAAAAATCCCCATTTAGCAGCCTTGGAGGCGGTTCTACTATAGGTCTCAAATCCGCATCTCCTACTAAAAATACAACCGTCAATAAACCCCCACAAACATCTTCTTCAGCATTTACAGCCTCGCCATTTGCAGCTGCCGCTGCTTCGTCCCCGTTTGGTGCATTCGGTGGTGGTAAGTCCGCTTTTAGTCGGAGTGGATTTGGCACAGGTTTCTCCGCCGCTACACCAAAATTAGGTGGGGGATTAGCAGGCTTTGCAGCTTCTACTACGGGCGGGTCTGCGATTTTGGGAGCTGCTGGCTCTAAGCATGGTGATGAGAAAAATGTAGAGAAGGGCAGGAAGGGTGGGGATGATGGGAAGTCCACCTTTGAAGGTTTGGAGGAAGAGAAAGGGGATGAGAGGTTCCATGAACAGCAGAGTATGTCCCTCCTGAGGCCCCCCTCCCCCCCTTTTTTTTTTTTTTTTTTTTTTTTTTTTTTAGCGCTCATAGATCACCACTCTACAACCTATAAATATATATTTGGACAGCGTGTGTACTAACTCCTCCATTAGCTGAGACGGGTGAAGAGGGCGAGGATACCATTTTCTCATGCCGCGGCAAGCTATATCATTTCGACGGTAAGGAATGGAAGGAGCGCGGTGTTGGGGTTTTCAAAGTGAACATCCGGGAACCGGCGAATGGTGATGATGATACAGACGAATCTAGCGAAGAGCAACAACCCCTAGAAGACAAGGTAGAGGAAAAAGAAGAAAAGGAAGAAGTCAAGGCCAAGACCGATGAGGACGATAACAACGAACCAAAGAAGAAAACAGCCCGAGTGATCATGCGGGCCGATGGTGTGTGGCGGGTTATCCTAAACATTCCTATTTTCAAAGGTATGAAAGCGGGTGATCCGTCCGGGGCAGCTCCGAAGGGAAAACAAGTGCACTTTGCGGGGTTCGAGGAGGGCAAGTCTGTCCCTTTCCTATTTAGGGTATGTATTTTTTCGTTTATCTGGAAGTTTAGTTATTTTTTATTTTTTATTTTCAAATTTCTCTAACTTATTGTCTTCAGACCGGAAACGAAGATGTTGCCAAGGAGCTCTGTGTCACTATCCAGAAACTCCAAGAAAGTCTATGAGATTTTCTTTTGTTATTTCCATCCGTTCTTTCTTGCGCCCAATTCACCTTTAAGCGCTCCGTTCCATTCCTGCTAGTCTTTCCTTTTGGCCTTAACTTACACAACAAACCGTGGATAATTAATTTTCTCTTTCTATTTATAAAAAAACCCATCTCGTCTGCTCGAAGTGTCTATCTTTGACTCTGTTCGTGGTTCAACTTTTCAACCTGTTCATACCTTTATTTCCCCGAGGTTATTAAGGGGGATATACCTGCTCCGACAATCCAACATTTCTTTTGTCGACAACACACAAACGCCCTTCTTTCCTTAATATTTATTAGCATTGTAGTTTTTGTGTTTTCTTTAGTATCATAGCATGGGGATGCATGGCCCCATCGAAGAAGCGGGATAAAGCACGGAATCTACTTGGGGAGGCGGGAAAGATATACAACGGAATTTGCTGGAGAATTCAGTTTTTTGCTCTCCTTTGTTCTATTTGGGTTGTTCGTCTTTTTGTTCCTGCAACATATCTTTATTTGCCCGTGTTCTTTTGTTTAATTCCATATCCTTTCTCACTTTTTTCCCCCCTCCAGTCGCTCGGAAGCAGGATCTTCTTCATTTTCCTTGTTTGTCAGAGAACGATAAACTCATATCCATTCCACCCGCGTTGTCTTCAATTTCCTCGTTTCCCTTTCTTCTTCCATTCTGTTTACTTCCGCGATGCTATCTAGGCGGAGATTGGATTTATTTTCATGACTCCATTTCTGCAGGCATAGAGACGTAAACGTCAAAATTACGGTTACAAGCAAAATAAATCCTCCAAACGTTGACTGGCAACTCGCAATTTTATTATAAATATCATCATCTAGTTTATATCCGTCCTATCTCAAGAATCCAATAGGCCTAATGTTTAAAAGGAGTTGGGTATGTCTCAAATGAATTAACTGGTGGCTTTTTCGAAAGCTTCGGCCGATTTGGGCAATTAGCTCAGTTGGTAGAGCGTTCGCTTTGCATTCTAGGCTTGCGAAAGGTCGTGATTTCGATTATCACATTGTCCAGTTCTTTTTTTATTTGGATAATTTTTATCTTTTCCATCCAGTCTTGCAGCTTGCTTGAGGGACGGACGTGATTAATCAATCACTCACTGCTTCTTGAGTTCCCATGCACTTCCCGAAGAAAATAGTTGTTTTTAAGAGGTCAAATTTTCAAACAAGGAGCGCATCCATCCATTAACTACAAGTCACATGACCACGTGTTGCTCGCCGCGCGACTGTTGGAACCTCATCTGTACTACATTATAAGAGAGCGAGCGACAGCAACCCGTACAAATGGCCTTCGGGTAGGCTATTTTAAACAAGAGTACTACATGAAGCGATGCTTTTCACATCTGAGTGGATCTTCTCTCGTCCAGAATTTTCCATACCCATGAATAATATCTATCTCCTACCCCAGACTTTCGAGGTGATGGTCAAGAAGGAGACGTTGGAAAAGCGCGTATGAATCCTTCAACAAGCCTACCAGTGGAGGTGACCACCACTACTATCCTCCCAACCAAAGCGCATGATGGGGGGCGTAGCATGACTACATTGGAGCCTACGGCTGGCAAAAGAAAACGCTCTACAACCTCATCTTCGAGATCTAGTAGCGCCTCTTCCCGGGGTCGGTCGAAAAAATCACTAACCACTTCCTCTCCGTCGATCCCCTGGCCTGAACCTTTCAAGCTCCTCGCTCAAACACACCGCGCCTTGAACCTCGTTTACACGTTCTGCTCTGCGCGAAAGCACTTTGCGACGACGTTTGATAATATCAAAACGGCTGTTGAGGCGCAGACGGGCGGGCGCAAACTGAGTGTTGAAGATGCTGCGAGGGTTAAGGTGCTGATCCCGCGGTCCGTGAGATTGGAGATTGTTGATAAGGGGGTGGTGGATCTTGTGGGAGTGAAGGAGGCCAAATCTACTAGACTTGGGAAGACTTGGAGTGACTGGGAGGCTGAGGGGATGGGGCAGGATGCCGGAGAGAGCGAGGATCCAAATCCGGATGGTGAGAGCGATGCCTTGATATTTGAATTTGTGGATGGGGATTTGAAGAAGGACGCTCAGCAGAATATTTCACGCCGGAGATCGAAAGCAGACGACATTAGGGTGCCCGTCTACAGCCAGAAACATATGATGAGTCTGATCGAGAAACGAAATAAGAAATTTGTGGACGCTGTTGATGCATTTCTTGCGAAGTGTCAGGAAGAGGATATCGATCCTGTCGAGAAGCTGGAGGCTGATAAAGAGATGTATGTCCCTGTATCACCCCGGAGTGGTGTTAGCACTCCTGCTGCAGCGAGGTTCCCCGCACAGATACCTAAGGAACGCCCAACTATTGCAGAAATCATTGCGAGCATAAGAGAAATGGAGTGGTACCATGATCAGATAGTACCCGATGGACACCGGGTCTTTGATCCACAGCCAGCTGTTTATGGTGATCTGAATTTTCCTCTTTCGCAGAGCCTGGTCAATGCCTTGTACAATACCCGAGGCATTACGAAGTTCTATTCGCACCAGGCAGAGGCTATCAATAACCTCCATGACGGAAAAAATGTCATCATTTCTACTTCGACGAGCTCAGGGAAGTCGCTTATTTACCAGGTTCCGATGCTACATGAGCTGGAACAAGATCCCCATAGTAGAGGGATGTATATCTTTCCAACAAAGGCACTTGCTCAGGATCAACGACGGAGTCTGAAGGAATTATTGGGCTATATCGAAGGCTTGGAGCATATACTTGTGGAAACATTTGACGGAGACACCCCTATGGCGGATAGAAATACAATTCGAGACGAGGCACGGATTATTTTCACCAATCCGGATATGCTACATATTACGATATTACCTCAAGAATCCTTTTGGCGTACTTTCCTAAAGAACTTGAAATTCGTAGTTGTGGATGAACTACACGTTTATAACGGTCTTTTTGGGTCCCACGTTGCCTTCATTATGAGACGGCTACGGAGGATATGTGCTGCTGTTGGAAACCGCCGTGTCAAGTTTATATCTTGTTCAGCGACGGTTGCGAATCCCGTGGAACATATGCAAACAATATTTGGAATTGATGATGTGAAGTTAACAGACATCGACGGGTCGCCTTCGGGGAGAAAGGAATTTATATGCTGGAATACCCCGTTTCGAGATCCTGGTGACCCATCTTCTGGCCGCGGTAATAGTATCCAGGAGAGCGCCCGTTTGTTCTGCCAGCTGGTTTTGAGAGGCGTACGCGTGATTGCCTTCTGTCGGGTTCGAAAACAGTGTGAACTCTTGCTGAGTGCTGTTAGAGATGAGTTCAAAAGCCTAGATCGAATTAATGTCTCACGGTTTGTCATGGGTTACCGTGGAGGCTATAGTCCACAGGATAGACGAAAAATAGAGCGGGATATGTTTGAAGGGAAATTACTTGGGATCGTCGCTACGAATGCGCTCGAGCTAGGCGTGGATATTGGTTCACTTGATGCTGTGATAACGCATGGATTTCCATACTCCATTTCAAATCTGCGTCAACAAAGTGGGCGTGCTGGGCGCAGAAACAAGGACTCGGTTTCTATCCTCGTCGGCGATTCCTACGCCACCGACCAATATTATATGCAGAATCCAGACGAACTTTTTACGAAGCCCAACTGTGAACTGCAGGTGGACTTACGAAATGAGTTGGTCCTTGAAGGCCATGTCCAGTGTGCTGCCTTCGAAATGCCCATCCGGCCGGAAGAAGATACTGAATATTTCGGCCCACAGCTCTACGAGTTTGCATCTGCACGACTCACCAAAGATAATTTAGGCTTTTACCATTGCCACGAGCGATTCCGCCCGCACCCCTCGAAATGTGTGGCTATTCGTGACACTGAAGATAACTACTATGCAATCATCGACACAACTAACAACCGAAATGCAGTAATCGAAGAAATCGAGGAATCGAGAGTATTTTTCAGTATCTACGAAGGAGGCATTTTCTTTCACCAAGGAAATCCATATATGGTCAAGGAGCTTAACACAGACCGACGTTTTGCCCGTGTCGTCCGCGTCCATGTGGACTGGACCACCCAACAACGTGATTTCACGGACATAGACCCTGTCGAGACGGAAGCCATAAGGCGCATCAGTGCCTCGGCCAACACCAAGGCCTTCTTTGGCGCCATCAGGATCCGTACCGTCGTCTATGGGTATTTCAAACTGGATAAAAAGGGGCGAATTCTCGATGCCGTGGCGCTCGATAATCCTCCGATCGAAATCATGAGCAAGGGAATGTGGCTGGACGTGCCGAAAGGCGCACTGGATATCTTGAAATCTCGCAACCTCAACGCGGCCGCAGCCATCCACGCCGCCGAGCATGCAATTCTCTCTCTCATGCCAACATACATCGTCAGCTCGTCGCCTGGCGATGTCCGCACAGAGTGCAAAGTTGCCGCTAAGGAATTAGGTCCAAAGCACAGACAGGCACTCGCCCATCATGATCATGCCCAATCCCACGCCGTTCCACCTCCTCCCAAGCCTGCCCGCCAGCGCCCCGCCCGACTAACTTTCTACGACGCCAAGGGCGGGCCATCAGGTTCGGGCATCTCCGCCAAGGCCTTCGAGTTCGTAGATAGTCTGCTCCGACGGGCGCTGGGGCGGATTGAAGCGTGCCAGTGTACGGCTCCGCAGGGCTGCATCGAATGCGTTTGCGATGAGCGGTGTAAGGAGATGAATGTCGTCATGAGCAAGGCTGGTGCTGGAGTGGTGTTGAAGTGTCTGCTGGGGATGGAAGTGGATGTGGACGCTCTGCCGTGGGGGGAAGATGTGCTGGGGGAAGGTTTCGTTGGGAGGGATGAGATGTTGAGCCCGCGGGGGAAGGAATTGGCTGGGGGATTGGAAACTATTGTTGAGGCTGTGGAGGTTTCGGCAAGGCCGGGTGTGTCGGTTCGGATCTATGGAGCAGAAGGAGAGTGAAATTGAGATAATTTAACTCTGCGGTTTTCTTCTCGCCATATGTATATGTGCGAGGGCATTCCTGCGCAGCACTCGAAACAATTGAGTGAGATATCGACTCAGTCGTTCATTGCTGGATGCTTGGAGTTGATAACTTCTCCCGGCCGGTTGGGTTTGGCTCTTCTTGGCACCTTTTTTTTTTTTCGTCTACTTCTATACTTCTCGAAATTACCCTTTCATTTTTACATATTGTACCGTAGTACATATGGAAGAACCACAATTTCCGCCCAAGACAAGCAACTTTTGAAATTTTTTTTGTTGTTCCCTGTATCAAAATGGGTAGAAAGGGGGAAAAAAAGGGCTCTTCGCGTCCTGATCAACTGCTGCTGTACGAGGTGGTAACAATGAATACATACCCAAAACTTAACAAAAGATACACGTTGTCGTAAGCAAAGCAAAGCAATCTGAGAAACAAGTAAAGGGAAAGCAAAAGGAACGACGAATGCGTGTAATACGAACGAAATGAGGTAGAGCTTTTCAACCCCCCCACCCCCCCCCTTAACTAACATCTTGTAATAATAGCACCGTCAAAAAAATTTTTTTTTTTTCCTGGTATACGAGTAAAGTTGCTTTAGAATGGACATATATATATATATGGGCGGGTAGGTGTTGTGTCTCCATATTTCTATTAATTATGTTTTGCACTCGCGCTTATTTCCGCACCACTCGCACCACCCGCCCCACTCCGCCCCACTCCGCCCCATCAAACCACGCCACCGGGCCGCATCCATCCCCATGATATCCACCCTAGCCGCCCCACGGGCCCCCCACTTCGCTTTTGCCCGATAAAAGCAGCGTTTCGGGATTACGATAACGGAGGGAGCATCCTGCGGCACGTACCCGCACGGCCGTTTCCTTTGGCGGGAAATTCCGTTCCAGTTCCTTCCTACTCGTCCAGCTCAAGATAGTAGTAGCCGAGTGAAGGTTGGGATTAGGACCGTGCGCTTGGCGCTGTTACTATGTATGTACATGCACATGCTGCTGTACGTGGAACCAGCCTGAAATCGATCGATCGTTTAAATAAGTAGGCGACCCCGTTGTTTCGTGATACGCCTGATAAGAGGAATGAACGCCAAAGCAGGTGACTTATCGGCCTAGTTATGGACATCGATGACGTCATCTTGCATTTCGTACGTAGCGCCGGACGTCGTTCGATAGGGTCATTCATCAATCAGTCCCCCATGGTCCGAGACCAAGGAGGCAAAACACACATGTTTGGCAGGTTCTATTCTGTCCGTTTTCCGAAACGCCGTTGTATTCTCTTCTCACCAAGCGTGAAAAACTGTGGGCTCGATAATGTAAAGCGTGTGGATATCCATTTCCTCCCTTTTTTTTAACCTGGGATTTTTTTCATCAATTTGCTGGGGCCATTGAGGACAACGAAACGCCTCGGCCGAAAAGGATCGAGCCGCACTAACGGAAGGCATTTCCCAGTAGACAATAAACGCGGGTTAACTGATGGAATGGAAGTTTAATTCCACGTCTGGGCGGCTCGAAAGGTATCTAAAGATGCAATTTCAAATCCCGGTGTTTGACAGGTAGGGTAGGTGGAACGATTGTATATATAATGTACATTGTACTTTCGGGTGGTGGAAGAGTAAAATGCCTTTCGTTATGCGAGCCCCCAAATCCCAGTCCGCGTAGAATCGAAAAAGGGGAAGTTAGGGATAAGAGCAATAACGACGCTTTATCCCTCGCCGCGTGCATAATTGAAAATTAAGAAGAATATACCGGAAGCCCCGACGCTGGACGACTATAGCGTATTAGGAGGTTGATTCGGATGGAGACGTGTCAGGATTTAGTCCAGCTGCAGTAGGAGGCGTGAGTGTATTGCTTGGAGAGCTTCCGTGGCTGCTATCATCACCACCCATGGCCATTCGCCAGAACATCGTCTTCAAATCTCGAATGTCCTCGCGGAATGTGTCTCGTGGTTTAAGTTCGCGCTCACTAGTCCAGTCACGGATTTCATTAACTATTCTTGGATATCCTTCTTCGTTTGGGAGCCACCAATGATTCAGTTCGGGAAGTTGCCATAAATCTGCCATTTTGGCGCGGAATGCGGATGGGTAAATAAAGCTGGATATATAAAGGAATTTTGGTCAGTAATGTAAGAGATACCATCTAGATCATACATAGCTGTGTGTTACCAAAACACAAAAGGATTTGGCTTACCCAAGTCGTTCCACCTTCGCCAATATCCTCCGAGACCACATAATATGTTTTTCATCACTAGGAATGAAGAGCACAGCCAGAGCGAAAGAGGATTGAGCCTGTAGGATAGAGTCTTTCGGTTTGTCGGGCCACCGTTCCATGGTTTCAATCAGACTGCATAGCTTTAATGCATCGGCTTGCAGTTCCTCAAGGTCCAGCTGCTGCAACAGCAAACCCGTTTGGTATTTATGCATCATTCTGGCACCGATGATGTCAACAAGCAAATTGTTAACATCCCACAATGATTCATCATATATCCTCCCAGGCACGTAAGGGTCCACGATATCATTCGGCCCAAGAGGGACCTTATTTGGGAAGGACGTAATTAGGTGATCCGGATGGACTAAACAACTCCACGCGTCCTGAATTTTGTCAAGCCTGGCAGTGATATCTTGATTTTGGCGTGAAAATTCTTCAATCGTAATAAGCCCACGCGATGTCTTTGCAATTAATGACGCCATATCCATGCCAACCCTCCGATTGCGGAGGGCCAATGTGTAAAATTTTTTGTTGATGTTGCCCGGGTGGCTAGCTTCGTCCTCGACGGCGAACAACTCACACGCAATATACCATTCTCGACTCAAAATGGCTTCGTTTCCGGCTAAGATACCGGATACTATATCGAAACGGGTATACCAGAGGAACATATAGCGGCGGAACTCATTTTCATTGATTTTTTCTGGCGTATAGAGCTCGGTGAGCATCCGATGGGCGGCTTGATGATGGTCGGTAACGCTCACCCAATCCCCTATGTACTCCTGCGGACTTTGTTAGAACAAATAGCCGAATAAGTTTCACCTTGGAAAAGTTAAAAAAAAAAAAAAAAAAAAAAAAAAAAAAAAAAAAAAAAAAAAAAAACATACTTCAAAAGTTGCTAGCTGAAGGATGGTCAGCATCATAGCATCGTGGTGCACGTTGCTCGTACTTAGCGACTTCAATAGGCCCGTTACTGATTTGTGATAGTACTGGAGGAAGGTGTAAAGTTTGCCATTGGGATGCCTGATGGAGTAAATATAAGACGAAAACCCGACGATAGCATACAACAGTGGCTTATATTGCATAGCTAGTAAAATGATATCGTTGTTGATAAAGGACTGTGCGTCCTGTCGCATAAAATAGTGGCGAAATGTAATATAATGTCGATGATATGCGAGAAAAAATTTCACGTCTTCTGTAAGCTTGGAAGCACCGGGCAAGCTGGAAATTGCCTCAAGAGAGGGTCCAAGTGGTCCAAGTGCTGGTGCTTCAGTGCCATCACCGGGGCTGCTCCGGGATTCCGATATTGCAGACGTCACATCACTTACGGGAGAATTATCTCTCTCTTGGATATCGGATGCTGCTTCGGAAGGTGGTCGTCCTCTCCGCCTGGGCAGTGATTGGGCACGTTGTCTTCGAGAAATAGATGCTTTTAGTCTCGATACCGGTGGAGACTTTGGGCGAGAAGAGAGGTCTTCGTTTGTAGATCCATTCCTTTTTGCATTGTTCGTTTTCGAGATCGCCGAGTCGCGGTCATTATTTTCATCCGAAGATCCACTTTCTGGTATTGCTGGATGTTTTTCAGCAGTTCCCGGATTTGCGCGGCTTCCTGTTGTTCTTCTTGCTGGGGGCGGCGGATAGACACATTCTCTTTTGCCCTTACTGCAACCTGGAAAATATCGCAAAACGAGTCAATGTAAAGTAACAAAGTAACTAAATTTCTGGTTGAGGGGGTTGCATAACGTACGATCGCAAGTTGGACGAGTCTCATCGCACTGTATATTACATATACATATCAGCAACGAAAGTTTTTTTTTTTTTTTTTTTGGAGGTTGTGCAAGAAGAAAAACGACCTACTTTTACTCGGCGAGAACGACACGTGAAGCATCCACTTCTTGTTCTTTTGTGTTTTCTTTGATCATTTGGGAGGGACGGCATTTGTGAAAGGGAATGGGAACGATGGACTTGCGGATGAAGTAGTTGCGGTTGATGGAGATGATGGAGATGATGGGGATGATACCACAGGGAGGAGGAGGAGTTGGTGTGGGGATATTGTGGGGTTGGCAGTAACTCAGACTGGGCCGCGTCTTGCGTCGAGGGTACATGTAGATGTAGATGATGTACATGTACATTGTAGCCTTCTCGAGGGTGACGATCAGGCAGAAAATATGAATTCATTTTGCTTTCCAATTGCTTGTCTGGCGACTGACTAGAAACGCCGTGGATTGTCCCGGACGATGGGATTTGTGGAAATGTCATTTATCTTGGTTCAGTCCAAGCAAAACACTTGCTTGGTTTGGGGAGCGCAACAACCCCTGCATACGAGGGTGGGAAAGGGGTTGGTAAACGAATGAATGAATGAATGAATGAATGAATGAATGATACCAGCCTTGACAAGAAAGACAACTAGTTAAGGGAAGGGTTGAATAACAAATAACTAATCAATCATACCTCGGAGTAAGTTTCGTTTAGCTACCAGGAATTTTTAAGGCCTCAGGTTACTCTCCAGCGGTGATAGCCACGAGAACGAGAACGGGGCCGAGAGAGATCATTCTTGCTGCAGTGACGAGGATGAGATGGGGATGAGATGGGGATGAGATGGGGATGGGGATGATGATAGGAAGTCAGTATTATTATTATGATTATTATTATTATTATTATTGCAAGTCTTCGGGTCGGTTTTGGGTTCGGTCTCGGGAGCGAGCTCTGTCTTCGGAAAGGCCTAAGAAGAAGAATTCTAAATATTGATACTGTACTCCGTAAATAGTTTTAAGAAGACGAATAAGAATAATAATGACAATAATAATAATAATAATAATAATAATAATAATAATAATAATAGGAATGGTAACTAAGGTAAGGGTTCGCTGTCGAAGTGGACTTGGACTTGGACTTGGACTTGGAGTGGACTGGACTGGACTTTTGGACTGTTGGTATGGTATGGTATGGTATGGTATGGTATGGTATGGTATGGTGTGTATTATCCAGCTCTTGGTTTGAGCCAAGCAATTAGTTAGGCCCTTAAGTTAGTTAAGTTAGTTAGTAACCTAACTAGTTAACTTATACATTCATTTCCCCAGTCGAGAAAAAGGGAGAAAAAGGGAGGGGAAATGAAATGGCGTTGCTACTTTTATTTAATAATAATTACTTCTTGTAGAAAGTAGATACAAAGTGCAAAGAAGTCCTTCCAACAACCCAGGAAGCAAAATAAATAAATAATAAATGTAAAAGAAAATGTAACTAACTACGGAGTAGCGAGTTAAGTTATTAGTTATTAGTTAACTAACTATTAGTTGAGAGAAGACTCTGGAGCTAAAGTATATTTATTATTAGTACCCCAGGGTGCCATCCATCCATTCCCTTGATTCCTCCAACTCCAAGGTTATCGGTTTGTCCTGTATTCCTGTCCAGATGTCCAGATGTCCAGATGCCCAGATGTGTCCAGTTTATCCAGTTTATCCAGATGTTCAGTTATCCAGTTATCCAGTTATCCAGTTGTCCGATGATCTGGAAGTTAGTAGTGCCTTGTTCCCACTCGTTGCAACGGGCCACCAATATTAACAGCAATGAATATGGGTAGTAGCCAGCTTAGTAATCAGCTGAGTTTAGCCACCGAGATTAACTAAAGATTTAAACTCAGCTCACAATGAGTGAGAAAATAACAGGCAAAGTTGACCTCAATTAAAGGAGTCAATATCATGTGGCTCTATAACTAATACTAACTACTATGAGTTAAACTACTTTGGGACTAGTGGATATTGATTAGAAGTCTCAACAAGTTTCAAACTTCTTTTGTGGCAGCACTGTTTGGCTGTTTTATTGCTAACGCCGTCCTCAAAGAGGGCAAGGCAACACTGCGAGATTGGGCTGAATTCAATTCCAACAAACCATCAATTAATAATTAGACTTCGAAGTCATCGAATGCCCTTTTTTTTTTTTTTTTTTTTTTTTTTTTTTTTTTTTTTTTTAAGTTCACGAAACATTGAATAGAGAAAATCCCTGGACGGGTTGCCCAGTTTCCGGTCACTAGCAATCACAGTCAGGTCAGGCCACTCTCCGGCGGAGGGTAACTTACGGGGCATTGGATCTGTTGTTGTGTGTGGGGGATAGACCCCCGGCTGGCTGGTGAGCTTTTTTTTTTTTTTCTTTTTTTTTTTCAGAGAATTCTTTCTAATTTTTTCTAACTGTGCTTTTGTTTTTGCTTTTGCTTTGCTTTTTGCTTGTCTTTTCTCTCTCGACAATCAATCCGAGCTCAGAATGAATCTCGCTCGCGGGAATGCGGGAATGTAGAAACAGCGGCCAACAAGCATCCAGCCAAGGGATGATTCCAGCCCTGGCGATTGATTAGCCAAAAATCCGCAAATAGCACGCGATACGCCAAGGATTAAAACCTTGCTGTTACGCTACCCAACAAGGTTCCGTCAAAGCTGGTTACTAAAACACCTACCCTAGTTATATAGAGTAGGGTAGGGTAGGGAAGGGAATATTAATGAGAAAAGCCGGGAAACTAGTCTTGATGAGAGAGAGTACTTATTCACTCTATACTCTTCTGTAGTTACTAGTAACTGAAGATGCTTGGTTTGATATCAGATCGATTTTTTTGGAGTAAGTACATGAAATGCCGGAGCTAAAGTTTCCCCCGTTAGTTATTACCTAACTAACGTCGTATTATTTTATTCATTTAAATTAATAATATTTTTATTATTATTCAGGGTTTGCCTTTTCGTTCCCTTCCCGTGCCCCGCGGAATCTTGACCGAGCGCCCAACAACAACACACGGGGGTTGGCCCGAATTTTGCCTTCTTCAAGATTTTTCATCTGCGGGATTGATATATAAAACCTTGTTTCGCCACGCCTTCTGGTGGGAACAAACAACAACCTTAGGGGACGACGCTCACACTCATCTCTGCCTAGCCGGCCCCATCTAGAAGACTCTGGACCATGGGATGCTGGGAATGGGAGGAAGGGAATTTATTTTGGCTGAATGTCCTGGCTTGTCCTGGCTTGTCCTGTCTTGTCTGTCTTTGTTCAAAATTCCATGGAAAACTTTAATAGTAAAAAGGAGACATGGTCATGTGATTATTGTGTTGCTTTGTCTGTTAGTTATTCACGGCGGTTTATCATTCATTTATTCATTGCCCATGGGCCATCTACAACCGCGGAATAATAATAATATCGTATTCATTCCCCTGAATTAGATTATACATATATACATACCATGTCAAGATCTGGGTTGCCGACATGACCATCGGTACCCAACCTAGGTAGCGTAGTCAGTTCATAGTGCTGTATCGAAGGAGGCATGTTTGTGTTGTGTGTATGTGTTAACAACCTTCATCGCCGTATAGGAGGGGGTCATGGATAGATAGCTCACAATGACCCCTGGAAGATTCTGGAATTCTGGAATTCTGGAAGTTCTCGGGGAGGAATATTCATCTCGCCCATCAGGAACAACCAGGGCATCCTCTGAGACAGCTCTAATTTGTTTTGGGAAATTTCGAGCACAGTATTTACGGATTATGGAACAGCCAGCCAGCCAGCCAGCCAGTCAACCAATCCATCCATAACTTCCTTCCATACGTCCCAGGTTTGGTGATGAGTGAGATGCTATCACATATCGAGAGTGGTATCTATAGTTATTCAAATCTTTTGCCCTCGGGCTAACTCGACATAGATCCCCACCATACCCATACACGGACCGGACTAATCACTACTTGTACAACCTTTTGGCGGACGGCACACTTGCAGAATTGTCTGGAGGTTTGATTGGCATGCCAACTAAGCGCCTACGTAAGCGCCCAAGCCTCCTTTAGCGTCATGCCACAGCGTAAGCTTCGATGGTAACTGTAGGATAGTTGAAGGTCGTATTGATAGATCTATCTACAAAGAGCTTAATATAGTGGTGGGTCACGTGATCTAGGGAGATCGCTAACCGCAACGGCCGTAACGTAACGGCCAACAGTAACTAACGCGCGAACGCGTTCTCAAACTTTAGTCTGAGGTAGGTCGTCGTAGAACCACACCTCGTCACCATTCTGCTGGAGCTTCTCGTAGACGAGTTCTGCGATATCCAGGGCCTTGGGAAAATCGATACTGCGTCGTTGAATTTTCCAATGGGCTTGCTTTGCACGCTTCAGTAGAAGAGGCAGTTCGTATGCGCTGCCAGCCTGATACAAAACAAGGACACTCGTTTTGTATTCAGTTGCCTGTTTCACAGCGTTCGATAAAACGGGAAGTTTCAGCGCGTCTGGTATGTGCCGGTGTACAGGAAATGTACTAGTGTGTGTGTGTCCAATATCCTCATCTACGCAGTAGTTCATGGTACTTCAATCGTTCGAATTCCCAAGAGATAATAATTGGAAGCTCCAGTGCGGGGACCTTTTCAGATGATGGGTTGGCACTGTATAGCGCATAAAAGTCTTGGTCCCGACGAGGAGATAGCAGCAGTCTTCTGTATACAATCTGATTCTCAGAGTTAGAAGGTGTGCCGGGTTAAGACAGGTGTAGGAACTTACGAGGACGCAGGATCCTTCTCAAAGTCGTCGCCAGATGCGGGCATGGTATTAAGAGGGGGGCCTGCAATATCATTTTTGGAGGCGTTGAGTATAGAAGAAGAAGCAGCAGCAGTAGCAGTAGCCGTCTTCTTCTTCTCCCCTTTCATGGCATTATTGGGGGTAAAAAGAAAGAAAGAACATGTAGGCTTGTCGTTTGATAGTTTTACCACTAGGTTTAGACCTTCACATTAGAAATAGCTTCGTTTTAATCCGGATATAGCCGTCAGGCGATATTGGAAGACTTTTGTTATATCATTGTTATTTATTAGAAAGGGACGCAGTTAAAGATCTGCAGGAATCAAGCATCGAGATAACTATTCCCTCGTCGGTGTCGATTATTCGGAATATTATATAGAATATGGAAACCAGCAATCATGAGATCGGCCAAGGGATGGCTGGCTGCAGTAAATATATCCCCGGATCAGATACGGGCTTATATTGATTGCGGAAAAGAGAGGCGAGCAACTCCACTTCTTCTCCTTCGCTTGCATTTACTGTAGCTATTTAAACGACCAAGACCTAAGCTCCCGGACCCTCGTCCCAAGTTCAACGGAGAGGACCAGCCCACAAGGAAACGACTCTGTCCTCCCTAATTTTCTTCATCATCAGATCGATCTGGCCTTTTCAAGACCCTGCTCGCAAGGAAAAGGCTCTGGCCCAGTTAAATGCTCTCCGCCAAGGAAACAAACCGTTCCAAAGACCTGCTAGGAGAACTAGATCGGTTACCTCATGAAAGCCAGTGATCATGGATGGGCGGACAACGTCAAGAAGGGATACTTGAAACACTCCCTCAACTACAAAGTGAGGGATTACAGAGGCAGAGAGATAGACCATGTCATTGACATAGTGGACCAAGACAAGAACGGAAATCCCCCAAAGATTCTATGGGGACCTCTCTACAATATGTCCAGAGATGAACTGCTAGCTCTGCACAAAACTCTAACTGATTATCTAGATAAGAGGTTTATTCACATCAGTAATTCTCCAGCTGCCACTCCCATGCTGTTTGCTAATAAGCCCAGTGATGGTCTGCACTTTCGTGTTGATTATCAGGGCCTGAACAAAATCACCTGTAAGGATAGGTATCCTCTTCCATTGATACAAGAAACTCTTCAACAAGTGGCCAAAGTAAAATGGTTCACCAAGCTGGACGTTATCGCGGCCTTTCACCAGCTTAGAGTCAATGAAGGTGACAAATGGAAAACAGCGTTTCATACATGTTATGGACTGTTTGAGTGGCTGATGGCTGGTAACCCCTTTCGGATTGACAAACGCACCTAGCACCTTTCAACGATATATTAATTGGGCGTTGCGCGAATACTTGGATGACTTTAGCTCTGCATACATAGATGATACACTCGTCTTCACGGGACGGGAGTCTGCAGCAACACAGGGAACACGTTCGAAAAGTCCTGCAAAAAACTTCGTGAGGCCGGTCTCAATCTGGATATTGACAAGTGTGAATTCGAAGCAGGCTCAGTGAAATACCTAGGTTTCATCATCGAGGTGGGAAAGGGAGTTCGGATGGATCCGGAGAAAGTGAAGGCCATTCAAGAATGGGAGGCCCCAACGACCGTCAAAGGGCGTACGAGGATTCATCGGATTCGCCAATTTTTATCGGCAGTTCATAAAATGGTTTTCATAATAGGACCTCTCACGGAGCTGAAGAACATAAGCAGTGCGATGGGAGGAGATGACTAAGTAGTATTTGCCCGGAGTGTGCCTCAGACCTATAGCAAGTTAATGGATGGCATGCTCAAAGAATCTATGCCACTATTGAATTGCCGTTCAAAGATATGCTATTATGCTCTTTGTGGTAAGAGGTGAAACTGCCATTCAAAATATTTGGCGTACCAAGTTGGAAGACAGTTCTTAGGGATTTCGAATCGCATTGGCAGATAACATGCTTAGACAGAGGCGATGCCAGCTCAAACAAATACCGAGACTGCAAATTGAACAAAGTTGAAACATTCCTCCACAAGATCACAAGACAAAAAGTATACTCCAAAGCACACTTCAGAGCACATGCCTCCACCCCGACTACGTAGCTTCCTCAGTCCGCCTCGACATTGTTGGACAAGTCGTCGAAGAGTGATTCCACTGCCGCCTCGGTTTCCGCGTCGGTCGGGTTTTGCTTGATCTCAACATCGGCGAATGACAAATTCCGATGACTGTCCTGTTGGGCCTCCTTCCTGATGGTCGAATTTTCCGCGTTGATGTTTAGTTGCAGATAATAGCGGCGGTATTCCTTGCCATCCTTCTTAACCAGAGCGCCGACATCCAGCCTGCTCCCAATTTTAGAGTCGTTGGTTCCACTTTTAGTTGGCGCAGCTCTTTCGCCCGGTGTCCCGTTGCCGCTGACGAGCTTCGTCATGCGATTTTTGGAGCCCGTTACTCATGTTTTGAGATCCTTGAGGGAATTTTGCAGCGCGCGAGAAGCCATGGTTCCAGTGTCCATGGTTCCAGTGTCGAAAGGATTGGCGCAGAAGGGCAAATATGCGACGCTCGTTAGGCCTATTTAGTATGTTAGTACCAGAACATAGGTCGGTTTCGATGGCTTTCTCACAGTCTTATTGCTTTCGACTTGTCAGATGTTGGCAATCGAGGGACTGATACGATGCACATGGCATACTTCGAAGGATCTGTGAGGGGAATTTTGCATGCCTTTTCTGCACGTTTCCAGCAACTGTGTCCATCGCGTTGTTAGCGGCAGGGGCGATGTTTTCTGCTTGCCGCCCAGAGAATTTGCATGATTTGGTTTAGACAAGAGCCTAGAGAGAGCATTAGCAGGCAGCAAGATCGTTGCTCATTCATCCAAACATTGCAAGCCAATCACAGAGTCTTGCTGTCCTTCTCCTGACACACTATCAGGGGTTTCAGTGCGAATGTGAGCGCGTAGTATACCAATCAACATCGTCATTACTGAACTACACAGTCCTGTGTAGGGATCTAGCCTCTGATCACAGCTTGTCCATACATATTTGTGCATTGCCAAATATAGATGATCACACTTAAGTGCCGCCGCCGGCCTTGGCGCTCTGCAAGAAGACAAATCCGTTCTGGACTCAACGTATTAGAAAGTGCAATCAGCTGATCGCCATGTTTTGAACAGAAACTGTGCAGATCATGGAGGGCAAACAAGTGACAGCAATTTATCACTGGGTTCCTAAACCCGTACCAGACTTTCCGTAATACCAACAATCCGGGTTTCAAAAAGGGAAATATTGCGCGGATGAGCACATCCGAGGCCGAGTGTGCATTAGAAAGGTGAGCGGCGCATAATGGGAGTAGTAAGTCCAAATAAGACTAGCTTTCCATTGACCTTTTCCGCAAGTTAATCACAACCGCTAACTTTCGGCTCTTTCGGCTCGACACACTCGCTCAATCGTCGAATGGCCAGGGTTGCTCAAAGACAGCTGTATCCCAACCTGGAAGAGTGCAATACTGGGCGATGAGTTCCTCCTTTCGCTCTTTGAGCAATGCCTTGACTTGCTCGTAGTTTTCATGTTCCATGACGCCTTTCTCAGGACATAGATTTCCCAGATCGCGTTCAATATCCTTCATTAACTTGATGCCCAAGTCCGCACGTCGCATGTCCGCTTCGATTTCATTGGTTTCAGGCTCCGTGAACGTGAGGGGGAATCGACGGGCGTTTGAGTTGGATTGAGAATTTTCTCTCCATTCATGCTGCAAGTCAAGCAGTAGTGCGCAGAAGTGAGCTTCTCCAAGTTCAAATATGCGGCGAGAAAGATGGAGGAGATTTGCACTTGGGGATTGTTGAAGTCTGGTCATGCGATACTGTTCTGGATTCTTGCTCCGAACCAGGCTACGCCAGGCAATCATGAGTGCCTTGTTCAGAAATTCATTCAGTGCCGCAGTCTTTTCCTCGCCTTGCAATGATTTGATGCTTTCAGGCATTGCTGGGCGTCCAAGATTGTCCCCTACATCGGGGCCGTTGTAGTTGAGAAAACAAGGGTCGACGCAATGGTCAAATAGGGGGCTACTTGAACAGATTGCCAGTCAATGATGCCAAGGACCCTCAACTCTTCTGGGTCCACGAAAATGTTTTCATGGTGTAGATCATTGTGCCATAGATGACCATCGGTTGGCAAAGAATTCTCACACAGCAAAGGCTCCAGGATCTGAAAATAGTAGCCTAGGGCTGCGAATTTTTTCTGCGTGGTAGGTTGGTATAAAGGTGCAGGGCCGTACACCATTGCCATCTGTTTTGGCACATGGTTAAGTTCTTTGATGGCCGCCATTTCGCGAAGACCAATAGCTTCCCGGTAATTTAAGATAGAATCCCCTTGGTAAGCAAAAGATTAGCCACAGTGTTGGCAATAGCCTCCGAAGGCAATCCTTACATGGGCCCCTATCACATTTGATGTTTACCCGCCTTCATCACTCCATTCACGCGCGACAGAGGGGCCGATCGCGAACTGAGAATCCGTAACGGCTTCCCCGTCCTTGACATATAGCGGATCCTGGCGTCGTGGGTCGACATCTTTGGCATAGTATAGACTCCCAAATCCAGTAAACTTGGTGTGGGTCCATCTCCTCTGATAGTCGACAACCTGTAAAAGGATCTTGAGTTTCTTGTTTGGCTGCAAATGCCACCACACCTTTGAGAGAGGAACCCCCGGAATCTTCTCCATAATTATATATTCGGCCCCGACAGAATTCCTCTCGTCAACGCGGGCATTCCAGGCGTATACGTGCGGCGCAGGGGTCTAGAGTATATTGCGCGCAAAATCCATTGTTGCAACTTCGCTCGCAGTGGTGTAGTAAGGTATGCCAGCATTGGGATTTGGAATCTTGGCAAAAACTTCCTTGCCATTGTCCATGGTAAGTAGGTATGCCTTATTGTACAAGCCATCAGGGCATTTCTCAATGTCAACGCAGCGATTAGCGCCAACTGACGTCGCTGCGACGGATGCAAGCCCATCCAGACTGAACTGCACCCGTCGACGCGCCAATTGCTTGTCCTCATCAAGGAGGAAGCGCCCGCGAGTGTATTCGAAGAGTTGGCTATCTTTGCCTATATATGTACTATGCGTCAGGTGACCTAGCGAGCTGGAGGATAGCGAGCGAATCTCACCAGGAGCGTTGCATGCCGGCAGATGGAGAATGTAATATACGTCTGACGGCTGCTGATAGGAGGTAAGGCCTTGCTAGAAATGGCATCTTCACGTTCAACGTAGGCCACCAAGGGCTGGGAAGTGACATAGAAAGACGAGGTGTTCAAACAATGTTCGCGTCCCTGAATTGACTTGATCCGGCTTCGACGACCAATAGGCGACGAGAAAGGTAAATCAACCATAAAAATTCGATGCGTACCTCTTCACAAAAACTATGAAGACCAAGGCCGCAGTGGCCAAACACCACAATCAGTCCCTAGCAGTCCCATTGAGCGGAATGTGAAAAAGGGGATAGGAGAAGGGAAATAAGTGTCCAGAGGGAGGGGGGTTCAGGGTTATATAAACTTCATCTTGGATGTTGGAGAGCCCCAGACCGGTGTCTTTCCGCCAGTGGACTCGATATAAACGCTCATGATGGTCCCCTTTTTCCCCCTCGGCTCATAAAAAACAGCGAGCGATTATCTATGTATGTACATACAAGATGAGTATCTCCAGCCAGTGAATCTGAAGGGGGTAATCTGGGAGACATACCTACTCCCTCCCTCCCAGAATGGAACGCAACGAATAATATGAAATGTTAAATTAAATGGTACGACAGATGATCGCAGAAGTAAGTAAAATTCTTCACATTTCAAAACTCCAAGAAGCCACAGGTGTACGCAGTAAGTGAAGATGATGAGTTACAGAACCATCATTTACTATCGTGGACGTTGTTGTTGGAATTGCGGGGGAAAAAAAATAAAATCTATTGTGCAAAACTTCATCCCCGTCACTGGTCCACCCTATCCTTCGTTCCCCACCGAGACACAGGTGCTCATGAGCTCATTTCAGTGTCTTGGGGCAGGATGTGCTTAAGCAGCATTTGACTTAACCTTGTTGCGAAAGCTTTTATTATCCCTTTTCTACTAAAGGGAGCCCGTAGCCGGTTTGTACATGTACAGTACAAACTGGGCGGGCATAGCGGAAGGAAGGGTTATTTTGACCAAGAGTTGATTGAAATATATTGCATGTTAACTTTAATTCGTATGATAAAAGACGACAAGAAATCTCAATAAGAATCTCAAGTTATAAAATTACGTTTCATTTTAATCTGCTCAAACCACTTGCCATGCTTATGGCCTGAACATAAAGCATCTAATAGCAAGCGCCGAAGAGAACATAAAATTAAAACAATATAGAAAAAGGGAGGGAAAAACCACACCAGAGAAATCTGTTTTGTTTTCTTTAGAAAAGACCCTGCAAAAATGAAACCGCAAAAGGAGCCAGTGATATCAAAACAGAATGTATGAAAACAATATGTCATAGCTTCATAATTGTTAGTAGAGAGTAATAAAAAGCAAAGAATAACAATGAAAAAGATATGGAAATAGCAAGGGCCAATGAGATAAAAACATGTTGCAAGGACAAAGGAACAGGAGAATAACAACGCCAAAGGGATTAAGTTGAAGATCTTCAAGGTCCTGATGAATACCAGCCGACTGAGTCATACCGAGTTCCCTATCCGTATCCCATCGTTCTTAGACCCTGAACCCTGACCGATAACACCGGAAAATACTAACAGCCGTAAATAAATAAAGTTCTCCTGGAAGGGAAGGGGGGCGGGGAGAGCAAGAGTGCCGTATGAACAATGCAAGACCAACAAAAAGTGCCTAGAAACATTAGGCGCATGCTATGTAAAACGCTGAAGTGAAGCATTGAATATGAGAAGGGAAGAAAATATGAAAACTGGGGAATAAAAACATGAAAATCATTACAACGCACCCTGCTGTGGGACGGAATAAACTTTAAGAATTCCGGCAGAGTCGTGAAGAGTTGACAAGTCAAAAAAAAAAAAAAAAAGAAAGAAAGAAAGCCTATCGATGCACCGAAGCATGATGGTGTGTCATCGCGTTCAAAAGGGTATTTATTCCAGGGTAGATAAGAGGTTTGTAAGCAATACCGCACCGAGTCTTCCGGCTTTTAAGGGTCAACGGATATCATCCAAATGAAAACTAGGAAAATATCGAGGAAACCAAGGGAGGGGAAAGACAAAAGTGAGTGCGTAGGAATTCTAGCGTTGGGCGGAAATAAATGCTTTTGGATGTTGTAGATTTTGGTTCACATAAATACGGGGTGGGAATATAGATCAGCTGTTTTCTTCCCGTCATGAAAGGATCTCCTGCTCGTTGGTATTGCCTGTGTCGTTGCTCTCGGAATTGGACACACCCTGACCTCGACATAAAGGACAGGAGTTTCGTCCAGTAGTCAACCACTATAGCCAGAGTTAGTTTTCCGTCGTTATTCTATTCCACATTTTGAGAATTGAAATAAAAATAAATACTTACCTCGTCAATGCATTCACGATGATAGATGTGTTGGCACTTAGTTAGCTGTCGGACCTCTTCTGCAGCCTCATAATCAGAGAGGCAGATAAGACATCTTTCGCTTTCCGCGATAGGGATTTTGGGGGTTGTATCTGCCGATTCAGCGATTAGAGAACCACCGTACTCAACCAGTTGAAATATACCTCCAGCAGAGGCAACGTCTTCCTGGGAGGCGACAGGCGGTTTAGCGGGACCAAGTAACGACGAAAGGAGCAACATGTCCTCATAGGTAGGGTTCTAATAGAAACGTATTAGAAAAATACTCTACTATCAAGATTCGGGGATACATACATCCGTAAATAAACTTGGAGTTGCAAAAGCTGGGTGGTTTTCAGCTAAGTTCGTTCCAACTACATAAATCAACCAGCTTCTTCCAGCAGACGGCGAGGCACTATCGGGTTCCACAACTCCGTTTCGCCTTGCGGCTCCGGAGCCAAGGCCGCGATGACGAGCGGTTTCTGAGTCGCTTCTGCGACGTTGGCTTACATTATTGAAAAGAGGGTGATGATCTTCGTAGGGCTCATCGGGCTCCTGGGAAGAGTCTTCGTTCAATTGAGGAAGCACAACTGAGGATGCTGATGGTCGTCGACTTGGGCTATTGGTTTCTGAGGAAACGTTGGATAAACCAGCGTCGGCAGGAGTAGATGGAGGGGGGTGAGGACCAGGGGGACTTTCTGATAGAACCGTAGGTAATGAACTGGCCAAATCCGATTGACTGCGAGATGATGCATGTGATCTTTGATGACGCTGACTATCGTAATTGGCCGGGAATGTACTGCCTCCCATGGAGCGACGATGGCTTGAGAATCTAGACCGTCTATCAGCACGCCGAAGAAACCCACTGGAGCTCCGCTCGGTTCGTGAAACGTTATTTGGTGAAATGAACGGCAGCCGAAGCAGCGAATCTAGCGATGCACGGGCGTGGAGTCCAGTATCATTGTCGGATCCATTGTTTATAGAGGGAACTGACCTTACTCCTACCACCACCAAAGTCACCAACCGTCGGTCCTGGCCACTCTCTGCTGGGTTTCGGTCATCAATATCCATTCTATCCGATCTACCGTCCTGGGTATATTCAGAAGCTGGTTGGTTAGAATGTCCTGTTGACGAGTTATTTTCAGAATTTTCTGGGTTGACAAAGCGGAAGACTCTCAAGAAGTTGACGTGAGGCAAGCCACCATCCCTTTGGCTTCCCCCGTTCCCGTCTTCTGTCCCTGTCCCTTGAGTTTGGGCAGATGTGGCTTGTTGTAAACTTTGTATAAAGCTCTCCAACGAACCATCCGCTCCGTCAGCACCAATAGCCTGGATATTGGGCATTGCTGGTGGCGTATTACCAGAGAGTTGAGCAGCTATGGCAGCTGCTGCTAGCTGTAAAACGCGAGACAAGGGGGTTTGTTCATCCCTACGCATGGATCGAATGTGTCGTGAACGCGATGGAGCATGTCTTCGGGAGGGTGAAGAGGAGCGTGTAGGTCGAGAAGGGGTGCTTGGTGAGATTGGCAAGTGATTCCGTGTAGAAGGTTCAACGGAGTCAAGTTCACGGGATCCACCAAATTCCATGTGCGTGTCCATTGACCCTAAGGGTGGAAGTAGGTGGTTGGAGTCTTCTGTAAAACTAGGCCGTGACGGTCGACGAGGCGGGAGCATTGCTGTTTGGCTTGGTTCAGTCATGGCGGGCGATTGGCCAAGAATCTGCGATATTGGCGCAGCAATGGAATGTCGTACATGGCTTAATCTCGCCCGATGACGCCACGAAAATCTTCCGGTGCTGGATTCTCTTTCGATGCCAGTAGCATCGAGGTATGTGGGGTTTGGAGGAGAATCGGGCAGTAAGGCTGCATCGCCTCGTGGAGGAGGATAGGGTCCACGTATCGAGCGTCTCCTTGATATCCCTCGTGAGCTAGATCCAGTGAAGGACGAGAAGCGGTGTGAATGATGAGCAGAGTCGGATCTGTGTAGAGTCCTAGACAACAAACCGATCCGGTGAGCACGACCTTCCGCGGGTGTTTCTTCTCCACTATTCAACAGTCCTCTCACTACTGCGTTTGGAAGAATCCTCGAACCGAGACGAGACATGGTCGACTGTCGACTCGTCGCGGAGGCGGGAATGGAAGTAGATGTTCCTAGAGTGGCGACAGAGCTGTGAGGTCGCAGATGTTCCATGTTCTCCAAAGCGCTATCTGCTCGTTGGGACATACGTGAATTTGTATCACTCGAACTTCGAAACACATCCGAGTGAGCGGCACCTGTGGACAAAGGCGAAGTTGCAGTTTGAGAAGTCAAAGGGGGACCCGCATGACTGTGTTGTGTAGAATTATCGATCCCGCCGCTAGAGCGATGTCGAAGGTGCAAGGAGGGATTTAAGTGGCCAGGGTGAGGTTGTCCGCTATGTTGTCCGCTATGTTGTTCGCGTGAAAGGCGCGAGAGTGAGAGTGACGAGATGCTGTTATTGTTGTTGCGGTTGTGGTTGCTCTGCGCGGAGTTTGCGCGTTGGGAAGAGGAGGCTTGCCCCATAGTCTAAGCAAACAAACCCGGGAGCCGAGGGGGGCTACCACGGAAGCAGGTATCGGAAGGAGCAAAGGCCTCGTGAGTCTACTCACTCACTCATATTTGGGTGGGAGCGGGAGTAGGTGGCGGGGGGGAAATGACTCGTCAGAGAGGTTATCCCGACGTTTTGACGCCACTAGGAGTGTATTAGTGACCGCTTGCAACAGGAGGTCTCAACAGGAGCTGGGCGGCTGTTGGGTGGAAGAAATAGGCTTTCGAGATGGTTAAGGACGTGATCCAGCAAGACAAATAGGATACTTACAAGTATTGAGCAGGAGGAATCCAGCGTTCTCGGTTGGCGAAATGTTCCCCTCGTGATTAACAGTCACTCGCTGTCCTGGAAGGGCCGTGGAGTGGTGAAAGACAGACTTGTTTCAGGGCGCTTGCAGGCGCAAGGACCACCACCAAAAGAAAGAAGGTAACCACTGTATGGGGAAGGAAGTTTGGTAGTGGGTAAGAGTATTTAAAGAAAGATAAATCCAAGGAATCTGGCTCCAGGAATAACGCGGGGTCTCAGCTTGCGACAATGCAATACCTTAGTCGGCCATGATGATGATGATGAAGTCGAAGCAAGCCAGAGCTGAGTGTTTGGCCAGGTCACGGGACGGGACCGCAATGATGAGACGGCTCTGGGATCGGTCGGAGATACATTGTTCCGATGGCCCTGTTGGATGGCGAGATATATCCAACGAGCAACGGAACCGCGAAGGGAGAAGAAGAACACCAGACCCTTATAATTAGTCAAGAATGGGATTCGGGGCTTTGAAGCAAAGGGGGGAACGGGGAAGAGGGAGCAGAGGAGTACATTCATTGAATAAGAACTCCCATCATGAAACTATTGACTTGTATTGGGCCTCCAGATCACCAAGCTAGTTTGCCTCTTGAAGTATGATGACGCCCATATATATCCAGCCGTTTGATGTTAGCATTGATAGATAGTACCCCAGCTAAGGTATTCCGTGGCAAGAACTGAACAAGGACGTGTCTACAGTGGAGTTACTCCACCGCTCCCGTTCTCTAATAATAGAGATATAGTACATAGAACATGCACAATCATGTGGGCTCATCATGTTTCGTGAATGTAAGGTTTTTTTGGCACCTGTGCTTGCTTACACAAAGCCTGGATATATCGGATTAATATTTATCCGTGGTATTCTGTTGTTGTTATCGACCCAAAAATGTCCATCTACGACAACTCGACCAAATCACAATTTTCTACCACGCAGTACTCGACCCCAGAGGTGATAGTGCCATCTTGAAAAAATGAAGGGAAGAAGGCTAGATATTCTCTTGACCATTTATATGAGAAAATAGTAAGAAGAAAAAGAAACAAGGAAACGCCCCGATTGAACGACGGGAGCAATTGTTTGCAACTGTTACAAGCGCCACAGTGCCATGATCACCCTGATAAGACAGGTCATTTCAACCTGATTGGTTCCCGCATCAGGCAATTCATGTCTTCATCCTACTTCTCACTTCCGCTCGCCCCATGGCAGCAACCATCGAGTTTTCGTACAGCCCAGTATGAAGCTCGCAAGCGCAAGCAAAACGTTCAAGAACCAGGGCAGGATGTAGAAGAGCATGAAGTATCTATTGCGAACACCAGTGACGATGATACCAGTGCGAGCAGTAGCACTGAAAGCGGTGCGGATGATGAGAATGCCGCAGGCTCTGGTCCGAGGCAATCAATAATTTTGACCCCAAATGAGGCACACCAATATCGAGTTGCCGGCCAGCCATTCCATAAAGAACTTCCAGGTGGCAGTTTTCCGCATTCAGGTTTGGGCAAGAGAAAGACTACCAAGATTAGCCGGAAGCAGATCGAGAAGGAGCTGTCTCAGCTATCGCCGCCAATCTTCATTCCTAGAGCTGAAGTCCAGTGCAGCAGTCTGCGCTTACAGCACCTGGGTGTCATTACAACTATACTTCATCGATGCCTGTTAGAGGGAGATTACGCGCGTGCTGGGAGGGCTTGGGGATTGATCCTACGGGATGAATTTGGGGGTCATGGGATAGATGTCCGAAGTGGTGGCCGGTGGGGGATTGGTGCAGAAATACTCTTATGGAGTGATCACAATGCGACAGCGCATTCATCAACATCAACAGGGATTGGGGATGCCGGCATCCCTCATCCCCCACCTCGACGACATTGGTTTACCCGCAGGGGATTTGAGCGCGCCAAGAGCTACTACGAGCGCCTGATACTCCAGTTTCCATACCGCAAAACTGCGCCGGGAGCGCTTGGCCCACTCGATTTCTATCCCGCTATGTTCGGGCTTTGGATTTCGCTCGTGCAGGAAGAAAGTCAGTCAGCACGAGACGCTGCCATGATGGACATGTCGGACACGGCAGAAATGTACGACTTTGACGATCCGACTCATGATGATAATATGTCCATCTCCAGTGATATGCCCCACCGGCGTCGCAGTAGTAATAATCGGAAGAATGATATCATTGCCAAAACTCGCCGCAAGGAACTCGCGGAAGCGGAACAGATAGCGGCGCAGATGGACGAGCTATTAATTTCCCCGCCGTTCTCGGATAGCCATGAGCTGCTGCAGTTACGGGGCATGTTGTCATTGTGGATCGCAGATTTATTTATATCGTCTGTGTCCCCGGAAGATGATGATACAGACATGCACATGGATATGAGACATGATGGTGACCAGACCATGTTTTCCGATGAAGGTGGAGGGCAGATGGACTCAGTGCTCGCGCGTATGGAGCGAGGGTTGGGGATGGAGAGGAAGATGGCGGAGATGGAGAAGGCGAATGTATTCTTTGAAAAGGCAAAGGCCAAAGCGCGCAGGAAACAGACTCCATTGTCCTCGGATGAGGTGAATGAGGATGATTCTGTTGTCTAAACTTGCGAAATCTAATTGGTCGTCAAGCTGATTTACGATGACCGTGTATACTATCTAGGGCATAGGAGGTGTAGTCAAAGACACTGCGCCTTTAATTATTACGTTTTTTTTTGCGGTATACTTGTGTCAGGGCGCGACTTGACATGGCTTTAATAGTATCTTTTCTGGTTGTACATGATGCGATGACAGATGCTTATATTAGATTTCTGGACTAGCCTGGTATGTAAGCCTAGTTAGAAGGCAACCAAATATACCTGCCCTTAATGTTTCATAAATATGCCAGTCAACGGAATGACAATACTGTCACCAATATATTACACTGACAAGATGAAGGCAAAACGAACGAGAAGGAGTAAAAACATCCCCAATAAGGGGCGTGGATGTGAATGTGTTAACGACCGAGTCAGGTGGATAAGGTCATGTGACCACGTGTAGGGGACGTGCTCAACTTCCAAAATGGACTGCCTCAACCTCAACGCTTGAAACCCGCGGAGCACTGCTGAAGAGGACGGGTGCGGAAATGGGCCTTGTCATACCGTAACCACCTCGACATACGCGTCGAAGGTGTATCTGTCGTCCTGCCCAGGAACTGTTCAAATTCACTGTTTCTCCTGTTTTCCCCGAAACCGGAGCAATGGCAGTTGCGGAATACGTTCGGGGGAAAACCTTGCAAAATGATACCCCAGCTCCGCAGAGCAGCAACCATGTTGCAACTAATCCTTCAAGGGAACTTGTTGCTAATATGGCGAGACTTAAAGTACCAACGACGAGATTGAGTGACAGGCCTAGATCTGCAGCTGGGACTCCGCGGGAACATCAACTTGGGACAGCAACTAGATTGTCTGGACAGACCGCAGGATATCACGTACAGCATAGCCAAGCAACACCCAGGGATATGTTTGACACTGATGTGGAAACTGTCGATGATTCTACTACTACGGCCACGAGCCTCATTCGAGAGGAAGAAGGCGGCGTCAAGCATGATTTCCAAGTTGGCCCGCCGGCTGCTCAGCGAACAGCTCAAGATGAGAATGACTTGCCATCAAACGTGCATTATAGCTGGGGTAATCCCCGCGGTCGAAATGCCCTGGAGGAAAGAATGATAATGGAGCTTGGCTCTGACCCTGGCGGAGATGAGCATGATGCTATCCAGGTTCCACAGGAGCATGATGTGCAGCATGTGCGTTTTGATGCGGTCGATGAGAATGAGTTCGATGGAGATGCTGCCCAAATATTCGATTGGAGCAGCAACCACCATATCAATGGAGAACCGTTGAGCTGGCAGAAGATTGAAGCAGCCCTGCACGATACCAAGGCCCCCCCTACCGCGCAAGGCATACAGCGGCAAGAAAACATTGAAGAACAAAGTGTCCCCAGGCAATCGGATTACGAGAACTATCCCGATGAGAATATGTATACACCAAAAGCAACGCAAAAGCATTCCACCGACAGTCGGTTCGTGACGAGATCTCGTTTTAGCACCCCAAACCCACGTGGTGGAGCACCCCTTGAAGGGGGGATATTAGTCGGTTCGCGGCCAATTCCCCAAATTTCACCTTCCCGCACTGTCATTTTATCTCCGCAGTCGCAACCAGTCGCTCAGTCAAGCGCAAGAAACACCATAGGACCCAACAAACCGAACCCTCTACACGTGACACATGACAACCACGATCCATACAGCCATGGTGGTCTATTTGACATCACAGACCTAAGTGCGGTGGACAGCTCTTCATCCGAAAACAGCACAGACAACCAACATACATACACATCTCTCGGCTTCTCCACCCTATCCCCCGTCTCTACAAAACGATCCTGGACCGAATTACAAGCCGACTATCCGCCAAACATCCTGGAGACAAAAACCTTCGCTGATCTCCAAGCGGAATCATTCGACTACAACCCAGCCCCGCCGCAGCCCATCTTCCAACCACAGGACCCCCCCCTCCCTCTCTCGGAGAAACTTACCCGACTAAAGGCGCTGACAGACGAGCAGCGCCACATGTTCTTCGCATCCCTGAATATCGCAGAGTGGGAAGAGAGCGGTGACTGGATCATTGACCAGTTCAGCCTATTACTTCAGCGGACGAAAGCGGCGAGACACGAGCGCCGGAAAGTGGCCGCTGTGTTTGAGAGGGAGATTGAGAGGCGGTATGAACTTGTCGAGGCGGAAGGGAAAGGGATTGGCCAGCGGTTAGAAGAGATGAGGACCGGGGGGATGGATGTTTTGAAGGGGCAGGCTTTGTGATGATAAACAAAAGAAATTTATCGTCACACTGTTTGCTCTGCTTACGGCTATTTTTACAGGCAACCCTACCGTGGGCTTTTTTATTTGTTACGATACCCTGATATTTCCCCCCCAGGCAGATAAACGCCGAGCAACGCGCGTTATCAGAATGGTGTGCGGGATGGGAAAGGTCCATTTCATTTTTCATTTTTATTTTTTCATCATATTTTTCATATCTTATACTGACGGCGTTGAAGGGCCCTTTTAACACAGGAAGGGATGAGATAACGACAACACGGCCGCGGCGAAAATGATTGATAATGGAAGCCACATACATACCTAGCGCGGAAATAGATATATCGCTCTAGACGAAAAATATAAATATTTTTAACTACCTTACTCAGAAGATGTTATTTTTAAATATGGCATTGACATACATAACTCCCAACTTCCCCTCGCCCCTTGCCGGTGCCTGCCTGTTCAGTGGCGGGATAAGCTAAAACAAGGTGACTGTACGGATATATGATTAAGCGAATAAAATGATAGTTATAGGTAGGAGGATCAACGTTGCTTGCTGGAAACGGATGTGTTACCATTATGCTAGCCGGCTAGTTTGGAAGCCAGGGGCTGGTTGTGGTTTGTGGGTGGGGTGGGTGGGTTTTTGGTGGGGCAACGTACGCGATCTGGAAAATGATTGTTTTAACTTAATTGTGCTTCCCGATTTAAGGAGGTTCGCGAAAGGGTTAAATTAAGGAGAATACGATGGACGGATAATTTTGAGGGAGCAGAAGGGGCCGCGGGTAGTTAGGGATTTGCTGCTTATTAGAGAAAGATGGAGCTGTTAGTCAAGTTGAACGAAGGGGAGAGACACAGACATGAAAAGAGAGAGAAAAGGAAAAGAAGGGAACATTTTAATTCAATACGTGCCGATTTCCATATATAATCTATACTCTTTGTGCCCGATTCACTGGCCGTTGTTTTCTTGGATGTCTTCAGGCCTGTACCGCATCCCAAACCTACGCAAAAGCATGTATATAAATATAAACAATACACCGAGATATACAGCCCCTAAAATTGCAACCAGAAACTTTGACGAAAAGCCCCCCTAAACGGTGATAAAACATATAAGTGAAGGAAAACAAGGGGCACCAGGCCAAATGGGACGGGCAATGGCTGATCAAAAGAAGTGTATCGTCGTTGGTCGGAGATATGGGTATCAATGCAATACTTTGCAAAATAATAATAAAAATAGGCTAGAGCTGCTTGAATAACCAAAGAGTCCCGGACTGGATGACAGGAAAAAATAAAGAAAAAAATAAAAATAAAAAGGGAAAAGGAGGTTATTGGGAAGTCCCGTGTTCCTTCAAAAACAGCGCAAGCCGCTTATAATCCTCCAGCAGCTCAGGGATATCGCTCATCTTAAGATCTCCAGCATCTGGCATTTCCAAGAACCGCTTGATTGGAGGTTTAAATTCGGTGGCGTTGATGCTCGTGCTCGTGGTGTTCTTGTGTGGTATGGGAGTGCTGGAACGGCTGGATATGGAGTCCGATGGTTTCGAGTTGTCTGTGGATAATACGGTGTCCAGAGATGGGTCTGGTGTGCTTCGTCCGAACCCGCGGATCATACCTGGAATGTGGTTTAAGGGGTTTAGGGTATTGCCGAAACTCTTCATTGAGCCAAATGGCGGAGTCTGTGTTATTTGGTGTGCGGGGTTGGAGAAAATAGACCCGGAACTAGCTGCAGTCGGAGCAGAAGTTTCTGCACTGGTTGCAACGGCCTTTAATCCACTGCCGCTGTTCCCTGAACTACCAGCGCTGTTTTGTCTGGATGTTTTTCGGCCCCCGATAAGCCCGATGAGTCTATCTTCCGCCTTCATATTGCGATCGTTCTCGTCGTCGATGATTGGCGAGGTGGTAACCAACCGTCGAGCGTCATCTAGTGTTTTTGGCAAAATCGTAGACATCCCATTTGGCTCCCCACTTTGTTTAATTTGAACTTCCCTCAAGCGGCCAAAGAGGAAGTTGAAGCTATGATCGAGTGTGCTGCTGATATTTTTGAACCCCTGATCAGCTGTGTTTCGAACAGCATCATTGGCGGCACCAAGCACTTTAGCTGAAGGTTGAAGGAGGTCAGTTAGACGTCGCTGTGGCGAAGGATCAGCTGCACGAGGCTTTGGTATGCCTTCATTTGATGCCAAGCGCCACCCTGGGTCTGATTGTCCAATTTCAGATAACGTTTCAGAGGACGCCGAAGAACCCAAAACGGTAGCAGAGCTTTTAGTTGTTGGCGCATCAGGTCGCAAAGATGCAGGATTAGAAACACTCCTAGGAGAGTTTGCCATGCTATTTTCTGTCCGGTCTGTTTGTAAGCTGTTTAAGTCCACATTCTCTAGAAAACTAATGGCTGCTTCTAGGTTAGTCAGGCAGTATGCCGCTTCACCATCGAGTCTACTAGACGCTCTAAAGCGCTGAATGAACAGCAGGTTACTAATGATGTTGATGCCTTCTGCGGGTGTGGTTATTAGGGTGTATATCAAGGTCGGTAGGATTTCATCAGCGGAGGAGGATGATGGAAGAACTATTGTCAGTGTATCAACAATAGCCTTGTGGGCAGCAGTCAGATGATGGAGTTTGCCTAACGGGAATTTTTCGTCGTTCATCTTAATTAAGCTTTCTCGGGCAGAACTTAGGAATTTTGACGGCTCAGAGCCTTCTTCGTTCAGATCCCAAGTCTCGATTCCTAGGTCCTTCAGTCCAATACCAACAAGTGCTAATGTCGCTGTTTTGGAACGCAGCTTCTCATCTCTGACTTCATCCAAAGAATTTTTGTGCCGCCAGATCTTCTCGTATACAGCCTCGCACGCCCGTCGCTCGACCGCTTCCTCGAGGGCATGGCCCTTGTACTGCAAAATCTTGCGGGCTCTCCGCTTTTCCGCCACCTCCTCCGCAGTCAGCATTTGCTGGTCAGTAGTAAGTTTTTCAGAGCCCTTTTGGCTGTCTTTATGACCGGGCGAACTTGACAAGGGATCTCGTTGAGCCTTTCCGGAAATCTGAGTCTGTGAAGGAGAAGGTAACGGCTGGCGGTTCAGACGGGAGGCTAGAGTCGAAATGTGGGTCGATATATGTGCAGCGGCACGCACATAAAAGTCTTGAAAGAGGTCTGAAAGTCTATCTATAGAGGGTGGGGTAGAGTACACTTTCGCGCTGAGAGAGGCAATAAACCTGAATGAGCGACTGTTAGCATGAGTAGCTTCGGGATTTGAAGATGGATCACCAACCTATCAGTCAAACTAACTAGCTCTATAGGGAGCTCAAAGTGGTCTGTCATGTATTGCAATTGCAAATAATTGGGATCGGACTTTTCCAGTAGGAAAGCCTCGTCTGACCCCAGGGATTCTGTTTTCGCAAAGAGGTCCGCTTCCCCATCTACAGAGTCCGGGTCCATATACATAAGAGGAGAATTCTCTGGGGCTACCTCCTGCGTTACAATCCCGTGAACTGTTTTTGCACGGTTCCGAGGAAACGAATTGGGTGATGCGTCCTCCATGCGGGAGAACGACTTCGAGATCTGGGGCCCGGTTGGGCGTGGAGTAGATTCAGCGGACATTGCGCCCGGTTACATGTATTATGAACTGGTGGGGACTCCAGAATAATTCTCTCCGATGAGTTTGGGAATCACAATGCCATAGTGAGCGCATCAAGAAGCAGGGTAGATCCCAAGGTGCCAACTCTTACAACGGGAGGAGGTAGAGCTAGCTGGTTGGTGGCAGCAGAGGTGAGGAGAGCGCGGTTGTCATTAGATGATATCATAAGCGCACAGCATCGCCCGCTGATGCCTGACGTAACCCAAAAGTAATCACAACGTGTACTACTCGGGCGCAACGAGTGTGACAAGTGTTGAGGGGTTTGGATAAGTTGGTGGTGTCTGAGGACAGTTGCAGGTCACGGGGCAGGTCACAGGGAAGGTCACATGACTAATAAGCGCTGCTGGTCTGTGTCGCCATCCGCATATCGCCCGTGACTTATCAGCGCCAACAGCGTCATCGCACTGCCACCCATCGAACGTCAACCTCCCCAACGCTTCCGTTTGGGTGAACAGCCAGCTCTGTATGGCCCACAGCAACACACTTGGTCGAACAGACCCCTATTTATCCTCGATATTTATTTACAATATGCAACCATCTAGATGGAAAAGAAAGAAACGGTCATCTGGGTCCACTCTCATGGGGTTTGATGTTCTAGTGTCATTACTAGCAATATCGCCCTTACCCAGCATTGTCTCTGCTCAGAATCCCTTTATACAGCCTCAAATTCCTCTCCCAGGGCCTCAACCTGTTGACACAGATCATGAATTTGTGAGTACTTGTAGCAGTAGTCATATTTCTAAGTCGAAATCTCGCTAATCTTGCCTACTTTACCCTAGTCATTGCGACATATCTTCCATCACGGAACCTACCGATACCCCCTCCTACATAAGCGGCTTGATATCAAGCCTGATGCTGAGCTATGGGTTGCCTCAGAAGATGGTGAAGGACGGGAACCCGTTCCTCGTCTCCGTGCTTCTTCAAGGGCTGTTAATATCCAGCGTCTTGCCGACCGCCGGGTTTCCGTTATTGAAGACCACCTCTTAACCGCGAGACTGACAAGCTCCCCAGTAGCACTCTCATCAGATTATTGGACCTTGGACGAGGTGGATGCTCCTGATGTTACGGATAAAGAGACAGTTCTTTCGTTAGCTCGAATGGCAGCCAACGCCTATATCATGTTGCCAGGAACAGAACAGTGGGCTGATGTTGACTCGCGTTACAACCACTCAGACAGTTTCGGATGGGAAAGTGATGGGCTGAGAGGCCATATCTACGCGGATAAATCGAATTCTACAATAATAGTTGCTTTGAAGGGCACATCCGCGGCTCTCTTCGATGGCGAAGAGACTACAACCAATGACAAGGTTAACGACAACTTATTTTTCAGCTGTTGCTGTGCCCAAGGTGGACAATACTTCTGGCGACAAGTTTGCGACTGTTATACGTCAACATATACATGTAATGCAACTTGTGTAAGGAAAGCACTGAGAGCAGAAAACCGTTATTATCGAGCTGCCCTCGATCTTTACGCCAACGTCACCGAAATTTATCCCAATTCTAATATCTGGCTTGCGGGCCACTCTCTGGGTGGTTCCGTTTCAAGCATGCTTGGGATGACATATGGGCTACCAGTGGTCACGTTTGAAGCCGTGCCAGAGGCTCTACCTGCTTCTCGCCTTGGACTGCCTTCCCCTCCTGGAATTGATCCTTCTTCGCCCCAGAAGAGGAATTACACTGGTGCCTACCACTTTGGCCATACCGCGGACCCTGTTTATATGGGAACGTGTAACGGCGCAACTTCTGTGTGTACACTTGGTGGATATGCTATGCAGACATTTTGTCATACCGGCCAATTGTGCACTTACGACACAGTGGAAGATTTAGGCTGGAGAGTTGGAATTGGAACCCACCGAATTCGTTCCGTGATTGCAGATGTTATCGAGAAGTACGATACCGTCCCTGAATGTGCCCCATTTACAGAATGCGTGGACTGTAACAACTGGAAGTTTTTCGAAAGCAATGGAACCGAGCCTACGTCGACTAGTACTCGAATAAGCACTGCAACTAGAACGAGATCGTCAACTTGCAAGACGCCTGGATGGTGGGGATGCTTGGATCCAACAACGACTGCAACGACAACAGCTACAACATCCACTGCGATCACCACGACGTCTACTTGCAAAACTCCAGGGTGGTTTGGCTGCAAAGACCCTACGACAACGAGCACAGTACCTACTGCGTCACCTGCGCCTACCATAACTCCAACCTCCCCTCCAACGACTACTGCTTCCACTACTTCATCCTGCGAAACGCCTGGCTGGTTTGGGTGTAAAGACCCTACGAGCACTACGAGCTCCCCTGATCCAACCACGACACCCACAACCACAAGTTCTTGTGAGACTCCGGGCTGGTTCTGGGGCTGTTATGACTCAACCACAACGGAATCCCCAAGCCATCCCATCACATCCTCGCCCGAGACCACATCCCCTAGCGCCACTTCCTCGCCCTCCGGCCATACATGTACGTCAAGCATATTTTTTGGACTGATCTGTCTTGGCCCTTAACTCCAAGTGACCCTATGCCCACCTTCTCTCACGCGAAGCCTCCCACGTCGTGGGCAGCGCTGGGCGAAGGGAGACCGGCTTTTTGGGTGCAGTAATTGGAATCCTTGGCATCAGAAGCAAGAACCCAATTCTAGTCATGCCGATATGAACTGACATATCCATCCAATTGTTATTTTGCTAACTCGTTTCCCTTTGCGCTCTCTTTAGTTTGATTTTTCGAGCATTGTCAATTTAGTGTCGATTTTACGTTTGGAACCTATTTATCTCGAGGCATATTATCTCGAGGGTGAGCGGGAGTTTATATATTGGCATATCGTGGCTTATTTGGCCGACGTTACTGGCATCGTTTTTGCCCTTCCCGGAGTTTGGAGAACTTGGATCTACCCTTGAATTTTATGCTTTAGAATTGTGGACGGACTACACATTGTCAACTAGATACCATCATCATAAACGCCTGATTTCGGACATCCATTCATTAGAATATTATTTGCACATACGCGCTTTGCTTGACTACTGCCATTCAATAGTTTTCATAATTAATTTTTAGTATTTTGGCTATGCCTGATTAACACTGCAGAAAGAGAAAAGGGAGAAAAAGAAGCCCAAAAATTCAACACAGAACAAAGGCAAAGAATTCTTGTTTTTCCAACACTTCGTGTATACTACGGAGACACAGAAGATACAACAGCTACTAATCTGTACTGAGCCTGGGATCTACAAACGGGCTGGATGACAGGCGCCCCCCCTGTTTTAACAAACAAAGTAGCAGAGGAAATCACCCTACGCTCAAATGTTTTGGCTGAAAGGCGACGACCGACGAACCCAGAGCCAAGATCAATATTGTAGGATCGTTCAACTGATGTTAGAGAGCAAACGGCTGGCGTCAGTCTTAACCCAACTCTGAGACCAAAGCCAAGTTCTTTTTTTACCAAAGGCGCCCCGCCAATTATTTCTCCTCAGAGGCGAGGGGTCTCTAAACACTATCCCGCAATTTTCCAAGAGTATTAAAAGACGTGGGAGGAGTGATGGGGATAGCGTTTGTCAGGGGGTTGAGCAAGAACGCGGAATTTATGTGCTGGTGCTCGAGCAGGTCCTGAGCAAATTCGTCTACCTCTCTAAGCGGCTAGTGATTGGCTGAAATTGTGAGAGAGCTCAACGAAGCTCTCTGCAGGCGTTGATTTGGAGAGCTGAGAAATTCCCCACCCCCCTGGGTGCACAGCTCAGCTGGGGATAGCTTTCCTATAGCTCGGTTCTAGCGCTGTCTAGACTCCACAAATCGCTGTTTTTGGCGCCAACTGCCATGTGATATGATCTCCACTTGCGATTTTGACGCGAGGTTTAGGACGAGAGGAGGGTTTTTGTAAGCGCTATGCGGTGCCTGCTTTGGAATCAATTGAATGTGAATGTTAGGTCCCCCTATGGAGGCTTTTGACAGTGAGTTTGACCCTGGCAGTTTGACTTATCATTGATTGAGAGAAGAAACTGGATGATTATTTGCCGTGTAGTTGTTTGTGTGTGACAACCAGGCGAAGAAGACAACTCGGTAACTACTGTTCCCGACCCAATAATGTATTCAAAACCTTTTTGCAGTCAATCAAAGGGGATTCCTCAACCCCGCCTATCACAATTAGCTGAAGGAAGAGAGTGCATAATTGTCCTCCAACAACTGCAGCTGCAGCCCCGCTTCTCCTGGTCCCTGGATGCCTGGTGATCGCTGTCAATCGCCTAACCCGCATAGGGGATCGCCCCAGGCCTATCATCCCATCTAACACACTATAAGATGCTAAGACGGGCCTAATGCATCTCATGGGGCCACATGCAAGATTAAATCATTGCTCTTTTGGGATGTGAGAGCCCCCGACTGTGAACCAGTAACTGACGCCCTTGCTTTGGGGTGAAGAAGGGGAAGGGAGAGGTTCGTGTTTTTGGTTTTCTCTGTGCGTGCGGCACCAGGCGGGAGTTCAATATGTTTAATATAGCTGGTTCATGGGCGTTGGGAAGGGCGCACTATTGTTTCTTGGACAATCTCTTCCCTTGTATTGGATTTCTTATTTAACTTTTATGCAGTGCCCATTTCTTCAGTCATCCCTCCACTATCCGACTGCTCTGCTCTCTGAAGAAGCGTAGCAAAAAGTATGAAATAGGCTGCAACATACTACTTCAAGGCTCCATGCCCTCTTTGCCGATTGTCGACTTTGAGAAAAAGGAACCCAATTTTATTTACTACTTATTATTACTGTTAGGGGTATTGTGTTTCATGCAAAGTTCGAGCCCCAGGAACCCCGAAAACCCTAGACTCCAGACCCTACCTCGGCTGTATGCACTGGATTTATCAATTCCTTGCTAACTCCATGGATAGATCAGAAATTCCGAGACATCAGAGTTCTTTTGGCCGACGGGAATTTGCTTCCGCTGGCCCTTTAGAGATAAATAACAGTTTGCCCAAAAGGAGGAGGTCAAATATATCAAATCAGAGTTGGGCGAGCGTTTCGATTCAGTAATTGTGGGGTATTCGCTTCAAGGCCGTGTGCCCGTCGCTTTGTGAACACACCCTGCGATTTCGACCATTTGTCTTTATTTCAATCGGCCAGTATGGAAATTACATTTATCTCAATTCTCGGCAAGTTCTTACCTTCCGTTCAATTTCAATTTCCTCTGTCCTTGAACATGTTGTAGATATGTATGACTGACATATAACTCTAGATCTGACGCCGGCTGCTTGTATAAAATATACCTCTGGTTCCATTGAGGATATACTCGGCTACGACTCCAATGAAGTGGTTAATAAATCCCTATGGGATTTCCTCCATCCGGATGAGCTCTCGTTCGCAAGGCAGATCCATTCCCAGAGTGTCAGTCACGACATGGCCGCTGGGTTGAGTTATTTCCAGATCAAGCATCAGCTTGGTTACTGGGTTGGGGTTGAATGCGTGTTTAACGTGGTTTATGATGTTTTAGTAGCAAGTACTAGCATCTACAAGAGGGGATCAAGGAGTCATCAAAGTGAGTAGATACATGCCCTGGATTATCTTTGTAGGACATATGTTTCGAGGCATGCCATGGAAACTGAAAATTGGACACACAAAAAGAGAGGGCAACCGACGCTCCAGTTGTCAGGCGGTTATTCTCCCAATCACAGTTCGATCCACGATATAATATGCTTGCATACATTTCGAGCAAATTTTCACGAGTCCCGCGGAGCCCGTCTCATGAACCGCGCGCGGCCTTATTCCTAAACCGATTTACCAGATCTTCAAACATTATCTACGCGACAAGAGGTGTAGCCAATGTCCTTGGATTGAGACCCGCGGATCTCGTTTCCAAGAGTTTTTACTATTGCATAGAGGAATGTTGTTTGCATGGGGCGGTTAGATGTATTGAAAGTGCGAAGTCGAATGATACGGTTGCGTATCTCCGGTTCTGCTTTCGAAATCCATTGCAAGATGACAATGGCACGGGAGACCGCACCGGCTATGGAAGCGAATGCCAAGACCAAGACGAGGAGGAGGATGACGATGAAATGCAGTATGAAGATTGCCTGGACTCACAAAATCCCTTGGATAAATGCAATATCACAACGAACACCGACTTATCACGGTCAAGGACCAACATCCAACCGCGCACCACCACCACCACCAACAATAACGGGCAACGAATAGAAGTTGAAGCAGTAGTATCCTGTTCCTCCGACGGCCTGGTAGTTATACTGCGGCGCGCACTTGCACCTATTCCACCGCCTTTTGAAAAACCCGGCTACCCAGTCCACGCAAAAATTGCCTCTTCGCATCTCCTTGGGCCACTGATTCTACAGTCTCAGCGCTACAGTGCAACCCCGGCGGCCAGCAACCATTGCCAATACCACGCTCCCCCACTGGGTCTGAAAAGGGGGAGCTGATGGATACCATCCGTGACGTCGCGGTCCTTGCTTGGGCAGTCGTGGGGACGAATAACTCCCTTAAGTTATACGGAAAAGGAACTCCTACAGGTGAATCGCAGCCACCGGATGGGTCTTCTGCGTGTTTAGATTCATCGTCAGAGGAGGATTGAGCTGGAAGGGAGGACATTACGTGATGATCAATAAAATCAAACCGAATACTAGATGTGAAATGAGGCGCATGACTGACCATTGGAATTCCTCGGCCTATATCTGGAGATCGCCTCCACGTTGCTGAAGAATGAGAAGGTCGAATTGAACATCTCCCCTTCTCGATAGCCGATGACCGTCCCTGAAGGTTAAAATCCCATTTTTCACGAAAGATCCAAGGCTCAAGGACGCCTTGAGAGAATGATTACGGTGGGTTTAACGAGCAAATTGGGAATCTGAGCATTGTAGTACAATGCTTTTCAGCTTTCACTAGCCAAACGCCGCCCTGATTTGATAACATCTGTGATGCAAAATATTCCCAAGATTCCGCAGCGAACCCCTCTCCGATTTACATGTTATCGTGAGGTAGGCCATACTCCAGCCGCGTGTTGAACTCGGTTGCTTGCCTTCTTTTCTTTTCCTTTTCTTGGATTAGGTGTTCGGAGCCCCGTTTATGTGGTTGGGTATGTAGGTGCGACATTTTTTGGGCCTCTTCAGTTTCTCTCTTCTCACTCCTCTCGAAGCATTCATATATAGTACAGCGCATATCTATAATTTCGGCATATATATGTACACGTACTTCACCATTGACTTTTTTCCAGCCAACGCACGGTTCTTTGTTTCTTTTGGATAAGACGCCCTATACCAATATCGCAGAGTAAATGAGCACCTGGATGGATACTTAGGTAGTAGGCTGCACGTAATAAACTATGATATTTCTCGGGAAAAAAAGGGCCTATAAATCGATCCCCTTAGGTCAACTTGAGGCTAACTTGAGGCCAACTTCAGGCCATTATTGACATGTGTGAGAAGCGTAGAACACATCAACATGAGTATCCATCCCAGTAAAAGGAATCGAATAGCAATATCGTATAGGAGTTTCTCTCCTGTTTCTTCGTCTGATTTTATTTTTCCCACCTCCCTCCTCCGTAGTCATCTCACAATAGAGCAATACGGGCTTCCCTTCTTGCTGGCCACCCTGGAAAGCTGATATTTCTCGTTCGATCAGTTGGGATCGTCTTTTTTCTTTTCTTTTCTTTTTTTTTTCAAAAATGGAATGGCAACTGAAGTTTGCGAGGGATCCTGGGTTGGCTGGCTCCTGGGACTCAGTTCTAGGAACAATAGAGTCGTGGGAACATGGGTTTTGAGGTTGAGGTATGGTTTCTGGATTGTTAATTGACTACTTATCTCGTTATTTGACGGGGTAGCTACTAAATTAAGTGGCAGCTGGTTGTGTGGAGTGGCGGAGAAATCAGGAACAGCAAACAGGTTTGAGAAATATAATATAAACAGAAAATGGTTTGCTCTTAAGTATTTAATAAGTACTCTGTATAGAGAAGGAAATGTTGGAAGATATTACATTACGGCAGTGAAAGGTGACGCATGTGTGTAAAGGCTTAATTCCACATAATACTGATTTTATAATCACACACCAATTACACTAGTCCTAATGTAGTTAGTATATTACTACATATGGTTTTGTCAGTCTTGGCTTTCAGACTATGAGCTCTCATCCTCTCAGGTGTATAGAGCCCCCCGCGGCCCCCGCCCTGGCCCCTGGGTATAGAGGCCCTCAGGTATATAGATAAGTTCCCCTGTGTATAGAACCCCCTGGGTATAGAGCCCCGTGTATAGAGCCCGCAAGGTATAGAGGCCCTCTGGGTAGAGGACCTCTGTGTATAGAGCCCCTGGGTATAGAGACCCCTGAGCATAGAGACCCCTGAATATAGATTCCTCTGAAGACTCTGAGTATATACACTGTGTAGGAGACTGTCTCAGGTCAAGAGTCCTCCACTGATGTTGGGTCATTATTTCATACAACCTCCAATGAGGAGATCTTGATTGCTAATACAATCATTTGACACATTTGTCACTATAGACTGCCGTACTAGCTGTCAACCGGTAAGATTTGTCATAACTGACTAATCCTCCCAATTGAGTTAGACTGATATTTGGGCGTTTACCTTCTTGCCTGGGGCTTGCTTGTATTGAGACGGTAGAAGGGATTCTAACTATGGAGGACAATAATGAGCAAAGAAGAGGTTATCTGATGCTGCAAATCCAAGCGCCACCAAACAATGATCCACAGTGAGGAACCATATGGCCTTCTGGTCGTCTGCGTTATGTATACTAGAGCTAGATCGTGTCGTGTTAAATATCTGCCTTTTTATTGGCCGAAGCTCACCGTCCGGTCCCTCTCCAAGCTACCTAGCGAGGATGATGGGGTTGTGTCCGCACTTCAAGCGGCGGTTCAATGGAACATACAGTGTCTTGCGGTAGAGCCATTCACCCGCAGAACACTAGACTTTTCCAAATGCAATGTTCAAAAGACTTTGCCCCGCACATGTTGGCGATATAGGCTCTCATTCGACAGGCACCGTTGGGTTTGGATATCAGGGCCAAGATTGCCAAAACCACGTGGGGTGATTTCCGGTACAATTTCCACGATGGATGAATTGAAGGCTACGACACTCTGTCTACAATCATGAATAGGACCTACAAGTCAACCATGGCCCGAGTGTCGATATTACTCAATTTTAGCACTCTGGCGTGGCCATATCTGGAACCAACACGGGCCACGGTGCGCTAATAACGCAACAGGGGAACCTGACCCCATGTGTGTGGTCTTGATAGGACCATAGTTATCAGGTTCTATTGTTATCGAGAGGCGTGTAGATGAGGGGTCAGAACTACACCTGTGCCCCTCCCCAATATATACACTGTTGAGGGAGAACGCTGTATCTCTTTTCTCATCTCATTCCTGTTAGATCTCAACTGATTTCTCCAGAGACATCAAGCATGTCTACAGTGGCGTCCTTCTCTGACTCCGGCTGCAATGGCTGGGGTCTTCCTCACCTACAGACTGTAGTTGCTGCAGTGTTTGTCGTCGCCGTTGTTCCTTCCGTGCTTCTGTTTGTTTTGCGCAAACCAAAGCTGAAACACGATAGCACTATCTACACCTATCTAAAGTTCTTCTATGCAAGTTTTGTGAAGCCACATGAATCCTACGGCGAAGGCGGCCAGCAGCTTGCTCTGGAGAGTTTCTACAAGACTCAGGTATGGGGGGGACTTCACCGCCCCCATTGCTTTGCTTTCGTGTATCTCAATTGTGCAATAGGCTGCGGTATACGATGCAACTCGGAAACGACTCCTTCGAGGCCGTGAGGATATGCTGGGCCTATTAGCAGCGCCATTGAAGTACAAGCAGGGAAAGAAACAGAGGCAATCACAGAAGCCGATATGGGTTGATGTAAGTACTGTGTCACGAAGTATGGTCAAATCTAGCGAAATATTTACTGACAAACCAGGTCGGTGGAGGTACCGGGTATGTCCGACTTCGTTTGCCTGGTTTAACATTCGAGCTTCCATTTTGACAAAATAGTTAGATACAATATCGAGGCAATGGCAGCTTTTCTTCCCGTGGAATCCTTTTTTGCTCACGTCTACCTCGTCTACCTCTCACCCTCACTATGCGAGATTGCTCGTCAGAGATTCACACGACTTGGCTGGAAGAATGTTTCCGTTGTCTGCCAAGATGCGCGGGAGTTTCGCCTTCCGAACCGCACAGGTGATGAGCTTGTCAATTCTGATAGCAAGTCACATCCAGAAAAAACTGGCAAGGCGGATCTAGTGACAATGAGCTACAGCCTGTCGATGATACCCGGTATATCTTCTATTCTAACATTACCGTGAAAGGGAACGAATTTTTACCCGATATATTCCTGGATGCCTAGATTATTACAGTGTTGTGGACTCTTCTACATCTTTATTGAGCCCCTCCGGAACCATTGGCGTATGCGACTTTTATGGTACGTTGCTAAAACCACAAGTCATACACTCGGTTTTTAATAGTTGGCTAGTGCAAAGCATCGTCGACCTGACGTCTCGAAACTACACTGGTGGAGTATTCAATCGACATGTAAACTGGGTCGGAAGAGCATTTTGGCGAGCGTGGTTTGATGCAGATCGCGTTGGACTAGACGGTGCTCGCAGGGATTATCTCGAATATCGATTTGGCACAGTGATATCGGCTAGCGCAAGGAACTATCTTCTCGGTGGTATTCCATACTATATTTTCATCGGATGCCAAAAGGAAATATATGACAACCAGCAAAACCCTAGCAGCAAAGAAATAGTTGAGAAACTCGATGCAGCCTACACAGAATCCCCTTACCTTTCTCCGGCAAAGCGCCGCCAAGAAGTGTCGAAAGCAATGGAGCGGCAGGTTGCTGAAATCAGATCCAAAGCTTACGAATCGGCCGTCATCAACCTAAGTGCGAATTTGCCCCTGCCTTCCTCATTCTATCAAAACCACCACTGGCGGATATATTATAACGAAATGTTAACCAAACACACCCAATTCGGGAATGAATATATCTACGCATTCACGTGGGAGGATCCGCGCGTGGACCATCGTTTATTAAATATTGGCAGTGACGATATTATCCTGGCAATAACGAGTGCGGGGGACAACATCCTCGACTATTTACAATATAACCCCCGAAGAGTACACGCGGTCGACCTTAATCCTACCCAAAACCACCTGCTTGAGTTGAAGGTGGCGAGTTATACCGCGCTGGGTTACCGCGATTTCTGGAAGATATTTGGAGAGGGCAAACATCCTAACTTCAGAGAATTGCTGGTTTCGCATCTCAGCCCTCACTTGTCTAGCCATGCATTCCAATACTGGTTGGATCACTCCGATACTATTAGCTCACAGTCTGGTGTGGGCCTATATGAGACTGGAGGTTCTAGATACGCTCTAAAGATGGTCCGTTGCCTATTTACAATTTTCGGACTTTCAGGGGAAGTGAAGAAGCTCTGCGAAGCGCAAACATTGGAAGAACAGCGCCAGATATGGCCCCGAATCCGCCGTGTTTTAATGAGTAAGCCACTACATTGGGGCGTGGTTTGTACAGAATGGTTCGCATGGAAAGCTGCTGGAGTTCCGGCTGCGCAGAGGAACATGATAATCACTGATTTTCTGGAGCGAAGCGGGCTCGCTGGGGGTGTGAAAAAGGATACCGAAGTTAGCGGCAAGGCTATCTGGGAATATGTTGTAAATACCTTGGATCCCGTTGTCAAGGACACTCTGATTAGCAACGATAACTACTTCTATTACCTTTGCCTACAAGGGCGATATTCGAGAAGGTAGGAACGAATCCCCGCAACGAATAACGCCTAAATGGAGAAACAAAATTACTGAACCAAACATTAAACAGATGCCATCCGAGTTACCTAACTCCCAAAGCTCACGTGAAGCTCTCTACACCAAATGCCTTTGATGGGCTTCGAATCCACACTGACGAGATCAACGAGGTAATTGAGAGAATCACACCAGGAACTCTAACGATCGCGGTGGTAAGTTGGCTATTTGAATCGCGTGCCACGAAAACCCATTCCGTAAAATTTCCTGAAGTACTAATTTTACGTACTTATATAGGTGATGGACTCAATGGATTGGTTCGATCCGGCAAAAGAGGATGCGTCGAAGCAGGCACAGGCTCTCAATAACTCCCTGAAAATGGGTGGCCGAATCCTACTTCGCTCAGCCTCGATTCAACCTTGGTATATCAAGAATTTCGAAGAGAATGGCTTCACTGCACGACGCGTTGGTGCTAGATTTCCTGGCTCGTGCATTGATCGGTGAGTGTTTCGTCAACGACTCGCTACCGCAACAATTTTACATTCCCACGTGGCTGTTGATGATACTAACGGCGGTTAATGAGCAGAGTAAATATGTATGCGTCAACGTGGATATGTAAGAAGACTAAGGAGATATCAGTTCCCTATCCCATCTCATGTACCACCTCACCCTTGACGCTGGAGAGGACGAATTCCTCGTCGACTAGCATGGATGATCTTGAGATTTAGACGTGATGGCAGTCTCGAAATCTCAGAAGATGAAGTTTTCTTAATGATTGATGGAGGGATTCAATATTCCCCCCCTCACCGACAAATCTCGTTTTATGGCTTTTGAGCTAGTTTCTTTTATTGAATGGAGGTCCGTCGACTTAATTTTCCATTTCCAACTTAATTACCTCGCATCGGCTTGGCCAGACTGATTTGGCACCTTTTTTTTACTCTGGGTTCTTGTTTTCTCGGTCTCATATATGCATGAATCTATTGCATATTACAATCTTGTTTTATTGGAGGCAGGGCAGTTGGTTGCTGGTTGCCCCTATATATACGTCCCATTCAAGATCGTTCGACTTAACTTCAGACGACATGCCAATATTGCCGTTCCCCGCCGAGGCTATGTTCATCTTGAAAAGTAATTATTTGATATCTTGGACCAATGTACTAAATGAGCTGACAGTATTTAACTTAATTGGTGCTTCAACCCTGGGCATTGCTTAGTGACCTTATTGCCCTAGTAACCTCTGAACTGCTCTCAACACCGATGAGGAAAATTATTAGGACACTCTCAATCTCCCAACTAGGATAGGGAGATTACTCAACGATACTGTGTATTTTATGTGAGATCAGGCATTCGGGAAGAATCAAGTGTCTCAAACAATAACATCCCCCTTCCTTTGGTGTGATAGTATAGAATAGTGGCGCTTACCAGCGGCGGATGGGAGGGGGAACGGGTGTCAGAGTATCCATGTCACAACTTTTTACATCTTCTACCCTTATTAAACATTCACTACTACCTGTAATATCCCACCGCACAGCTATTTGGAGATTTCCCATTCAATTGTATCATACTAATGCTGATTTAAAAACGGAAGGGGACGTGAGGGGTATCCATATATTATCCGAATATGTTCGTACCATTTGTCGGCTTTTGCTCCGATTGTCTTGCCAAGTAAGTTTCCCGATAGCCCTTCTCGGCCCAATCCTTAAGGCTCAACCCCCCAACGGAACTAGGTAGCGTTACCATTAGCGGGATCTTTGCTTTTCCTCGTCCAACCATGGTATGGGTATGCCAGAAGTTTTCTCCCATGGGTCCTCCTTACCTGGTAACGAAAATATATCCCAGGTAACTAAACCGACAAATGTCTCCAGTATCAGTGTCGACGTATTTCAGAATATGCTCCGCCTTGTCGTGCTGCCGCCGTTGAATTGTCCATTTTCTTCCGTCTAATTCTAGCGCAGGCCCATCTTTCCAATCTTTCCAGATCCAGTAAGTATCCAGTAAGATGCCCTCATTGAGGGTTTGAGGTGGGGTTGGCGGGGTAGGAACGAGAGAGAGCATTCTCACGCCACTCGGCCATTACCTGTCCAAGACAGCTAGTGGGGATGTATCACGGACAGTCTCCATTGAAAAAAGAGTGTGGAACAAGGGTGCTTGAAATCGCGGGATATAATACCTAACTCTTGCTCAATCTACTAGGGTTTGGGTGGGTGTAGCAAATAGCTAACCGAGGCGAACACTGTCCCTCAGCCCACCGACCCTGCTCTCAAACAGGACCTGTCCCTGGCCAATTCCTTGTTCAGCGGGCTCATGACGAGAAGGATTCGTGGCCGGGCCCGGAACAATATGCTTAAGGTTTGACGTCCCGGGCCTAATCAATCTGATAAGATTAGATTTTATCACTAGCGGCTCTAGCGCCCTGCCAAGATCCATTTATCTGATTGATAAGATTGGATCAGGGGCGCTATCCACAACGCTGGGCTTGGCCTCCGAGGATTCCCCGATACGATACAAGTCAGAATGATGCTGCTTGCATGTCCGAGAGCGGAACCCCCTGTAGCCGGGAGATGCGATGATGATGAGTTCGAAATGGCTAATAAAAAGGGCCCGGTCCCCTCGGCCATCAGTTCCTTTTTCCTGCCACTCTGAATGACAAGTTACATTTACGCCCTTCTCTCCCCCGTTATAGTTACTTCGCTTACCCAGCTCCGGTCCCTATATCACAATGACAGAGATACAGCCAACCCTCAATGGGCTCGCAGCCAAGATTACCGAACTTTCAGAGACGTTTACTAAGTTGTTGCAGGAGAACAATATTCCAGAACCGACTTTCGCTGCGGATAGCCCACCTAGCTATGTTGGCTTGACGGCAGAAAGCTTCCTGATACGACAAAAGCTCCTTGACGCAGTAAATGATATGTGGTATCTGACACAGGGTCCGAGTGAGAGTATTTTCAACTATGTTCACACTGTTAGAGTTCCCGAGTGCCATATTTCTCCTTAATACCCGGTCCAAAATAATTCTAACTTCAAATAGGCCATGCCCGATGCCGCCGCTCTCAATACTATGAATTATTTCGATTTCTGGTCTGCCGTGCCTGTCAACGGTACTGCTTCTTACGCCGACATCGCAGAGCATACATCTCTTCCCGAAGATGTTGTTTATCGCCTTTTACAACACGCAATGACGCTTCGGATATTCTCAGAGACCGAGCCTGGAAAGCCCTCGTCCCGCGTGCAGCACACGTCCCGTTCTGCTGCGCTAGCCCGTTCATCGGGGTTAAGAGCCCTTGTTTCTACAGTGCTGGATGACTCAGGCGCCCCCATGATGGTCATGAATGAAGCGCTAGCAAAATACAGCCGCGGGAAGCCCGCGCTGACCCAAGAAATGAACGAGACATCATTTGCTCTGTTCCATAGGAGCGGAATATATGGGAAATATAGTAACCCCTGGGAGTTCCTGGAAAATGACGGTGAGGGGGAGAAAAAAGGTTGGCGAGCTGCGAACTTTGCGGAGTTTATGCGTTATGTGAAAGAAATTTTCCGTCTTGAAGAAGTGGTGCTTCAATGTCATGATTGGAAGGCGGCGGGAAAGGCAACTGTGGTAGATGTGAGTTGGTTTCTTTCTCGTATTTTGTGTTTTGCATTGCTAGAATATTAGTTTATGACGAGGTTTGCGTAGAGGGAGCTAACATGATATCAACTATTTAGTTGGGTGGCTCCGCCGGCCACGACGCGGTAGTACTAGCACGGAACTTCCCAGACCTCAAAATCATAGTCCAGGACCTGCCTAAAGTCAAGCCTGTGTTCGACACAGAATTTCCATCGGAATTCAAGCCACGCGTGTCCTTTGTAGAACACGACTTCTTCCAGCCGCAGCCGGTCCAAGCTGATATTTACATAATCAAAATGATTCTCCACGACTGGCCTGACCAAGAGGCAGCGAAGATATTGCGTGCGTTGGTTCCCGCATTGAAGCCCGGTGCTCGAGTTCTTCTCATAGAATACATTGGCAAGCACGATAAAACGGAAGGACCTGCGTTGCCACGCTCGATCCAGCAAATGGGCACCGCAACCGATGTGAGAATGATGGCATTATTTAATACAAAGGAACGCGCGGTTGATGGTTGGAAGGACATTTTCCGCGCTGCAGATGAGCGGTTTGATGTTGTCCGTGTCAACGCGAGTTCGGAGACGTTCTTCGCTGTGGTTGAGGCTGTGTGGCGGGGATGAGAGGGTAGGTAGTATTTATTTGTGCGCGGGGACAACAGTAGCCAGGACTTTGGCGTATCCCCATCCTGGTCTCTGGTCTTGTGAGTTTAAGATATTGAAATATTAATTATGATGTCCTCCATTTGGTTAATGAAATTGCTGGGCCGAATTTAACTGCATAGATATTTGAATATGTAGCTAGAAATCGTTCCCCGCTCCGCTGTATGACAGGTTACACTTTAGAATCCTTAACTCGACACAAATGGCGAACATTGGGTTGTTCTGAAATTAGAAAACCAAAACCGCTGAAGCCTAGAGGCGTGGATGAGGGGCTAGGATTCTCATGACAAAGCTGCTTAGAGCTTCATAGACAAAGAACAAAACGAGAAGAACAATTAGAAGTTTTTTCTTCTTTCTTTCTTTCTTTCTTTCTTTTCTTTTTCTTCGGGAAAGCTATTACCAAGATGCTGTGTCACGGATTGGGGGTACTTGTACACAAGGATGTTGACTTATAAAAGTTTTGCCAAAACGGACGCGACAAGGAATTCAATAACATCATCCTACAAAAAATGGCAAATACTTCTCGGACAATCAGAGCGCTCCCAGCACAACTGGAGGATGCTACAGCCCTCGCCAGGGTGGAATTGGATGCGTTTTCCAACGACCCCGTGACTCGGCCCCTGTTTGGACCGCATAACCCTGAAGGATTTACATTCCGAGCCAAGGAGCTTGCGGAGGGTATAGCGAAGAATGACCGGAAGACGCATTATATCAAAGCTGTGCTGGGCGACGATACGATTGTCGGTATGGCCATATGGCACTTCTATCTCGACGAGGAGTCCAGCAATGCTGTTGAGAGAGTGGACCTGGACAAGAAGGAATGGGCCACTGGCGCGAATGTGGATGCGTGTAAGGATTTCTTCAGACAGATTTTTAAGATGCGGGATAGGATGCGTGGGCAGAGACATGCTTGTAAGTGTCCATTTTGCTGTGATTTCTTCTTCCGCGATTTCTCCATTCTGCCTGTTGAGTCCAATTTGCGCTGCTGTGCACATTTTGTCCGTCTCTCCATTTTATCTCCTGAGGAAACACGCGACCTTCTTCTCACAGCACAAAAAGTCCTCAGTTGTTTCGCGACCGAAATCGCCCACCAGGGTCTTGGTGCTGGCTCCGCAATGTTACAATATGGCGTCGACATTGCGGATAAGGAGAATCTCCCTGGGTGGCTGGAGTAAAGCCTGAAGGCTCACAATTTGTAAAAGAAGTTTGGATTCGAAGATGTTGACTCATTTACGTTTGAAACAAGCAAGTATGGAGGAGAAGGGGGGAGACCCCTCTTTGGAATGGTCAGGCCTGCGAGGCAAAACTGAGAGAGGAAAAGGGATGGAGGTTGCTGTTTTGTATGTATTTGCTGGATGACATGGGATATTTGACATTTTGCAGTTTGGGAGATTGAATATCGAGGTTTGCTATCGATGGCAAGCTCTGAAGTTACCAAAAAAGACTGGATCCCTTGCTGCATATATTCAAACTAAAAATGACATCTCCCGAAAGTACCCCTCAAGTTTCTTCCCTAAATAACGTGCTGGCTTGTTGGTAATTGTAGACAGAGAAGCCTCCGATGCTAAGTTAACAACAGCTGGGCAAAAACTCATCTAGCCGGAAAGCAGAGAGTATTAGATGGAAGATAGTGGCTACCTCTCATCACACAATTTGGGTGCTCCTTGGGTTGGCGACCAATGATTAGCTTAACGTCGACGGACGTCCAGTCCAGTGTATTTCTTTGGGGTGATTCCTCCGAGACGAGTTTGTAGCCGCAGGTGACGTTTGATCGAATCTGCAAAGCACGAAGACGGCTAAATGAAAACCCAAATAGCCGGGCACTATGCACTCAACACGAACAACTATATCAGTTGTAGTTCGGTCCGCAAGTCTGAGAGACCAGAGTGTCTAGATTGACGGGAAATCCTGTCCTTCCAAAAATGACAGTACATTTATTATCCACAAGGGGACGGGAAAATAGAACAATGAAATCATCCCTGTCCTGCTCTCCAACACGGCAAGACTACTTCTTCCAAGTGAGATTCGGTGGTGAAGCTCTCGCATTGGAAGCCTAGATCCTGGAATGCTTTTGGTTACACTTTATAATCTAGCGTACCGAAGCGCGTGAGGCCTTGTGCTGAAGCTCCAGAGAAGCTGGAGAAAACGTTGACGCGGGATGAGTTCTGCAAGCGGCATTCAAAGTTTTCTCATCAAAGCTACCTTCGGCTGCATCAACTTTCTGAAGCTGATAGATAGGCGGTCTAATTGGCAATACACGTTTGCGATCACTGAGACACGAGCCTCATTGCATTTGTGTCCTCAGGAGATTTACTCAGCGGATTGAGTTGGAGAACACCGTTGCTATCATAGTAGTATCATGAGCTCCTGAGGCGGCGTTGCTGATGGGTAAGGAAGGGTCTGTACCTGGCTAGTTTCTCTCGATACAAGCTTTCTCTTTTGTTTCCTTCACGTCTCCTTGACCGGGAAAAAAGAGCACAGCAGTTTCTCCAAGCATGCAATGATCAATTTGATCAGACCAACTCTACGCTGCTAGTTGGACATCATTGACGGTGCATGTTGACCGTTGGCGGTTGACATTTCTTTTTAAAACAATAGCGGAAAAAACAGCACTAGTCCTATTTAGGAAAGGGTTGCAACTTGCCAGAATATCGCTGCGCAAAATCCATTCTTGAAGTCAAGGATAGTACTGTAACCCTCGAATAATGAATAAATTATCGTTGGCGGAAGGAGAGCCGGGGACGATGAGCGTGTGGTGCGCCAATAGTAATTAAAATTCCAAAAAGGTAGAAGGCTCGAATGTATCCCCCGCACCCAGAGGAGCAAACAGCCATCTCGAATTTGTGTACCTTACCCGTCTTGGCCAATATGAAACGAAGTTACGAGGTAATTTGTCCAATCTATTTGTTATGACCGAAAATCTAACACTTGACACAGAATGCTCTCAAGCTCTTGGAGATGCGACGGCGGCCTTGCCGTCCGATAGCCGCTGCAGCACCCCAAGCTTCGCAAAATGCGGCCTTGCCGAGCAGTAATAACGTTCTAAGAGGCACACCAAGCCTAGCTGGAATGTCCGAGTGGTTGCAGATTTTAGGTCACTCGGTAAGAAATGGTGTCTGGCCTTGCAGCTGTGATGCTCTGAGCGAGTTCTTACCAGTCCAGTGGTTCAGGACCGCGATCTTGACAAGTTGAACATAGTCCATGTTGCCGGGACAAAGGGGAAAGGCAGCACCTGCGCGTTCACTCGCTCTTTTCTCCATGCGCATGGTTTGAGGACGGGATTTCCAAGCCGGATCGGGTTATATACTTCCCCTCATTTGAGATGTATCAGGGAGAGAATACAGATTGATAATCAGCCAATAACGGAAGATATGTTCACGCGCTATCTCTTCGAGGTGTGGGAAAAGCTAGTATCTGCAGAGATAGACAGGTTGCCACGTTATCTGCAACTCCTGGCTTTATTGGCCTTCCACACGTTTGTCAAGGAAAAAGTTGATGCAGCGATATTCGAGACGCACCATGGTGGGGAGTATGATGCCACAAATGTAATACCAAAACCAGTTGTAACGGGGGTCACGTCGCTTGGTATGGACCATATTTCCCAGCTGGGACCTACAATTGAGGACATTGCTTGGCATAAAGCTGGAATTTTCAAAGCTGGCACACCTGCATTCTCTGTATTACAAGAGGATCGTCCCAGTGTTGCTTTGAGCAAACGCGCTGCAGAGAAAGGGGTCGATTTGACCTTCGTCTCAACCAATGAAGCCCTTTTTGACGGCGGTGGAGTGCTCAATATTCCAGTTCAGCGACTGAACTGTTCTCTTGCCCTTGAAATCGCGAGAGCCTTTTTGAAGCTCAAGGCGCCCGAGGACACCATTGATGCAGAGGACATCTCCAGAGGTATCAAAACTTTCTCATGGGCTGGGAGATTTGAAGTTATCGAAGACGGAATATCGCGATGGTTCCTGGATGGAGCGCACAACATGATGAGCCTGGAACAGGCGGTGCAATGGTTTTCAAATGCTACCAATGCTCCCGATAGCCAAAAGTACGCAGATTTATCTTTCTTTCCACCTCACGCGCCAGGCAGCTGAGCTCACAAAACCACAACGTTTGGTTTTAGGTTCCGCGTTCTGATCTTCAGCCACTTTTCAGAAGGCCGCGACGGAGCAGCTCTTGCGGAAGGTTTGGCACATTCCCTCTCCAAATACAACGCTGCACCAGATTGTGTTATCTTCACGACCTACCAGGAGAGCGAGGGCGGGTCCATGGGAAAAGGTAAGTCGAGATTGCATCGCCGCCATTGTTGATGTAATAAATGCGGACTAACTTTTTCCAACCTTCTTTCTCTTTCTTTGCTTTTGAGACCGCACTGTTAAATTAGCCGAGCCATCTTTTCCTGAATTTTGCGATTTATATTCTTCAATATGGAAGGGACTTAACCCCCAGGGTGTAGTTTCATGCGAGCCTACCATTGAGGGCGCAATTAAGTTTGCCAAACGGATGGGTGCTCTACAGGGTGGGATGGAGGTGCTTGTAACTGGGAGCCTACATTTGGTTGGAGGGGCTCTTAACATTTTACGGCCGCAAGATTAGCTGAAGCTCTTTGGAATTCTTTCTATAGGTCAGAGTACGGAATAGCCAGGAAGATATGCGGGTTCATATATTTCTCAGGTAATAAATTTCTCTATCGCTTGTATTCGGAGAACTATTTTCCAGTTTCGACATTTGATTCAGCAAATTTAATATAGAGCGGCGTGTGAGACGGAAAGGACAAAAGGACGGGCATTGGACGTGGAGATTTATATATTGAACGAGTGATGATGTCCAATATGACACAGTGGATGGCTGTATAGCTAAGATCAAACGTTGAAAGCTCCCTAGAGGGGTTAACTCTAATCTAGGTGGTATCTGAACTGGTTCGCGAATTCATAAGAGATGACCAAACAATTAACAACAATAACAATAACAAAGGAAACAATCAACCGCGGAGCGATCAGCTAATCCCCATATTCATCCACAATCCATTGGCAAAATCTCTCCCACGACTTTTGCCAACATTTCATCTTTTCGGCACGGATCCCACTCCCATCGGCACCACGCTCAATATCCCGCAGCCACTCTTCCTCAGTCTGATCTTCATATATGCCCCAGCGAACGCTATTCTCTGCCAGCGATCCCAGCCCAGCCAGGCCGAGATTCTCCCACCCTTGCAGCGCTGACCAAAAGTCATGAGACATGCCCGACGTACCCTGGCCTAGGAGGGCAGGGTCATCGTTGCTGAGTGACGCCGGGACACCCCGAGCCAGCAGCGCGGGAAGCGGGTGAGCCAGGACCGTTGCTGTCAATCTCAGCACTTCATTTGAGATCGGGCATGATTCGATGAGTATTTTCTTCTCCTTGACCATGTCGATCAAAACGGGGTGTTTGTATAGTGAGAAGCCGTGCCCGATGCGCCTGGTCCCAAGCAGGATGGCATCATAGAGATTGTCATCTGTGCTATCACCGTCGCCCAGACACTCGCCTGCATGGAAAAAGAAGGGGATCTCCAACTTTTCTTCGACGCATCTTTGTCGGAACCATAGTAACTCCGGGGTCAGGTCTTTGAGCGTGCGTCCCATGTCTTCTTGGCCGACGAGGTCGAAGCCGGCGATTAAATGCGGGTGTGCCTTTTTGGCACGAATGCAGTTTTGCATGTCTTGTGTGGACGAGCGCATGGAGTTAGTTAATGGCTTGCAGCCCGCAGAATTTAGTAGAGTTTAAAACGTACTTTTAATAATATTCTCCGTGCCCATCTGCCGCAGTGCAGTCCAGATAATGCGGCCTCCCCAAAAGTTCTCACCCCGCTTCGTCGCCTTGAACTTCTCGATCTCCTCGCCGATGGCACGCACCATCTCGTTGAAATCTCCAGAAGGAACATCCTCATTTTCGCGTCGGTATGGGTCTACAAACGCATCTCTCAACTCCACCCACTGCACCCCATCGTTCGCGATCGTCTCGAGTAACTTCTGTATAAAAGCACGTAGAATGGGCTCGTAATATATAATCGAACCCAAAATAATAAACGCAGACGTAAACTTCCTCCAGATAGCATCAACCCCAAGATGATGCTCGATGGACTCCTTCGCGATAATCGACGTCCGATCTTTAAGCCATGAGATAAATCCCTCCCGGCCGCCATCTGGGAAACTATCCGCAGCAAAATTGGCTTCGATCAACGTACCAGGCTGGTATCCGGATGTCCAGACTGATGCAGTCTCTTTCGGTGCAGCCTTCGAGTAAGTAAACTGCACCGCGGCCTTGCTACGATTACTCTCAGTATCCAGTGGCAGTGGTGAATAAAAATGCATGCCAGGTGTTGCTAGCGTTTTCTCGTAGAGCCAGCCCAGATCCACCATAGCTCCCATGTGGCAATGAAGAAGGGCACCTTTGGGCATCCTGCAGGCGATTTTCCAGAGCTTCGTTGACTCCATGCGCGCCTTTGCCAATATGAACATCATCCCGGGATACAATTCTTCATCGTCCTTATCATACTGTGCTTGGCGCCAGGTCGCGTTCTGTTCTTCTCGCCGGATGCGCTGAACGATGTCGCAGGCCTTTTGGGCTGTTGGTGATAGGGAGCGGCGAAAATCGGCATCTGTAGCGTTACGTATTTTCAAATGTTAGAACTATCAGGAGAGATGCCGTCGGATTTGCTTTCAAAAGGCAAAAGAAAATCCCACATATGGATTTTGGGCAAATGTGTAGTAGCTAACCGCTGCGGCTTCCTCTTTCCTGCAATATCAGCTCCTGGCGGTTCTGGAGATGCTTTGAGATAGCAGAGCTGACATCGCCAGGAATGCAAGATGGGATACTGCTCCCCATGCTGAATGATGGACGATACAGATTCGAGGCTAAAAATTGTCTTGTGTCGCTATTCTGACTTCGATGGCTTGCTATTGTACTCTGTAAAAAAGGCTATGGCCGAGGAAATGACAGCGAGCCTTTGAAACAGTTGCGCAAAACCGATCACGGCGACTTCCATCCATTCACAATGCAGTGTCTCAGTAACCACTAAGATTGGAGTCCGTCGAAGAGGGCGCAAGCGACTGTTTATAAAGAACAAGCGGCTAATCCTTCTCTGGGTCACCGCATGTCCGGGATTTCCAATTTAGCTGCCCGTTCATCCACATTGTTGTCCCTCCGATTGGTGGTCATCGTCGGGAAGGGAGGTTTCAGCACAGGGGGCTTTCTTCCTGTGCAGTTACATTTTTAATATATTGGCTGGCTGATGTAGTGAGACGTGAGGATGCTGAGGGTGATTCGGCTCTAAAACAGCTTCCCCGCATAGTTAAAGCCCGCCTGCTACCTAGCTATTTACAGAACAATAGCAGGAGCTATAATGTATCACTTTTGATATAGAGATATGTGTCTTGCTATTTGTAGTTTTTTGCCGATGGTCGAAAAATTACTAATACTAGCATTTCCTACTATATATTTGGAGAAGGTTCCTATTTGGCCAAACTGGCTCCGAAATCACCACAGCTCGTTGTTAGGACTTGGTTACATGGATATCGGGGTGACAGCAGCTTCATATTAGGATGTAATATTACTGATTCTTGAAGAAGAGAACTAGATAGTAGAGAAGCAGGGAATGAGTATAAGACACGCCGCGTCTTCTGTGGGTCACATGATGTGTATGTAAGCATGCCCTAAGCCCTAGGCCTTACACTCTGCCTCCTCACCTCCCTCATCCCTCCTCCAGAGTGGCGAGGTTATTATATTATACATGTGATATAGATAGTAAGGCATACAGACAATTAGGCAATTAGAGTATACAGTAGTGGCAAAAAAAAAAAAAAAAAAAAGAAAAGCTTAAAGAGTGAAATCAGTGAAACACACTCTGCTCTGTTCTGAGATTCTAGTGAGATGCACCCTGTTCTAGAGTTTAGGTGAAGTAGTGGAAGTCTCTGACCCTACTTTTGAAACTTGTAGCAGGATGTGCCCTGTCCTACTTCTTAGCAGGACATGCCCTGCTCTATGAGAAATGAAGAGACTTGTTATAGGTCATTCTTCTGATAGCAGTCAACATTATAATACTGTGTCTGAAAAGAGTCAAGCATGTCAGCATGTGCAGAGTCTGCTTGTGAAATGTCTGATACTGAGTTTATTACTGATAGTTGTTAAGACCTCATTAAATAGCAGGTGTAGAAGATATCAAGATATGACTGAGTATTAGAGAGATAGTCATAGTCTACTCATTTATTAAATTAAGAACTGTGACTTACTTAATATACTAGGTATTTGATTCAGTTTCTCTGAGTGAGCTTGACATTGAGTATCTCTTGAATATCATCATTATTATTCAGATCAGAATGTAGAATCTCTGAGAGAATATACTAATTATTTAGAATGAATATATGATATAATTCTAGAAGTGAGACATGAAATACATTATATATATAATAGAAAGATGATAGATTGAGTTAATATATCTATGTACTGACACAGACCTGCATAGTAAAGAGTTCAAGAAACTTGTAATCTAGCTTGTAGTTAAGATGACATGTTTTTATATTCTTTATATTAAGAAAAACAAGATTATCTATCTGAAACTCACAGAGCTTGTTATAGACATAATACTGCATGAGATTCTGAGAGTGAAGAAGATGATTATAAGTCTCTTACTAAGTATCTTTGATAAGAACTGTATAATATTTCATAGCAGTGTCATCTAGTTCTGAGAGAGAAAAGTTAGATATGATGAGAGATATGAGATAATATTCTAGATTTATAAAGAATAAGATGAGATTATAAATAGAGTGTACTGAATTACTGTAAATAAATTCAGCTAAGATGAGAAGATCTACTCAGTCATTCTGTAAGTAGATGATATATAGATGTAGATATACTTTCAGTTCATGATTTTATCTTTCTATCTGATTATCAGTCTGTGTATAATAGATAGTGAAGAGGCAATGATTAGTATTAAGAAGATTGACAAGAAAGTGCCAGAATTCTGAGATGAAAAGATAATCACAGTCTGAGATTAAGACTACTGACATTTCATAAAGACAGATAATATTGTTAATAAATAACTGTGTAAACATCTCTGAGAGAAGATCTGCTGTGATGAGAATGTAATAAGAGTGTTTGAATCTTTTGCATATAATTATCAGAATGATGTTAAATGTGATGTCTGTAACTGAGCAGATGAACTTGAGTAGATCTACTACAAAGTCAAGAGTGATTGTATATTAATTAATATCTGAGATAAGAATGAGTGTGAGCTCTCTGTATACTTAATGAGTGATAGACTTGAATTATCTGCATGTTTTACAGCTGTGTATATAGTTATTCACATTACACTGCATGATAGATCATTAGAATCAACAGTTTATTAATACATAGATTTGATAAGATTCAAAGTATTCTGTAGTAAAAGAGTCATGAAAGTTCTACAGAATGAAAACTCAAGTTAATATATAATCTGAGACAAAGATTCTGTCTTTATAAAAGAGTAGATCATTCTCTATAGCTCAATTTTCCAGGTTATTATAATCTATCAAAGATATGAGTGATTCAAGATTTTTAGAAAGATTATTATAGATTATTTACAGTAGCAGCTCTGTAATATGATCTTCAGTATGTATCTATATCTAAGTATGAATAGAGATAACTGAGATTAACTCTACTATTTATACTACTGTGAGAACACTGAGATGAGCATTGCAGAGATAATCACAGAATTTATTAAGAAATTTATAAAATATGTTAATAAGTTCTGTAAGATTATCTGAGTATGATTAATAGTCTGAGTACTGACTGAGTATATCTGCTGAGTTACTGTGACCTTTCTTATACTTTATACTGATATTAAGCTCACTTAGGTGTTGAGCTCATCTTACTTAATGATGACTAAGAACCTTAATTATGAGAAAGAATAGAAGATTGTTATAATCACTGTATATAACTGTATTATAATGATTACTTCTGATAAAATGACTTTAATACTTGATTAACTCTATTATTACTAATATTTCTTAATCATAGATTTCATAGTTATACTCAGCACTTATCATTTTTCAGCTATAAAATGTGACTGAGTGTAAGTAATCATCAGAATCTTTCTATATAAGAATTTCACTTATAATATATTCACTGATATTATAGAAAATGACTATATCAAGCTTATCTGAGTAGAATATAAGTAGCAGAGCTTTGATAAAGACCTCTTTCAGTAAGAGAAAGTTAAAGTTCTCAGACTCTGTTTATTGAAAGATTTTATTAGTCTTGAGAAGACTAGTTATTGATAAAGCTATCTTACTGTAGTGAAGTATAAAGCAGTAATAGAAGTTATAAAAGCTCAGAAATTTATAAACATTTCTGATTGACTTAGAGATAAGCTATGCTACTATTATTTTAATATGTTTGAGATTCATGCAGATGCTGTAATATTCAATTATATAGTCTATAAAGTCTATTTCTTCTTGAAGAAAATGATATTTAAAGAGATTATATATTAGACAAGCTTCTCTGAATTTATATAGTATCTGTTTAATATATTATCAATGAGTATCTGAGTTGTAATCTTTAGTGTATATCATAATATTATCTATGTAGACTACTGTAAAATTATCAATGTATAAGAGCAGTGCTGTCTGAATATATTACTGAAAGTGACTGAGTGAGTTACAGAGATCAAAGAGTACTACTAGATATTCATAGTTATCATACTATGTCTTAAAGACTGTAAGATGTTTATATCTCTCTGTAATTTATAGAAGATGAAATGCATGAACTAGATCTAGTTTTATAACTTAATATATTTCAGTGAAGCATTTAAGAAGCTCTGATATAAAAGATATTATATATTAATTTTTAACTGTGATAGTATTTAAATTCTGATAATTTATATAAAATTATTTAGTTTCATCTTTCTTCTGTGTAAAGAGCACTGAAGAGATATATACTGACTTACTTAAGTATATAAATTTATACTCAAGATTTTCTTTAATATATTTTTTTAGAAGTTATAGTTCTGATTAACTTATATTATAGAGTAAAGTCTTCTTCAGAAACTTACTATCTATAAGAGTAATTTTCATATCTGTCTCTGAGTATGAGACTAGAGTGTTAACTATGAGTAAGTGAAAAATATTCTTGAAGTTATCTAACTCTGAAGATAGATATATAATAGAGATATTCTAACTGATTTATAATTATATAATAATAGAAATAATGTTATCAGTGAGAATGAGATTCTTTAACTCTTATAAGAGATGATTACTATTAAGCTGTCTCATATGAAATCTATTGAAGAGATAATCAGAATCTCAGTGTATATCTGAATTAGTATATTATAATCAGAGCATTCTCAGTATCAGAAACTGTGATATTAATATTAAGATAAAGTAGTATTTCATTGATTAACTATCAGAGTTTAACAAGGTTATCTTATAGATATAGAAGTGAATGAGATATTTTTAATCTTAAAGATCTTTTAAAAAGATATATAATATAAAGACTTTTATAATATTCAGAGCTTTAATAACTGTAGAGATAATAATATTGAACTCTGCTTCTGAGTCTATCATAGCTGAGAGAGTAAGTATATCAGTGTCTTGAAGAAGACAGATAATATTATTCAGAGTGAGTGTAATTTATAGTATAGAAATATCATATTATATAATCTATATAGAGAGAGTGTAATTATCAATAAACTGTGTAAATAAGTTAATTAAGAGTATTTATTTGTATATAACTGTCTCTAGCAATGTACTGATTCATTTTTTGATTTTGAGAAGACTGAGCAGATACAGAGTGAGATAGTGTATAAGAGTATTTTTTCATTATCAGAGATTATATTAAGCAGTGAGATACTCTGATGTATAGATGTTATAATTACTGATATCAGACAGATATAGCAGTTATTAACTCAGTATCTTATATAGTTATATTAGATACAGAAGTCTTTATACTGATACTTTCAGTATTCAGTGTCTGTGATATCTAAGTTCTTATTAGTACTGTGAGAGAATCTGTCAGAGAAGTATGAACATGCTTAGTCAGCTGTACTCTCATAGTTATGCATGTCTTATATATCACATGTTAAATTAAATCTGACATGTTTATTATTATAGTTATTATTAAGAATTATTTATTTAAATATAATAATATAACTTTCAGCTGTGATGACAGCTTTTTTTTAATTAGTAAAAGTGACAGATCAGATATTAAAATAAGCTTGATTAATCTGTTATAGAATTAATGTGATTAACTTAGTATAAAATATAAAGTAGATAACTGAATTATTTTAGTAAAGATCTGCTATTAATATCTTAAAGTTAGTAATAAAATCAATTGTATATTAATTGTACTGTATTTATAGAGAATTCATGCATAATTCTGTAATAAGAGCTGTATTGATTTTACAGTAATTATTACATAGTCAGACTTTGAGAATTTTTTAGATAATGATATATATATTATTATCAATTTACATGTGTTGAATATATTAATGAATTTTAAGAGCTAAGTAGCTGATTATAAAGACTATTTTAAAGATGTTTGCAGTGATGAGACATTCTCTGATATTATTATTCATATTAAGTAGTTAAAAGTGTATATCTATAGATCTGTCAAATATATCAGATTCTTGCAATTTAATCTTGATTGAATGAGATTAAGTATGAGAGTTTAGCAGAGAGAATTTACTAGCAGGACATTTATTCAGAGCATCTAGATATTGAATAAGATGAGTGTTTTCTTCTGCTATCACATGATTTTACTCAGTCAGTTAATTGACTTAGTCAATGAGGCTTTGCATTTCATGAGTGAATATCATGATAATTGTTAAGAAGTGAAAATTTTCATGATTTTGTAGCTGCAAGGCTGTGACTGATATTATAGAGAAGAAGAATCAGTATGTTAGAACTTGATTACATGGATATCAGGGTGACAGCAGCTTCATATTAGGATGTAATATTACTGATTCTTGAAGAAGAGAACTAGATAGTAGAGAAGCAGGGAATGAGTATAAGACGCGCCGCGTCTTCTGTGGGTCACATGATGTGTATGTAAGCATGCCCTAAGCCCTAGGCCTTACACTCGTCAACTGCGTCAACCAACCTGATGTTTCCTACTCGAATGCTCTGGGGGAATAGAGTTAACAGTGTCGTCATCCGTCTTGCCTCAAGCCCCCAGGTTTTGCCTTCACACCTTTGATAAACTTTCCCAAGATAATCTAGCTACCTAGCAGTTGAGGGCGTTCTCCGGAGGGAAGAGTTGGAAAAATACCTTATTTGGGCATCAGGGTTTGGTACTTGGATCTACAACCCATTGTCATTGCAACTGCCAGCGGTAAGTGAGAGAAGTAAGCTTCGGAAGTAGCTCCGATTGACGTCCAAGAATACTAACAATGCCAACAAACCCATGAAGTCAAATGCCCAAGGCAATAACCTATGACCTCACTAGCCCCCAAGTACTCTTGACAGTGGAAGGCGAGCTGGGTGGAAAGGGGGCGAAAGGGGGGCGAAATTGGGGTGGAGGTAATTGAACATATAAGGAGCTGCCGCGTCCATCCGGACAGCTGGGCGAATAGAGAATGAATTAGCAAAGCCTAAGTCACATATATACGCAGGCATTTTTAATTTGTAAATAAACCCTCAGAAATACCATTCGCAATCATGTCCGGAATCGAGGATACCTGGAACACAGCTCGCCGCGCACAGCAGGCAGCATCACAGAACAACCCGTTACAGCCCACTCAGGGCACACAGGAGGGCGACATACAGGGCATGCAGGGCTCCCAGGGAATTGGCCAGGGCAATATGCCCCCCTCTAGCACCTACGGCGCGCAGCCCACTGAGGGCTACGGTGCCGCTGGTCAACAATACGGCCAGCCCACAATGGGCCGTAGCACCCAACCGATGTCTTCTCAAATGGGTCAACGCCAGCAGGGAACCCAAGGCTTGGGAGGCCAAGGCATCCGCGAACAGGGCTTAGGAAGCCAGAACATCGGGAACCAGGGACTAGGATCCCAGGAAGCAGAGTCTGAAGGATGGCAGGGTAAGCCTGCGGAAGGACCAGGGATGAAACGCGGCTCGCAGTCCTCAGAGGCTTCCGAATATAGCCAGGCATCCCAGGAAGAACACGGTGACAAGTCAGGTAAAATTCCCCTGTTTTTTGAGTCCAGCATGTTGTCGTCATGGGGTTAAGGCATCACTGCTGACTGGAAATAGGCGGCGGTGGTCTCCTCCGGAAAGCCAAGGATAAGTTGTCTGGCGTCCGCTAAGTTGGAATCTGGCGAACTGGGAGGTGGATTGGATAAGCTAGAAGTAAAAAGTACTTGCAAATTGGATAGTGGAGGTATGGATTTCATTGTTGGATATTTGTTAGTCCCTTTTGCATGTCAATTATAGTCAGTAATAGTGTGACGCAAAATTGCTCACCCGAAAAGCAATAAAAATAAAAAAACTCTGCCAGTGACGGCAAAAATGTGAGCAAACATGTTTTAAAATGTTGAAAATGTTCGTTCGTCTTGTAGGTACATTGACATAATTTAGACAGGTAGGATATATACGATAGTGCCCAAATATCTATTTATATATACAAAAAAGAAAATACGACGCGGATTTATTCGTTCGACCACTCAGGCTTCTTCTTCTCGGCGAATGCGGTCATTCCTGCAAAGTGGTTGTTAGCAATTGAAATAAAAAGGAATAAGGGTGACCGGGGGATTAAAGGGCTTAAAATATTCATACCGATCTTCTGATCCTTGCTGCCGAACAGTCCGTGGAACAGCCGTCTTTCATAGTCCACACCTTCCTTCAGGTTCAATTCCTGACTCTTGTTGACGACCTCCTTCGCAGCGACGACTGCTACACGGCTGTAGCTGGCAATGACGCTAGCGGTCTCGACTGCAGCCTCAACCAATTCATCTTTACCCCCATCGATGACCCGGGCAGCCAGACCCCACTCACCAGCTTCCTTACCACTGAAGTTCTTCCCGGTCAGAATGAGCTCCATAGCCCTGCTCTTTCCAATGGCTCTTGTGAGACGTTGAGAACCACCAGCACCGGGAATGGTTCCAAGTTTGATCTCCGGCTGGCCGAATGTTGCTTTGGAGGTGCAGTAAATGATATCGCACATCATGGCAAGCTCGCATCCACCTCCAAGAGCATATCCGGACACAGCAGCGATGACAGGAGTACGGATTGTATTTGCCAGGTGGGACCAGGGGGCAATGAAGTTGTTCGAGTATGCAGATGAGAAAGTGAGGGGTGCCATCTCTTTGATATCCGCGCCAGCTATAATCTGTGTCAACATATCACGGTTCGAATAATATTCTTGAAGGGCTGGGATGAATTACCCGCGAACGCCTTTTCACTGCCGGTGAGAACAATGGCACCGATGTCCTTGTCCTTGTCATACTTGGTAAGAGCGTCGTTTAGCTCACGAAAAAGCGGACTGGAAAGGGCGTTGAGAGCCTTTGGTCTGTTCAGGGTGACTATATCAGGTTTTGCTGGTTAGCTGGGGTGTACAGACTACCACTGCCAATGCCGCAGTTCCACCATCGAATCAAAACTGCTTCAATTTGGACTCGAGATGTGTCTGAGAATATTGAGAATGCATACTGAGGCCAACTCCTGGTTTCGGGGTTGAGACGAGGATATGTTCGTAGGCTGGAGAAGCTGTGGAATAGAGCCGGCTGCTCCTCAGACATGATGTCAACGATACCGCAGCCGTGCGGGCAACTAACCGCTCGCATCGTCCAGCAAACATTTTAGATATTCTGGAGGGCAGCAATTGTATAGCTGGGTCTAATTGGATAATGCAATTAAGGAAGCAATTGGGATACTAGGGATGTCCTGTCTACTCTTTGCTGCGACTGTGATTGTTGTGGTTGCGTTGTTGTTTGTAGAGATCTCTCTGCTTCCCTCCGCCGAACGAGCCATTGCCGAGCCGAGGCCAGCCGATATATTTATCACATGATATACCGCGCTTATTCAGCTCATTGTGGCTGGTGAGTGTGGCACAGCATCCGAATTTCAGCCACGTCTATTTGTTCGGACAGATATGATATCCAAACAACTTAAACGGCGATCCCAGAACACAGAAACACAGTCCAGCTCTCCTCCTCCCTTTAAACCACCCTTCTTCCTGCGCGCATTCGTGATACCTGCCCTGATCTGTGCTGGATATCTCTTCTTCGGCGGATTTGTGCGGATATTGTCTATTTATTCCTCTTGTGTTCATTTTGCGCCATGGATGTCCCAGACCCTGACCAGACGCCCTTTGCGGCCGTGACGACGCATACTTCAAGACTTTCCCGGGTATGTGGTTTTCCAGTCTAATAATTTAGAAATTTGAATCCCTGTGTCCACCTTTAGCTTTATTTAATGAAGCTGATGTTGGTGTTTTGTCGTGATGTAGCAATACCAAGCATATCTCGATGCCGCAACTCCTTACACCGCATACCGATGGATAGGAACCGGAATGCTGCTTCTTATCTTCTTCTTGAGAATTATCATGGCGCAGGGCTGGTATATCGGTACTTACTCTCCCCCCTCGTTTGCGCGACGACGCCTTTCTCTCCTAAATCACACATGGAATCAATTTAAAACTAATAACTCATCAACACGCAGTCGCCTACACTTTGGGAATCTATCTCCTCAACCTCTTCCTTGCCTTCCTACAACCTAAGTTCGACCCATCTCTCACGCAGGACGAGGGCCTAGAGGATGGCGAGAGCTCTCTCCCCACAAAACAAGACGACGAGTTCCGCCCTTTTATTCGAAGACTCCCTGAGTTCAAATTTTGGCACTCAGCCACCAGGGCAATTGCTATCGGGTTCCTCTGCTCCTGGTCGGAAATCTTCAATATCCCGGTCTTCTGGCCCGTCTTGGTAGTGTACTGGTTGCTACTATTCTCCCTTACGAGTACGTTATCAAACCAAGTTCCCTTCTATTTCCTTCGTGTTGGACCCATATGTCAAAATTTCCGGACACTGACATTTGCCTGTTTAGTGCGACGACAAATACAACACATGATTAAATACCGCTACGTTCCCTTCACGTTCGGAAAGACGAGATACGGCCGGAGCTAAAAGGGGGGAACAAAATCCACTTTGTTTTTTCGCTTTTCGATCCGCAGCCCAAAATTCAACGGGCGTCCCTCCCCGTCGATTCCCCTTGTCGTACGATCTATTCTTAACCTGCCAGCACATGCAGATATGCAGATTTGCTAATCGCTGGAATTGAAAATGAAACAGAATGCCAACTTGCGCATGGCACATGTATGGTAATATATATATGGTATATGTTTTTAATTCTTTCAACCACATTCAAGTTTCTTCTCTCCATGCTCTTCTGTGTACAAATAAGATTTAGAGATGGTTATTATCCTGTAATGTTTGTTTCTCTGTTAACAAGATAAGCGGGACATTCTTTTCATGCAGATAGTTCCTTGTCATTCTTGTGAAGGATTTTTTTTCCCCATCATTCCTTGCGTTTTCTTGGTAGAGTTACATCTCCCGAATCAATGACTGAAATTATTTCCCATTTTTCTCCTCCTCCTCTTTTTCTTTTCTTCTAATTCCTGTTTCCAACAATTGCTGTTTGCACCCAGATGGTTATTCCAGTATGAACCCAATAGGCATTCCTGGGAGACCAAAAACAGGGGGACCTTTAGAATTTTTGTTGATGTTGACAACACTTGTTCCTTCCCCCCAGTTAAGAGATCTTCTATTTCCCCTTCAATCGATATGTATTTCATTTCAATTCTTGGTCCAGTTTCTACTTTCCCCTTCGCTCCTCCGGGAATGATGGGACTATGATTACAATAATTTTTTGTTCAGCCAGGCTCACTCCTTTGAGCTTGTAAATACACAGGTAACACACATACATACTTAACGGAGCGACGAGATGTATGCGATAAATCGAAAAGAGCTTAAAGAAGAGCTCTGCTTTTCTTGCCACGTTGGGATTTTGGGAGTCTCGGGGTATTTTGCGCCCCTGAACTTGATAGGCACACACTGCTTGTTCCCGTACCCAATTCTAGCTTATTCCTCTTTGGCCTCTTCAAATTGATATTCAGCTCTTCCCCTTTATTTAACTTACCCCCATTGTGCCTAAGGCAAATGTAACACTAACAGAACATCTGCTTGCTTGATAAGGTTCGTGGGCGAGGAGTAGTGTAGCTATACAAGATTCTTAATCCTCTTCCGCTGCGCGAAGTAAATTCTATGCCATTCGAGTCGCCTGTACAAAAGCCCAACTCCCTGATTGAGTCGGACTCTCACGATTCACTCCTACTTACGATGTAGAGTAGCGGTGCTGAGGACCCCGTTTCCCTTCGCGGCACTCTTTCCCAACAGTGGCTCTCCATAGCCACAGGTTACCGCAGACGAGAGTAACTTAGCCCATGGACAATCTTTGCAGAGAAAATTGGTGACCGCGAGAGGGAGAAATTTGATTGACATCCTTCCACGCCCTTGTTCACCGACGGAGCGAGCGATGGTTGTTGCAAGGCACCTTATATGGAGTCTAGCTAAGCGCCGTTGAACAAGTATGTACATAGGAGGCTGACTATCTTTGCGCATCCGTCTTCCGCCTCGGATAATCGTGGTGTTTTGCTGCGTATTTCTCCTAAGGTGTGCTCTACACCCGTTCAAGAAGTAGTTGTGTAATTAATCACCCTATGTAAGGGCGGCTAATAAGCGGGAGTCCATCCGCCGGAGCCTTGCTGGTAGACGGTGGTCGTTGTCATTTGGGGAAGGTCTACGAGGGAGATGGTGAGGCGCAAAGGCCAAAACGAGTGACGATTCAAAAGCTCCTCTCAATCTCTTAATTAGGTGCAAGCCGCTGAAGTTTAATGTATGAGAGTCCTCTCACCAGGCTAAAAGCGTTTTCATGAATGATGAGCGCCGAATAATGAAATGAAAAGAAAAAAGAAAAAAGAAAAAAGAAAAAAGAAAAAAGAAAAAAGAAAAAGAAGGGGAGGAGAAGAAGGTAAGGCGCCTGCGCATACATTGAAGGTATCTGGATCCAAGGAGAAACAACTTATTAACAAGAACGCAAAAAAAAGTATCAAAACGGACCAGCTCCGCCCGCTTCTAAGCCATACATGCCTTTAAAGGGAAAAACCAAAAAATAAATAAAAATAAATAAAAAAATAAAAAAATCAAATCAAATTTCAACTAAAATCAAACGGCCTCGTCCCATTTTCCAACGAGTAGAGAATCCGTATGGGCCGATCCCGTGCAGATCTATAAAAAACCACACCAGGAGGTATTCCTCCATCCGGTCCTGGATGGGACGTCTGCCCGAAAAACTCATTTGTAAATGTGACCATCTCGCGGTTCATCCCCGCCTTGAACACTTTCTCGTGCACACTTCTTTCCCTCAGTTCGCCCGCGCCCCATATGATGCTGATAATGCGAAAACCATCCTGCTCCAAATCGTCGTATTTTGGCACTAGCTCTGTGTTCCTAGATTTTGAGATAGGGCCTGCTTCGAGTTTATAAAATCCCGTGCCTTCGCAGGCGTGGAATATGCGCATATCCTCGTCGCCATTGGAACCGAGTTGGTGGAGGAGGGAGAAGCATTTCCTGTAGCCGAACCTGGAGTGGGGTGGAGGTCATGATATTAGGCAACGAGAGGATTTCAAAATTGTAAAAAACGGGAGTGGCTTGATTTTGGAAATGGGCAAGGGAAAAAAGAAGGTCACATACATATTATCTGTAAACGGGAAGGGATGGCTGTCGAAAGCAATATTGCCCTCTGCATCGACAAGTTGTTTTGCGTCCGGCGTCACTATGCCATTGCCGTGCACAGCGGCGAGGACGTTCAGGTGGTTAGGGGCTGTTGTCGCAGTGGGAGAAGTCGTTGTCGACGATGTTTTGGTGGATGCTGGTGCATCGCCCTCCGAGTCTCCCGTTTTGGTTGCACGCGATATGGCCACGCCGACACCAATCCCAATTCCTATACAGACGAGTGCAACAGCGGCGACTAATATTATCCGCAATCGGCGAGAACGAAAGGGCGAAGGCGGCTTTGTATGAACTTCGTGAAAGGGTTCATTCTCAGCTACCCATTTTGGCTGAAGGTATCTTGATTCCGGGCCCTGGGGAGTAGTAGGCACATACTCCGCATTCCCGCCGGGCATGCCCTCCGCATAGTTGGTTTCGAGGCCGGAATTTGAGTCGGGATTTCGCTGGCTCATAATGATACTGAAATATCAATTTACAGGAGAAAGGTGGGGAATGAAAGACAGGAAGTTTCTATCTGAAAGAAAGTGAAAATCGATTTTGACGAGGCTCCACGCTTGGATATACGCAGAGTAATTTCTCTTCATGGGGCTCACTGAGCCGCCCCATAGGCATCCTAGTGCCATATGGATTAGGCGCTTGTAACGGGAGGCTTTCCTTTTGTGTGGTTCTGGGCGGCTCCCATTCGTTGGCGAGATTGGTTGTCGATCGCGCTAGGGTTGCAAATACATATTTTGCAGAAGATGGCAAGGGCAAGGGCTGTGGCGTGTGGCCCACTGGATGAACAATTGCCCAAACCCTGGTCATTATTATTGGGGGGGGGGGTTGATTATTGGGTGTTATATTTCAACCGGCTGCAAGTTGAGATTGTTAGCTGTACAACAAACCTCGGCCAACTAGCCAGACAAACACAATTTCAATGGGGGCCAGCGCTAACTGAGGCCTTGGCTTCCAGCAGGACTGCTCAATGATTGATTGATTGCTTCGGGAATACCTTCCAACAAAATTAGCAGCCCGCAAACTCAGGTGGTGTCGAATTGAGCCTGTCCAATTTAAGCGAAAACTTCAGCCCGCCAAGTGAGTATTTAACCAATATTAAATAGGGAGATGGGGTATGTATGAAGATTATCGTGCCTTCGCTTCCCCCACCACCCGTGGCGTGGTTGTATCTTCCCGCAATTAAGAAGCTTGAATCGCCTAGGAGTCAACCATATTCTTCCGATAAAGGAAATCGAAACAGTCCACGCTGTTGGATGCTGCCACAAGGCCCACAACAATTCAACAATTGTACAGGAATAGCGGTGGTGCGCGTGAAGTTTCCCTCCAATTATTTAATATAAAATAGTCTGAATGCCAAGAATGAGGCGAACACGACCTATATTCCTGTTTAGGATTAGCGTCTCCTCTCCAGCCTCCATCAAACTCCACCACAACAACCATCTATGTATGGTATGTACGCATAGTCTGTGCATAGCGCTGTCTGCAACTTGTTCTTACAGGTGTCATGTATTTCAAGAGCTGAGATCTCAAGCCCGAGTCAGAGGATTGGAGCCCTCGAGCCATGCAAGCGCAGACGCCTATAAGTGGCCTTCGGTCCGATCCCTATCCCTACTAGCTAGCCAAAGCCTCTCCAACAGCTCCCACCTTCAGCCTGTCAGCAGTGACGCAATATGCTTCCTAGCCGATGGCTCTGCCTCGTGTCTATGAGCTCTGATAAAGTTATATATTTAGCTTGTCTTCCCCCAATTCCCAAATGCGTAGCTATCCCTGATGTCTATAACTTGTCCCTGTGTATTCATCTGTGTTGTCGACCGTCTGGAAATTGGCATTGACCTTGATTGTTCGTTTCCCATTCTTGACGAGAAACAATGGAGAACGTCGGGAAGCAGGTGGTATTCCGCTTCAAGAATCCACCGGCGCAACCAAGGGCGTCACGAAAAGCACCGTCGCGGGCTTGCGGAGACCAACTGGACGAACCAGTTTATCATCCACGAAAGTCTCATCGAAAATCCAGAACTGGTTGCGTAAACTGCAAGCAGCGACGAATAAAGGTATAGTATCATGTAAACTGGTACGGCACGGCTTTGCCCCTCTTCTAATTGAATGATGGAATAGTGCGATGAGACAAAGCTGCAATTCCGGAGATGTGGGACTTATGGCATAGATTGCGTTTACACATCTCCCAAAACCTCACCTAATATGCAACAATTGGCCGCGTCTGGGCGCAGCTCTTCAATGTCTAACTCACCGGATGGGCACGGTCAGGCTATGGCGGCGGGAGACATGGCTTGTAGGATTGAGCAACTCTTGTGCTATACCGATAATACATTGGTGTTGGGCCCTTCCCGCACACAGGCATACGAGTGTCTGTATCTCTTTATCAATGGGCTCTCCGGAAAAGTGCCCGCGACTCCAAGCTTCACCACGGTTATCAAGGGGGATATGATCCGGGTGGCGCTGCAGGTATGTCAAAATTTCGCCTGGGGAGCCCAATTCAATGCTGGGCAGAACTAGATTCTGACTGCAGTATCTACATGTAACCGCAGACACCGTATCTTATGCATGCCATATTAGGCCTTTCCAACGCTTATTTGGCAAGGACCTTATCGAATTCTGCCTCCTACAGAGTTCGAGAAACCGGCCATTTCTCAGACGCGATTCGTCTTTACCAGAAGGAGCTGGACTCCCAGATCACCAAGGACAACATGGACGGCATAATGTCGACGTGCATGCTATTAGCTGATGTTCCTCTATTGGAAGCAGACTACTCGCCTTACGATTCTATCGTCTTCTCCTCTGACCCCTCGGCTCTAAACTGGCTCCTAATGCAATCCGGCCTCTCGCGCCTAATGCGCTTCACACAGCCGTATCTCTCAGAAAGTATCTGGCTCGTACCGTTTATGGAGTCATATAACCATTTTCTCGAAAATAGGGACTGTCGCACCGGTCGGGATGGGCTGCACCCGGAGCTTGCAGAGTTATGTGAAATAAACGACGGCAGCAACAATGAGAATAACCCCTACCACGAGCCCCTCCGCAGCCTCATGCCCATTCTAGACATGGAAACCAACCCAGAGAACTTCATGACAATTAGCCACATTCATGGGGACCCTGAAGCCCAAGTTCACCGCGTTGGTTCGGAATAGGGAAGCTAGGGCGCTTCTTATTCTGGCCTTTTGGCTAGGCAAGATGTGCGAAGATCCGTCCTGCTGGGTTTATGCGAGGATGCATATGGAGTGTGTGGCTATATGCATGTATCTTAAAAACAGGACAGATCCCCGCGTTCTTGAGCTGTTGGAGTACCCGGCGTCGAGGTGTGGATATATATTAAAACACATAAGCGAGGATAGTTCGTCTGCGTTGAGAATAGGATATACGGATTTGGGGACGTGAAGGCTATGAATAAATGCTTATTACCTCCTCTACGAAAACGCGTGGAATTATTTTCATTTTATAAAAGATTGCGAGATTTCCTTCTATGAAATTACGCTGTGATAGAAACCCCAACGCCCGTCGGTATCACATCATCACATCACATCGCGTCGAAAGATGCCAACAACATTTCCATCCCCCTCAAGTTATGGTCAATGGCATGAAGGCTAAATGTCCATGAACAAGTAGAGATCGAATACTGCTAGCACTGGCAGACTATCTCATTTCTTTTTTAGTATTTAAATAAATTAGACCGACAAAATCTTTTCAGACAAGCAAAAACATGAAAAGTCCTGTATAGTCTAGAGATCCCCGTACCTCGAATTGTGGTATCAAATTTCAAGCAAAACCAATTCTAGGTAGTAGGCGGTTACAGAAGTAGCCCCAGCTCTTTCGAAGATTTATCCCATCTAGAAAAACAAAATAAAAGACTCAAACAATACACAGGAAGCACAATAAAAACTATATCAAGTTCTCGAACGGGCAACGCACACACTATGCCCACATCTCCCTGAATTTCATATCGAACTCCTCCCGCAACAGCTTGAATCCCTTCAGCACATTGAAGATCCCACCACGATCCTTCCCATCCCACGGAGCCGCGGGATCCTCATCCCCAAATTCGCCCCCTTTGGAGGCACCATCGTTACCATCATTGTCACCATTGTCCTCCACATCCTCATCTTCCCAGCTGTCCACGACCTTCTTCCTGCGCGGTTTACTGGCAGTAGTTGGGGCCGGAGTGGAAGCAGCGGTCGTTGGTACTATCGGCCGATTCAACACGCCCACGCCCACGTCCCCAAGTTCTCCCATGCCATCAAGCCCACCATCTTGCATAGCTCCGACATCTACCTCCCCTTCATACATCTCACCACTACCCATGACATCAATCGCATCCGCATCCGTCCCCGGCGTAAGTTTGAGGAAGTTTTCAAGGCTAGTCACGATCGTTGCAAGGACCATGGAGAAGTCGTTCAACAGGAACCAGATGTCGCCCTTGCGAACGTCATTGTCCCGCTCGATAGCGTCAATGTTGCCGTGCTTGAAGAAGTCGTATAGGTACGCGTTAAGGGGTAAGTTGTCTTCTTCGGGGAGCCCCAAGTACGGAACAACAGCTTTCTCGAGCCAGACGCCGCCACGCACTTTTTGACAGAGGTCGGATATGTCACTCCACTCATCGTGATGTCCTGATAGAGCGTAAAATGCTGATGTATACTTTGCAGGTGACGGAGGAGTACCTTTGCCCAGCTCAACCGCAGCGTCTCCGCCACACTTCATCCCAGTCAAAGGTAGCTTATGGTCGGGCTCCGTAATGTGCTGGTCCACGAACGTTTTGACGTAGGTGCTGTATATCTTAAGTATTTCCTTATTATTGCGACGTAGCACCGTGGCTGCTCTCTTAGGCAAGGGCGGAAGGACAATAATCGAAGTCGATTTTTTAACAGCATTTTGCTGATGTTCCAGTACAGAGGGCCGAAGATGTCGGCGGCCAAAAAGATGGGACATAATAAGCATCAGCGTAAGGATTTTCTGTTTACGCGAGGTGTCCAGATCTCTGCATAAATTATGGAAGTAACCGTCCTTCAGCAAGGAGTGGAAGGCGAAACTGGAGTTTTCCACGAAATAAAGATGAGAGACGCATCCTGCGAAGTTTAGAGGGGCGCCATCTGGACCTAGAAGGTGATTGCGCCGTAAGAACTCGATTGAGAATCGTAGGTGATGCAATACAGAGTCTCGCGCCTCCCCTCCACCGAGGTAAATGTGCGGGCACGATAGCAAGGAGTTGATCATCTTTACCGCGTTAGGTGCCTGCTTCGATTCATATAGCAATGTGAAGAGGCGGAGAACCAGACTAGTCGTGATGGGGAAATGGCCGTGGAGACCAGGGAGTCTTGAACTGAGCAGCCGGCAGATCTTGGAATAGGGAAGTGCCTGAAAGACAACATTTCCAAGCACATCAAAGCCTCGACGACCAGCACGACCAGCAGCCTGGCGGAAGTTAAGGGCGGTGAGGAAGATAGAGTCGCCGGAGAAGACAACAGTCTTGCAAGGCATGTTTATACCAAGTGCGAGGGTGCCAGTGGCTATCACAACCCGCAGATACCCCTTTCGGAAGAGTATCTCACATAGTTGACGATATTTACGGTTCATACCAGCGTGATGAACACCGATGCCACGTCGCAAGGCTGTAATCAGCCGTTCTGGGACATAGCGTCTCCTCAGCTCTTTAGCATGTTCCTCAAATTCAGAGGGAGTGAGCTTCTTGACGTCCGCGAGATGGAATCCATCCAATGGCGCATCAGGTTCAAAGGATTCAAAAGCGCTGGGTTCCGCCGTTGCCGTGTCCCGCATGCGCTCTTCTCGAGTCATCTGGTCATTGCCCTTCTTGCCTTTCTTCGCATCAGCCGGGCCGGCTTTCTTGGCCTGCTTCTCTTTGGCAGTTTTCCAGGCCTCCCACGCAGCGACTTTAGCTTTCCAAACTGGGTTCAATTCTTTCCATTTTTCTTCCGCTGCCTCAAGCTCTGTTAGTACCTTCTCACAAATCGCCTCGCAGCCGCTTCTATCATAATTGAAGAACAGCGCTGGAAGACCGCCTTGCTCCTGTAGTGAGCAGATGAGAGGAAGTGTTGTCTCCAAGTAGTTGTAACGTATCTCAGTTGGTGAGCTTTCAGCTTCTCTTGGCTTGCGAGACGAGATCTGAATATCAGGCCGTTGGGCACTTCTCACGGGAGATTCAAGCTCTTTCAGAACCAAGTCAAAGGGTGATTTTGGATCCGCGATCCAACTCTTCAAGAGCGGTTTGAGTTCTGCTTCCCAATTGACTATGTCAACCTTGCGAATGATATCTGGTAGGGCAACAGCAGGGTCAAGCGATTTAGGCACAGGAAAGTCTGCTGTTTGGTATTTCTTCATCGCATTCCACAACAACCAGCAATCGCGTGCTTCCAAAGTCAGGTCTTCTGGCATTCCTCTCAAACGGTCCACTATGCACGCTACCGGGTGCATAAATGCCATACCGAATGCATTGTCTAGGCTTGTGGGGGCGAACGGTACAGAGTCTGGTAAACCATTGAAATGGAATTTTTTCGGCGGTTTGTAAACGTATTTCCTCAGATCAGAGTAACGATGCCGATGCTCAATCATCGTGAGATCAATGCCATTCGCCTTCTGGGTCATGTTTAGCCAGTTGCTGAATGCTTGCGGGTTCCCGACCGTGGCAGACAGAGCGATAATCGGGCAGGGTGCAAGGAGCAGCAATTGTTCCCATACAACACCTTCTTCCACTTGACCGATGCAGTGAATTTCGTCGAAAATTATCCTCTTGACTCGGGATGACCATGAGCTGGCATTTGCTGGCGCAAGGAGCATGATCTGTAGAATATGCGGAACGGTGACTAGAACCTGGCAGCCGGTAGGGTTGTTGATGCGGTAGTCGCGGGTGTGTATGCCCCATACAGACTTTCCGCCGTGTTTAAATGATTTCGAAAACCGAGCTTGAATTTCGGCAGCGACTTGATTAACAAGGGCCTTCGTTGGAGCGACGTATACCAAGACGCTGTTGTCATCATCTTCAAGAATTCTCTTCATCGCGTAGAAACTGTAACATGGTGTTAATACTGCGAACACCGGACATAAAGATGTACCAGGAGCAAACATCTTGGATGGAAATATACTTACGAAATAAATGTTTTTCCAGCGGAAGTGGGTGCAACCACAAACAAACTTCTATTCCCGTCAATCTCGTCCAGCACCTGTCGCTGCCACGCATCGGGCTCAAAATCACGGACACGAGAATCAGGAGCGGAATCCATGTTTCGATCAAAGAAAGGAGCAGCATGGCTAAGTTGGAATTCCGTTGGAGACAACCCGATATCCAGAGTCCCTTTTTTAGCAGACTCTAGCAGAGAAAACTCTGCTGTTGCCTGAGACGACTTCCGGCTGGGTTGGACGCCGAGATCTATATCTGGCAACCGAAGGGCTTTGACGGCTTCTTTAACGTATGCCGCAATCTCAGGGGTGACCCCTTCTTTGATCTTGGCAATCCGACAAACCATATCCCAAATAAATGCGGCAATGTGGAGGGACCTGTCTCGTTCACCGGCGGTGCATCTGTTTATCCATAGCTGAACCAAAATGCTCAGCATGTAAGTCGAAACCTCAGCTTCTAGAGTGACGCGGCTGTCACTTGGACGTTCAGCCAAGTATTTCTTGACGTTCGTGAACCGGATTGCCAAATCGGATTCCTTATCGAAAGTGGCTTTCACCTTGGCCCATGCCTGTAGCTGCTTGTCAATCATTTCCCTTTTCTTTTTCTCATTCGCGGCGGTAGCGAGATCCTTCGTGGGATTCCTTTTGCCGCTCGACTTCGCCGGGCCCTTTTTCTCATTGACCTTAGGACGAGGAGCGATAGTGGGCTTTGATGCTGCTGGCTTCTTCTGTTTTTCATCTTTCCCAGACTGTACGAAAACTGTCTCCGGTTTTAGTATGCCACCTGTCGCATTTGTTAAGCTTGCCGCATAATCGGCCATCTCGGCCATGAAGAATTGATTGCGGCGGTTAGCAAAGAATGCTTGCTTCTCTGTCATTTTCGGGCCAGTAATTTTGACTCCAAGTGGGCGACGGTGGTTATGCCAATGGCTGAGCTCTTGGAAAATCCGGGAAGTCTTTTTTGTGATACCTTGTGTATGGGACTTGTCTATTGTAAGCCTGACAGGTCCCAGATGGGCATCGAAGACAGGATGCCTGAAAGGGAGTACAGGTCTGGAAATTTCTTTTCCAATGGCCGCTGCTTTGGTGTTCTTGGGTTTCTTCGGTTTATCTGATTGTGCTTTATTTTCTGTTCATCAATGCCAAACCCGTAAAGGGGAGAGAGGTGGATAAGATTCAAATTACCTGAGTTTAATAATCCAGACGTAATGCGCATGCCACAGAGTTGCTCCACCCAGGCCGTGAGAGACTCAAACTTTGAAATAACCGATGATTTGGAAATATCTTGAGAGATACCTCCACTCAAAAGATGGAAAAATATCCTGCCGTCAAGCAGATCAGCCAAATCGCAATACAATGAGCTATCTTCCACAATTGCTTTCCAAGAATCAGATTTAAGCACTAGATAGGCCGATCTAATAAAGGCTGTGAAGAAATCTTCACCGCTATTTGGTTTTGGGTTGACGGCACGATCAGAAAGACGACACTCATGTATAATGGCAGTATGTAAAAGCATTGCTTCTGATTCCGTGGCACTATTTCCATCCGGGGCGCCGCTTTTGTACATGAGGCTCAGCGTCATGACGACGGCGAGGTCGCTTTGGGTTAGATCTTGACAAGCGGAGGTCGTCAAGGTATCCCGAAATTCTTGTAAGAATTTCAAATCCTGTGGGTTACTTGCTGCATTGGCTTCAAGGAAGCTACTCGCATTTAAATCCAATTTCGTAAATTCCTTGGTGGTTATCTCGTTAGTATCAGTATCGTCTAAGCTGTCAGAGTCAGGCTCTGATCCTGAATCAGACTCTTCGTCGTCAACATGCTCCATGTCAGGACTATTGGTTTGATTCTTATTAGTAATGAAGGTATGTAGGGACACCTCTAGAGCACCTTTTGCAGTGCCTTCCATAATCATCGCCATTACCTGTCCGTCGTTATATGTCAGTTCTCTGATCCGCAAATTATCAGTAAGAGTGGAAGAGAAAAGTTACTGTACCTTGGTATCCCGGCATTCCAAGCTATTAAGGAGGCCAACATTGTAGCCAAGGCAAATGAACCAATTTATCATAGATCGAAAACCGATCGCATGACGGGTACCATCGCTTGAAACCACCGACATATCTTCATCGGAAGTGTAGTAGCTATCCTGGTCATCGTTGTCATCAGACATTCCTGAATTTCCATCAGAGAAGCCATCCTCATCGTCGGAGCTGGCCACAGAATCATCTCTCGAATCAATATTGGCAAAGGCACCATCATGACACATGATGAAGTACGCTCCAGAAGCGGCCAGGTAGCTCTTAAAATCGTTGGCTTCATAGGAGTCAAAGACTTTAATCTCAATAGGCGGAGCTTGTGTGCCAACATTGCTCTGCAAGTGTTGGATCATAGCTTCCCGGGCTAGGAGACACCTGGGATGAAGGTCATCTGGCATATTAGGTGGAATGCATAGTTTTGCATGTTCCTCAAAAAAGACGATATGGAAAGTACATTTCCGCTGGTGCAATCCTCGCAGGAAATTCTCTATCATGTATGTAGCATGCAACAGCTGGAAGCCAGGGTTCAAATCCAGTTTCTCGTCCGCGAAAGTGTGGGCGAGCAGTGAGTCACCTTCGATGAAAAACAGTTCGTCGCCTGCATAGTCTCCTACCAGGTCGACATTTCGAGACTTCAGACTCGCATACCTGAAGGTATATATTAGAATACATCCGAAACTTCGTGGTCGTGTGTAGAATGCTTACCAATTTAGAAGGGCCTGTGTCTTCCCCATGTTCAAAAACTGCTAGCCGTAAGTAGGGCCTCGTGAGATAGTATAAGAACGGGCTTGGATCATTGGTTATCGTATGCTGCTTAAAAGAGGAGACGTCTAGGTCTGTAAGCCAAAGTGACCACTGGGGTATATTGGGCAGGACTAGGGCCCTCTGCTGTTGGGTGCAGAGGCAACTAAAATAAAATTTAGAGCAGTGAAGCGAAGGTCGACTCCACAGAGTAGGTGCGAATATTCCTTTTCTCTGTATTTATATTCTCCCACGATCCAGGTCTGTGGTCGCTTTGATAGAGGATGGCTTTAGCAATAATGCTGTCGCTATCGATGGTGGGGTAGTTAGCGGGAGCCTACAGAGATTTCAAATAGTGGCAAATAGACTGAATAGAGTAAAGCGAATGAATGAAGCTAACAAGAGAGTGGAACTTAACAAACCATCAGTGGTTTTAACAAATCCAAGATAGTTAGTTAGCTTTGTCGATTAGAAGATGAAGCAAGCAATGGTTGAAGCTGTCTCCCTTTTAGCATGTTCTAACATGTTGGAGGCCTCGTCGTTGTGCGGGACACGTTAGGAGGCTCTAGCCCTAAGCGCTAGTTGCTTAACACCGGGCCGATAAGCGCCGCCAATCCACCATGAACAACGCTAGAGGCATGGCTACGTGCATCGCCACTGATGCATCGTGAATGCGCTAATTACGGCAGCCTATAGTGAGTGACATTTGAGTAAAATGGCTTTTTTCATGTTTTTCTACTATAATTACCTAATTCTAGACACTCATCATAGAAATTTATATGGAAGTTTGTCTGCAAGGAGAAATATCTCATTCCATTCTAATTAATTACAAGCATCAAATGTGTTGGGGGTCCCGGGTTGATCGGCCCTTCTACCAGCAGTGCGCTGGTGGTGACTGAGCTCTTTTGCCCCAGTAGCCTACAGGTTATGAGACTGTTTAGCGTGAGCCCCGCTGTGGTCAACATGCATGAGTTCAATCTCAGAATGAACTTAAAAAAATCCCAAACAAATACCCTGGACATTTAAACAGTGTCAAGAGACATTCTAGAAGTGTGTCCTAGAAGTGAGCCCTTGAAAGAATGAGCTCTAGAACTGAGTTCACTGAGAGAAGCCATTAAAAGAAGTCACTGAGAGAAGCCACTGAGAGAAGTACTGTACTCTGTGATAGCTGGTTCAAGAGAGGGTGTTGAGGTTGCCTCAGTAGTCTACAAAATGCTTACTTATGCTTGCTTTGCTGTTTATTGTAATGTGACGGAACCGAAGCGGTGGCTAGTCAGCGGTGTCATGTAGAGATAGTTGTTTGAGAAGCTGTATGAGTGGGCTTGACTATCTTGCTTGAATAATGAGCTCATAGACTACAGGGTTATTATGAGGATATCACAGATATGATACTTAGTATACTAAGAAGATTGTATGAGAAATGCAGTAACTCTTATATATATTTCAGTAGAAGAAAAATGAATCACTGACTTCTTTAATTAGAAGTTAGTATCTAACTATTCTATATAGATAATGAGCAGATACTCTTCTCTCATTCTATAAGTAAGAATAGCTGAAGTGATATCTTAACAGTATCTCACTATTAAGAAAGAGTAATCTGCTGATCTTATATAGAAGCAGAGTTCTTATATTTATTAATCAGATCTTTTTATAATATATTTAAATAATATTATAGAGTGATTAAAAACTAGTTTAGATAGAATAAAATTATCTATATAAAAGTAATAAACTGTATGAAATCACAGTAAGATCTTAATATAGTCAGAGATATAATAATACTCTTCTCTTTAAAAGTATAGTTCTAATGCTCTCAAGATTACTGAATTAAAAGTTATCTTTATTATATAACAACAGTTACTAACTGATTGACAGTGTATATACTGTATATAATATAAAGAAATAGATGAGTTTTTCTACTAACTGTGTAAATCTTTCTTTTTTTATCTTTATTTAAATTAAATATATGATAAGTGAGTTTCTTATATATTAATTTAAGATGTAAAAAATATAGTTAATAAGTGACTTACAGATCTCTTATTATATTCTGTTCTATATATAAAATTCTCTGTAAAAGTAATATATTTTAGAGATAAAGTTAACAGTAGTAATAGAATTTTTTGAAAAAATCTCTCTCTTTTATAATATATTTTTCTTTCTCTTTTCTCAATTATAATAGTGAGTGTATAAGAGTATGATTCTTAAAGAATAATAAAGAGTTTATTCTGATATTTTTTAGTAAATAAATATCTTCATAATATAACTGCAGTCTCTGTAGCTGTTAAGAAAGCTCAGTTGAAGATGAAGATAACAGTGTCAATGAATTATAAAAGCACTGCTCTTATTATTATATCTTCTTCTTCTTCTTCTTCTACTTCTCTTACAGCTGTAACAGTAGTTATCATATCTTATAGTGAAGTATTATTTCTTCTACTGATCAGTTTATTTATATCTGATTCTTTCTTTACTCTTTTTATTACTATTATAACACTGTTTCTCTCTTCAGTTAATACAGTAATGTATAACTCTGTGTAATTATTTGAAGAGAAACTTAGAGAGAGCTTGATTCTGAAGATAGTAACTCTGAGAAACTCAATCTATAGTTTCTCTCTTATAGCATACTTAAGCTCTGCTCAGAATACTACTAAGTTAAGTTTACAGAGTCTCACAGTTTCTTTGTCTTCTCTCTGTGAGAAGACTTTGATACAGTCTTTAATCAGTACTGTTACTTATCTGCACTGTATTAAACAGCTGAAGAAGAGAGAGATCTTATATATCTGTTTCTTCTCTCACTTCTGTTATTTCTGTTATATCTGTAATAATAACTTCTATCTCTCTGTAAGTATTATCTACTCTATAAGAAGATATTATATCAGCTCTGATAAGAAGCTCAGATATCTAAGCAGTACAGAGTAAGAGTCTTAGAGCTTTAAGTATTAATAGATTCTATTAAGACTGAGAAGATTCTTCTTACTTATTTATAAAAGAAGATAAAAGTATGAGTCTCTGAGATGAAAAAATATCTTAAAATAACTAACTCTAAGAAGAAATCAGTCAGTACTGCTATTAAAAGTGATATAGAGATTAATCACTGATTAAAGAGAATCTCACTTCAGTTAAAGTAGATAACTAAGATACTTTATAAGTTAATAAGTTAATAATTTCAGTATCTCTTATACTCTTTTATAGTATATATACTCTTCTGTAGTATACTTCTCTGCAGTATCACAGTATTAACTTCTCAGTAGATAAAGATGCTAATATCAGAGACTTTAATAGTAAAGAATGAGTTTAATAAGAATGTAATTATTAATAAGTAGACTCTGAGATTTCTTCTTTTTACTTTTTCAGTAAGCTGTAACTCTATTAAAATAGCAGCAGTCTGTGAATTAATAATATTAATCTTTTTATTAATTTTAAATATTTCTTTTCTCTAATCACTTCAGGAATTTTACACTTATGTAATTTTATTAAACTTCTAAAAAACTCTTTAAGAGAAAATAGAAGAAGAGTCTTACAGAGCTTATAAAATATCAGCTTATTATTATAAAATTATATCTAAAAAAACTCTTTGAGAAAAAATAAAAAGTCTTAAGCAGTATTTCTTACTCAATATCTCTGATATATAATGAGATAATCTCTACTAGTCATCTTATAGCTTACAATCTCTTTCTCAGCATTTTTCAAATATTTAAGCAATTTTTATGAATTCTCTAATAATGAATAATCTTCTCATTTAATAAGATATTAAAGCTTATTATAATATGTTCACTTATTCAATATTTTCTTCATAAGATATTTAATATTACTCTTAATCTGAATATTATTTAATTAAGATGACTCTGTTCTGAGATATTATTTATAGAGCTTTAAATAGAAAATATGAAAAACAGAATGAATTAATTTCAATTCTATAAGTAATTTTAACTTATATATCTGCTTACTTATTACTTTTATTACTGAGAAAGATTCTAGTTACTACTTACTAAGCTTCTTATACAGTCTTATTATCTTGATATTCTTTGCTGAAAGTAGTACTTGATTCTCTATTAAGAACTTCATTAAAAGATGTTTTTAATTATAGTATTTTATTTACTGCTTCTGAACATAGTAAATACTTTTTATCATTTTCTTATAAATTTTATTTAAAAGTTTCAATCTCACTTTTACTTTTAATACTGAGAGATACTTTATTCTCTGTATCTGTTTAATATTCTGACTGTTTATTTCTTTCTTTGAAATATTATTCACAATATCACTAAGTAATAAAGAATTATATTTATAATAAGTATAGAAAGAAAATATCTTTAAGATTATATTCTTTACATTATTATATATAAATTCAGTAGTTAGAAGATGTTTAAGTCAATCATTCTAATAATATGAATAGAATACTTGAAAATGCTATTTTAATATCTGATTCTGATATTCAGTCTGATCATCTGTCTGCAGATGAAATACAGTACTGAGAAGATATCTTATTATAAGATAATAGTAAAAAGCTGATTAGTATTTACTAATGAAAAGAGATTCTTGATCTGTTATTAGTGATTTCAGAGTATCATGATTATAAATAATAATATCTAAAAATATATCAGTTAATTCAGAGGCTTTAATCTTTTTATAAGTAGAGATATATTTGATTATCTTTATAAAATAATTAATAATGACTAAAATTAAGTTATATTCTTTGACTCTTATTAACTTCAGTAGATTAACTATGAAATTCATTAATAGATTCTATTATAAACTCTTTGAAACAGGTAGTAATACTAACTCACTATATTACTTATACTGCAGAATCTTTATTCTTTTACAGATATTATAAGTCTTAATATACTCTTTAATATCTGTCTGAAGCTTGTCTTAAATATATTTATATTTTAAAAGCTTCTCAGTCTTCTCTAATCTGAAGTGCTCTGTATAAAGATTATTATAATAAATTCTTAATAACTTCTGATACACTGCTCTGCTATAAGAAATAAAGACTGAATTATTCAGTAGTAGAAGTTTATATTCTTCTAGTTATCAGTAACTTAATTTCTTAGTAATACTGTCTCACTCAGAGTCTGTCTCTTTTAAGTTTAAACTGAATCCTTTCTTCTTTAACTTCTAAATTTAAGCTATAGTAGAGATGTCTCTCTTCTGTAATTTATTAATAAATTTTAAAAGTAGTTAAGTTAAATAATTGTAGACTGTTTTATTCTTTATCAATTCAATAATTGTAAGATATAATATGAGAAGCTTATGATTTTCAGTGTCAGTTCTCTGCAGAGATCTGAGTTTTCTTTCATCTTCTATACTGAGTTATACAGCTGTCTTATCAGCACTATTTCTAAGCTTTAGAGAATCTCAATTCTCTGCAGCCAGCTTCTTCTACAGTGATGATAGAGATTCTTTTATAGAATTCTTCTCTGCATTAATAATATTATAATCAGACTACTTAGATAGTATATCAGCAGAGTTAAGCTGATCTGAATAATATCAGATATAGAAATTATACTTTAAAAACAGCTTCACTTATCTGACTTGATATTCTATCAAGCTCTTTGTTATCAAGAAGTAACACAGATTTATATAATCAGAACTTG